GCATGGATTGCTTATATCAACAGGATGTTGTGCATTTGACACAGTGTATCCACTCAGGCATGTACAGCTGTAGTTTCCAGCAGCATTGGTGCAGTTTGCATGTGGACCACACACTTCAGGAATCTCAGTACATTCATCCACATCTTTGTTAAAGAAAATATCAAAGAACAGAGAGACTTTTAAATATTGTCTGTTAAACTGTCCTAATTCTAGTCCATAATATAGAGGTTTCAATGCAAATGATGACCTTTATTTGTAATAAAGTGTATTTTGTGTCATTTTCTACAACACGCAGATCTAAAACAAGCTGAACACCAGACGTAGTCTTACTACTGCACAAATATGGTGGTTTATACTTGGGGTTTTCACAGAAGAATTCATCTTTTTACAAGTTATTTCTTTCAGGACTGACACATTTTAACATTTAAGAGACAGTGGTGCACTTATAATATGAAAGTATCTATATGAACATCTGCAATATTTTATATCATAAAATCTTGAAATTGCTTGTTGCTCAGATACCATTCCAGTGACATCCTATGTACTCTGCTCTACGTGGTACTAAAGTGTTTGAAACTGTCTGACAAACATACCTCTGCACGGGTTGCTGATGTTGATAGCAAAGTATGGACTCGTCACAGTGTATCCACTCAGGCATGTGCAGCTGTAGTTTCCAACAGTATTGGTGCAGTTTGCATTTGGACCACACACTTCAGGAATCTCAGTACATTCGTTCACATCTTGATTAAAGAAATTGATAAAACAAACACAATTTTAAACATTGTCTATTAAACAGTATTTACTGCAGTCCATTGTCTACAGGGTCAAACTCAAATGATGGCCTTTATTTGTAATACAGTGGATGGTTTACTAACTTTTTTTTTGGGATATTTACCCAATTTTCTCCCCAATTTAGTCGTCTCCAACTCCACCCGCTAGTTAGGACGCCCCCAATCACACGATATTATCAACACAAGGAGGGTGAAGGCTAACACAGGCTTCTTCCGGAACCTGTGAAGCTCCACCGCATCTTTTCGATTGTCGCTCACCCAGCGGCATTGGACAGCCGAACGCGCTCGGAGGAAAGCGCCAACTGCCAGATCTGTTACGTCAGCTAACAGACGCCTGCGCTGACTAACATCGCGCTGAGTGATGGGGGGAGAAGGGGGGGCCCATCCTACCCACCCAGAGAGAGTGAGGCCAATTGTGCTCTCTTGGACTCCTGGCTACGGACGGCTGTAGCATCACCAGGGATCGAACTTGCGATCGCCTGATGATAGGGCCAACGCTTAGACGGTTGCGCCACTATGTAGTCCTGGTGTACTAACTTTTAAGATTGTCTAGAACCCATTTCTCCATATCAAGCTGGATGTGAGAGATAATCTAACCATTCTCACACTAATGTAGACAGAGAAATTGGTCACTAGTTAAAATAAGTAATAAAACAAAGAGAATTTTAAACTTTCTTTATTTACCCATGTCAATTCAAGTCCACTATTCAGATGATCCAACTCAAGAGGTCTTTATTTGTAATAGACTGGATTGTGCACTAACTGCTGTCATTTCATAAAATACAAGCATCTAAAAGACGTTAAATGTCAGACATTATCTGTCTATTGTCACACTTTTAGAGGCCTACACTTTTGTTTTAGGACTAGAACATATTAAGTGTTAAAGACCAGACAGTACCTAACCCCTGCAATATGAAAGAATTTCAAGCAACAACTGCAATATCTTTCACATAAAATCTTGAAAGTTCATTTTGCTTAGGTAGCATCCTGATGGCATGTTGTGCGTCCCTTTTAAAAGCAATAAAAATACCAGAGAAATCTTACTGTCAACTCTAATGTCTACACAAAGATGGTAAAATCACTATTAAATATATCTGTACATGAGTTGCTGATATTGATAGGCATAAGCGGATTCGTCACATTATATCCACTCAAGCATGTGCAACTGTAGTTTCCTATAACATTGGTGCAGTCTGCATTTGGCCCACACACAACACGAATCTCAGTACATTCATCCACATCTTGACGAAAAGAAAAATTGGCAAAGAAAGACACTTTTTAATCATTGTCTATTAAACAGTATTTTCTCCAGTACATAAAGTAGATCAGTCGCAAATCTTTTACTTATAATACAGTGGATGTTGTAGAGGATCTGAAGATCTAAAATAACCAGCATTTTTAGATCTAATCTATCTAACTATTCTCACTTATGGTGGCCCACGTTTAGAGTCTTCACAGAACAACTGATCTCGCTAGTTAGTTTCAGGATAGTAACATACATATCTGTTTAAGAAAAGGCAGCAGTAAACTTGATATGAAAGTACTGCTAGCAACAACTGCAGCATCTTAGAAAATCTAAGAAGTTCCTGTTGCTCAGAAACTATTCCAATTACTTATTTGTACACAGTTTTATGGGGTACTATAGGGTACAACTCACTTAATTTAATTGAAGGAACATATCTGACTGACTTTACTGACTTATCAATTTGTTAAGTAATATTAATAAATAAAAAACAGCTTAAAACCAACAAAAGAGCGAGTTCATCTTTTTGAGTGCAGCAAAATGCTAGCCAACGTAGCTGTCTATTAGCTGACGTAACAGATCTGGCTGTTAGTGTTCTCCACCAAGCACGTAGAGCTGTCCAGTGATGTTGAGTTAGGGAGAGTATGAAAAGACGCGAAGACATTAGAGCGGAACATTGAACTGCCATTTAATATCTTACCAGTGCATGGGTTACTAACGCTGACAAGCAGATTTGAACTGGTTGCAGTAAATCCATTCCAGCAAGAGCAACTGTGTCCTCCAATTGTGTTGATGCAGGTGGCGTTTGGACCACATATAGATGGTGCAGATAGACATTCATCCACATCTACAATGAAAGATTTTCCCTTCTTAGAATTTTAATATCAGCATATTTCTAGTATTTACTGACAGTGGAAAAGACTTGAGTACAACATTGCATTTATCTGTAAGCACTTGCCTCTACAAGTGTTATTAACGCTAATCATCAGACTTGAGTTTGTTTCGGTAAATCAGACTGAGAAAGCTGTATTACATCAGTTATAAAGGTCTAATAAAATTTCAAAAACGAAGATCAAAATTGACATAAAATGAGTGTAAATAGATAATTACAGCAGTGTTTGTAATTTAAAAATGTTCTCCTGTATCTCCAAAATACTTTAGACATTGAAAAAAGTAATTGCACAGTGAAAAGTAAAAAATATGTGAAACCTTTTTACTTACCTTGTTTTCTGCATTAATTGGTCATAAAATGTGATACACTATATGGACAGAAGTATTGGGACACACCTCTTAATCATTTAATTCAGGTGTTTCATTCAGTCTCACTGCCACAGGTGTATTAAATCAAGCACCTAGCCATGCAGCCTGCCTTTACAAACATTTGTAAAAGAACAGGACATTCTAAAGAGCTCACTGAATTTGAGTGTGGAGAATGCCACCGTCGCAACAAGACAGTTTGCAAAATTTCTTCCCTCGTAGACATTCCTTGATAAACTGTGAGTGGTATTATTGAAAAGTGGAAGCATTTAGGAACCTCAGCAATTCAGGCACAAAGTTTTAGACCACGTAGTTACACAACAGGTCGACGAGTGCTGAGGAGCATAGTGCATAAAGGTCAACGACGCTCTGCGACTCAATAACTGCAGATTTCTAAACCTCCTCTAGCAATAACATCAGCACAAAAACTGTGCGCAGGAGCTTCATGTCATGGGTTTTGATGGCTGAGCAGCTGCATGCAAGCCTTACGTCACCAAGCCCAATCCCAAGCGTTGGATGGAGTTGTGTAAATCACGCCGTCACTGGACTCTGGAGCAGCGGAAACATATTCTGTGGAGTGACAAATCACGCTTGTCTATCTGTCAGTCTGATGGACGAGTCTGGGTTTGGCAAATGCCAGGAGAACGTTACCTGCATGACCGCATTGTGCCAACTGTAAAGTTTGGTGGAGGAGGGACAATGTTGTGGGGTTGCAGACCAAGACATTGTGGACAATTGTATGCTTCAAACATTGTGGGAGGAATTTGGGGAGGAACCTTTTCTGTTCCAGCACAACTGAGCCCCAGTGCACAAAGCACGGCCCGTAAAGGCATGGTTGGGTGAGTTTAGTGTGGAAGAACTTGACTAGCAGAGTCTCTATCTTTCAAATCTGAAATGTTTTAGGCAAAATCACTTACCTATACATGGGTTTGTAATGCTGATAATTAAGTTTGAGCTGGTTGCAGTAAATCCAGGCCAGCAAGAGCAGCTGTATCCTCCAACTGTGTTGGTGCAGTTGGAATTTGATCCACAAGCAGATAGTGTAGACAGACATTCATCCACATCTGTGAAATAAATTTATTTCATTCATTATATGTTTAAGTCATCTTACAAGTACACATTTTCAGGATTAGGTGTGTCCATTATCATCATTAAAGCTTCAAAGGCCTCTGACAGAACTGAACCTAAAGTTTGATGACTTACCCCTACAAGGGTTACTAATGTTAACCCTTAGACTTGAATTAGTAGCAGTAAATCCATTCCAGCAAAAGCAATTGTATCCTCCTACTGTGTTGATGCAGGTGGAGTTTGGACCACATACAGATGGAGTTAACAGACATTCATCCACATCTGGAAGATTGATAAACAATTCTTTTTTGTAAAGTTGCTCATTTTCACTGTTAGCAGTCATAAAGCTTTATCTAACAACACAAAACCAGCTTACCACTACAAGAGTTATTAACACTGATGCTTAGACTTGAGTTGCTTATGTTAAATCCAGACCAGCAAGAGCAGCTGTATCCTCCTACTGTGTTGATACAGGTGGAGTTTGGACCACAAATAGACGGTTCAGACAAACATTCCTCCACATCTGTAATGACAGAATTAGCTGTAATTATTGCATCAACATATTTTCATTTTTGGAAAAGTGATTTATCATTAAAACACTCACCGCCAACAAAACACAACACCAACATTCAGACTCTTACCTACACAGGAGTTATTAACACTGACGCTTAGACTTGAGTTTACTGCAGTGAATCCATCCCAGCAAGAGCAACTGTATCCTCCTACTGTGTTGTTGCAGATGGAGTTTAATCCACATACAGATGGTGCAAACAGACATTCATCTATATCTAAAAGATAAAAATGATTATTTGGATTAAAATGTTTTTTTTTTCCCAGCAAAAGGGTGCAAAAGTACATTTTCAGACCATGTAAACACAAAGGACAAATTGCACATTTTTTGAAATGTAATAAAGGTCAGATATTTTGACAATATTTTCAGTGTGAGACTGAGCTAATTCACTATAAACACAATTACCTCTTTTTGTTGAAAATGTAAATAGTTGAAATGTTGAAAAAGAAATAGTTTTTATGCCAAAGTAACTACTTTATATGACATAGGAGTATCCGTGAACATCAGCACTCGTTATTAACGTAAAGATCTACGAATCTGCACAATTACACAAATTGTATACGCCCCCTTGCTACCATGTTTCTAAACCCCTTCCCCGTCCCCACGTCCCTGCACACTGTCTCTATGTTTGGACAGACGATACAGAGAAGAAACAAAAAACTTGCTGTAACTTTAATTGCCATAAATGTTCTGTCTTCCTGTCACTCCAGCACCAGTCACTCGACTTCACTCGTGCAGATTTGAGTCTTTATCTTCTAAATTTGCCACAGTGCAGTGAGCTAGAAATGCTGTTTGTTTAACATGCTCACAATGCCAACATTAGCCTCTGGCGCTCATGAAGATATGAAATAAAAGTAGCTTAAGTTAATAGTTTCATACACAAATACACAGGTTTATCCACACAAATTTGAGCCTTTACTCTGTAAACTTGCATCAGTGAGGCTTTGATGAGCGGAAAGAAGTCTGCATTATTGTGTGTACAGCTGTTTATGATTTTGGCCTCCAACGGTTATGAAAAAGGACAATCAAGGAAAAATTATTATTGTGCTGCATCCTGTTCCGCAATGATGCTTTCATTTTTTTCTGATACAGGGCCGAAAGTCAATTGAACATTTCATGTTAGATGCATGATACTACAAATTGTTTCTATAGTTTTATTTAACACAGCTTATGATATTTCTAGAAATCTTTATTAAAAACTGGAAAAAACTGGCTTGGTTAGCCCACTTTAGACGCAGCTTAAGTTAGCATCTTATTTGTCAGCTTATCCGAATTTTCTGTTCAAACTTAAATGATGCAGGAGTTCCACTCAGACCCTGGAGGAAAATTTGAATAGTAAGCTAACTTCAGCTTTCTACCTTGGACGGCTGATTAGTTGTATAAAATGGTGGATGGACAAAGTGTGCTTATTAGAAAAAACTGACGTGAATTCACACTCATCTCCTGTTTGGGAACACTTTGACTTCCCAGACGAGTACAACTGTTACAGGCAATGAGTGGTGGACTGAATGATGACAGTCTGCCTGTGTTGCAACCAATTCAGTTCCGCCTCAAATTCACATCCTTCTTCACAAATCAAGTCATCTTTCGCATTAACTATACAGAAATCAACACCAAGCAACACACTGGAACTACAGAAAGCAAAAACGTTCAAGAAAGACTGCACAGCTGAAAGGTTGACACAAACAAAAACAGCTGTGTAACATTAACATTTCTTCCATTTTTTTTTATTTCGTAGGTCCAGTGCTGCTTTATAAGGAAGTCATGGCTGATTTAATCATGAGAACTCAATACATGTGTATTTGTTTGCAAGTTGATCTTGACCGCTCAAACATGGACGTGCAGATGTATCACCCCAGATTGAGAACAACAGACAATGTGGCATCTATGCATTTACATCTGTGGTTCGACCCTGGTGGCCTTGCCTTGGTACGTATGGCTGAGGAAATCAGGAAAGGAGCAACAAGTTCTCTCTCTCCCTCATAATATTATAATGTGCCGTCCAAGAGGTGGTAACCATTTAAATTGAAACAAAGTTCTGCAGGTGGAGTTTGGAGCACCCAGAGAAGTCTATGCCATTTCTTTAGTCTCTTGTGCAGTAATATGGAAGTTTGGGTACACCTGCTCAAATAACATGTTTTGTTGATTTTCTAAGTAAAAGTAAGTTACACATCCTCTTTCCTCACATTAATACGTCTTGATTAATTGATGGTATAAAAAACATTCTATTTTTAAATTTAACAGTAAAACATTAAACTGACATTAAATATCTTACCAATGCAAGGGTTACTAATGCTGACATTTAGATTTGCATTTGTGACAGCAAACCCATCCCGGCAAGAGCAGCTGTATCCTCCTAGTGTGTTGTTGCAGGTGGAGTGTGAACCACAAGGGGATGGTGTGAACAGACACTCATCCACATCTGCGAAATAAATAAACAGATGTAATCACAACTTTTTAAAATGAGTCTTTCTGGAGATTAATTTTATTATAGAATATTTTCAGTTTCAAGTTCAGGTTTTCAGTCAGTTTACAGCATACGTATTTGGATAATGATGAAATACTGCAGGTGTCTCAATACACTCATACATCGCTAATTCAACAGAAAATGCCGAAACACATTCAAGGAAGCATTTTTCTTATTGAACTTAAAATTATTTGAGCAGATTTTATTGAAGTTTAATATCTTGTCTATGCAAGAGTTAATAGCACTGATGTTTTGAGTTAGTTGCAGTAAATCCAGTCCAGCAAGAACAACTTTATCCTGCTACGGTCTTGGTGCAGGTGGAGTTTAATCCACACACAGATGGACACAGATAGACATTCATCCACATGTGTGAGAGAATTTTTTTTTTTTGCAAAATATTAAACTGATAGTTTGTATCCACACAAGACTACATATCGCTGTTTTCGGAAGAACACCTTGTATCTCCAAAATGGTAACCTTACAGGAAAAAAAAAACACACTTTTAATGTAAGTCAATGGAACCAGACATTTATCCAAGTAATTTTGGGTCATTACTTTTAGTCCATTCATCATGAAATGTAAAGGTTAACAGTTATTTTCAAATTATGTAAAAAACTGAAAAATGTCATATTAAGATACAGGTTTTTTTCCCCAACAACAGCAATGTACAGGTTTATGTTCAGTTTTCCTCCTGTAAGGGGAAACCCTAAGGACTTGGCTCTTACATACATGTAAGAGAGAAGCAAGGGCCACAAGAGAGAGTAAAGGACCACCATCACAGCATCCCAAGCCTTTTCCTGTCCAACTAGCATTTGGAAAGCAAACACTAAGCGTAACCGTTGTTTCTAAGTCTAACGCAAGTTTAAAAAAATGTTTTTGTATGCATGTTATTTGAGTTGGATGATTATTTTGGTTGTGAGTGCCTCTGGCTGTGGCTTTTTGCTCTTGTGCTCTTATGTTTCGGCTTCTGCTTTTAGTTTGTTATAGTCCTTTGTATATTGTCAGAATCCAGTGAAATATATTCTAGGCGAACTTTGAATCACATACTATATGTTTCCACATATGAACACATTAATGGAGAGTACAGAAAACATAAACATTTCTATATTTAATAGCAAAATATTAAACTGATATTTAACAACTTACCTATACAAGGGTTAGTAACGTTGACAGTACGATTTGAGTTTGTTGGAGTAAATCCGGTCCAGCATGAGCAATTGTATCCTCCTATTGTGTTGGTGCAGGTGGAGTTTGGACCACAAACAGACGGAGTAGACAGACATTCATCTACATCTGTGAAATAAATAAGAGTTATTGTCTTGTAAATGTGTCTATCAGCAATTATTATGTATTGGCAGAGGAAATGATCATTTAAATTTAAAATACGTTTAATAATATTTTAATGTTATGTTTAATTGACATTTTTGCAACATGTTAAATTCAGCAAATAAACAGTATTTGTGGATTAAAATGTGCAGAGATGTGTTAACTTATTTTTAACAAAACGTAATTTGACCAAAGGCACTCAAACTTTGGGTTTTGAAGTGAACATTCAAGGCATGCATTAGTGCACAGCTGACTTCAGTGTTTGTGTGTTCACAATGTTGTATATTTCTCAATATACATAGACTTCTATGCAGCGGTATGGGGACCCTTCGCTAAATAAACATATTTAGTTAATTTTTAATGTAAAAAGAAGTAAACATAACCTCTACAAATGATTTAAACAAACCAAATCTAAACAAATGTTAACATTTATTTACAAATGTTACTGCATGGGTTACTTGTATTGGACTAATTTAAAAAAACAAAAATTCAAATAGTAATTGCCCTACTTATAACCCTACTACATCACTGCTCAGTAACACCCCCCATGACAGATATCACAGCATGCAAACAGTTTTTGTAGGCAGCTACGAGTCTTTCTTTTCTTTTAGTTCTTCTAGTTCTGCAATATGTTTGGGCTGTGTTGCATGTACTGCATGTTTAAGATCTACCCATAGACTTTCAATGATGTTTAAGTTAGGGGACTATGAGGGTCCCATGGGGAGACGACTGGGACTGGTGATCAGCTCTTAAATGGAAGGGGTGGTCTATTTGAAAGGGAAATGGAGGGGTGGAGTGAGGGTGCTTGCATGTTGATTTTGGATTTTTTTTGTTACAATGGTGTCAGAACTGGCTCAAGAACAAGAGATGAGAGGTTGGTCCCAGTGACGCTGCATGGGGCTGAAGTGAGCAGTGGCAGTGCTATTGGTGTGCTGGAGGTGCAGGAAGAGGGGAAACTGCTTCAGTCAATTCTGCAGGGCTGTGAACGGATGGCATCTTGGCTTGGGGTGGAAAAGCTGACAGACACAGTGTATCGGGTGTGCACAGAACCCGACATGATGTTCCATTGGCCCCACCATCTTTGGGGCTGTCCAGAGAAATGGCCTGCAGGACCCAATGCACACTCCCCAGCCACACAGAGAACCCCTCCAGGCTCCCCGGCATCGTCGGAGTGCTATCAGCGCCCCATCGGCGCCCCTCAGCAGCTTCAGAGTCCCATCAGTTGCTCAGGAGGGCCACAGTGGACTGACAATAGGCCCATATGCAGGGAGGGACTTAGTCTGGTGGGACTAGAGAGAAGCTGCAGTTTGGATAACAACTTTGAGTTGTCTGAGTTTCTTCTGAGAACCCCCCATGCTACAGTATAAGAGATCAACCTTATCCAGACTTATCTAGATGTTGTTTTACATACTTAAGATGCTGACTTTTGTGATAAGGTCACAGGTAAGGTTTCCTTCTGATGACTCTTCGGCTCAATCTCATTTCACCCCTTGCCCCTACCGCTTAGCTCTAGTTTGCACGTTCAAGCATAGGGATAGAGTGTCCCAATTTTTGTTCAGTTAAAGGGGTACGGTGAAGTGTTAGGGCTACATGCCCCTCCAAAAACGTAGGCTTTTCAGAGACTCACACCAAACGAGGCGTTATGAGGAAAAAAAAAAAAAAGAAAAAACGGCAAGATGGCTGCACAAGCAACCAAAGAAACCCACAAATGTATACCCAAGTATTTTGTCAGCTAAAAAATGACAATCACTGTATTATCTTTAATAATGTTATTTCCCCATTGTATTTTTTTATTTCATTTTAATGTATTATGGTCCTTTTCTTCATAACAAGCATAAAAAAATCACTGGTAGTATGGTGCTGTAAGCAGCTAAATTTCCCGTTCCAACTTAAATAGTCCAGCAGTTACATTCTGATGCCTCAGAATTCTGGCGCACCCCTCTTTGAAAGTTCTTAAACTCCACTCCAGAAAGAGTGTCCAAACTTTTGCAAGGTTCCTGAACTTTACCGATCCTCTGCTATCGCTGCAGACTAGCAGGACAGACTGTTACTGAAGCAATGCTCTTGTTTATTTGAGAGTTGTCCCATTTTGTTGGGGAAGATTTCAATCACTACCCCTTGTACTTCAGTTCTAATGGACACACTCGAAAACAAGGGGTAGAGGTAAAAAAAAAAAAAGAAACAGGAATGGGCCTTCCACTTAGGTCATATTTGTGCAAGCAACGATGCACAGTAGAACTGCCAACTTTCCTGAAGGTCCTCTACAATCATATCAGGGCTTTGCTTTACCTTTCTGGCCAGCATGCGAGCAGTTCTTTCTTTTTTTTTGGCCTTCCAGAGCTTGCCTTCACATTTCAGACAGTGAAAACTGCAAGATGGAGAAGCTTTGATATCTTTTTATAGCTTTCCTCCGTTTTGTAGGCATAAAGTAGCTTCAAGATAGCTTAAAGATGTGTATAGTTGCACATAGTGTTAGCACAAGATTTGAAGAGTCAGAGAATTTATTACAGTCTGAAATTCATCAGCTGACAATTTTTAATGAGAATCCTTGACCTAAGTTCTAAAACTCTACCCCAGAAAGTGTCCAAACTTTTGCACATGCCACAATTACTTTCTGTTTTGATAAATTCATGAAACAAAGAAACTGTGCATTAACATTTACAGAAAAATTGTATTTTAATAAACGTATTTTGTATAAAAGTTTTTTACTTTAAAAATCAAGAAATTATATTACGCAAACATTTGCAGATGACTGTATGATTGCATGTTTCAACTGAATTCTGTATTATTGAGCAAAACTACTAAACGCCATAAATGAGTACTGCTTGTCAAGAATCCACCTTTGATCTTTTTGACGTATTTTATTATATTATATATTATATTGTTTTATCACAGCAAACAGACATTTGTGGCTGTTATTTTTACTACCGTTAAAGGGGGTTTAACTCCATGTCACGATATGTCTAGCATCACCTTTTAACTATGGTAGACTATTACATATGGTTTACTGTTGGGATCTGAGATTTCTGAGATCACACAAACTCACAGGCTGTCAGTTTAGAGTAGTGTGTTTGTGAGGCTGTGTATGTGCAGCCTCGAGGCTCTTTAAAAATAAAGTATACACGTAGTGAACTGGGGCCTTTCTTTTTTCACAATGCATAAACCAATCAAACCACAAAATAAATGTAAAACTAATTGATGAGGTGCTGATCAGGTTATTTTAATCTTTAAAACTTTTTTCTTTTAAATAAAAACATATAATAACTTACCTCTACAAGGGTTAGTAATGTTGACAGCTAGACTTGAGTTTGTAGCTGTAAACCCATCCCAGCAAAAGCAACTGTATCCTCCTATTGTGTTGTTGCAGCTGGAGTTTAATCCACATACAGATGGTGCAGAAAGACATTCATCCACATCTAAAAGACCAAAATGATTAGTATTTAATTTATGTTAACTGTGAAGTATAAGGAATATGCACACCAAAGGAAAAGGAGGGCAGGGGGAGATACAACGTGAGGAGGGTGACTAAAACAAGTAAAATATGTGCAAATAAATGATGCCAGGAGCCAGTGAAAAAAGATGTTGAGTTTTACACCAGAAGATTACATTGACCAAACACTTTAAATCTGATAACTCACTTAATTTCATTGAAAGAACACAACTGATTCAGTTTCACTGACTTAGGTGTTTCTTAAGTAATATCAATAAGAGAAAACAGATTACAACCAATAACAGAGCAATTTCATTTTTTCGATCGAAAAAGCAGTTATTTAAAAACGAACCTCTGCACGGGTTGCTGATGTTGATAGGAAAGTATGGATTTGTCACATTATATCCATTCAGGCACATACAAGTGTAGTTTCCTGCAGCATTGGTGCAGATTGCATTTGGACCACACACACCAGGAATCTCAGTACATTCATCCACATCTTGATTAAAGAAAGTGACAATACAAAGAGACTTTTCAACATTGTCTATTAACCTATTCACTGCAGTCCGTAATCTACACGGTCAAACTCAAACGATGGCCAATATATGTGTTATACTGGGTGCTCTGCCAACTTCTGTTATTTTCTATTTGATACCATTTATCTAAATCAAGCTGCACGTCAGAGATAATCGAACCATTCCCTCATTAATGGAGACCGACAGTCTTCACAGAGGAACTGGTCACTAGTTAACGGTTTCATGACAGGAACAGTGTTAAAGAAAAGACAGCAGTAAACTTGTAAAATGAAAGTATTCTGAGTGAGACCTGGAGTATCTTTTAACATAAAATCCTGGAAATTTCTTTTGTTAAAGTATTCCAAAAATCTATGGTGTAACCGTTTTTATAAGAGATGCTAAAAAACTTTTAATGGCATGGGTAATTACTGTGAATACTCACGGAAGGCAAAAGCATTGATTTTCAAACATACCTCTGCACTGGTTGCTGATGTTGATAGGAAAGTATGGATTTGTCACATTATATCCTCTCAGGCATGTGCAGCTGTAGTTTCCAACAGCATTAGTGCAGTCTGCATTTGGACCACACACTTCAGGAATCTCGGTACATTCATCCACATCTTCATGAAAAAAAAAATGTAAATAAAGACACTTTTAATCATTGTCTATTAAACAGTCCATAATCTAGCAGGTCTGACTCAAATGACGCTCTTTATAAAAACACTGGACGCTGTACTAACCTGTGAATTTCTAGAGCCCATTATCTGAAACAAGCTGTAAATCTGAGATTATTTACCCATTTTCACACTAATGAAGACCAACAGTCTATACAGAATTACTCACCAACTTACACTAATGTTCAAGAAAAGACAGCAGGAAACTTGTAATATGAAATTATTTTGAGCAAGACAGTCATGGTGAATCACTGTCTATACTCAAAAATGGTAAAAATTGATTTTCAAATGTTTCTCTGCATTGACTGCTCACATTAATAGTAATATACACATTCATCACATTGTATACAGTGGACCACACATTTCAGGAAACCCATCAGATTCATCCACAGCCTGATTTATGAAAGTGACAAAACAAAAAGACTTTTAAACATTATCTATTAATCAGTGTTTATTCAAGTCTGTTATCTTTATCAGGGGTGTCTAATGTTATCCACAAAGGGTCAGTGTGGCTGCAGACTACGCTTGTTGAATCAGTTGGGCTCGGTTTTCAAAGAAATGATCTTGTTTACTCCTGCTTTGCTGGAATGAACACCTGCAGACACCTCAGACTGCCCTAGTTTTATTATGAATCAAAAATATTTTACACTTATCACAATAAGTGTGGGCAGTCGTGGGCCGAAGGTTAGAGAACCAGCCTTGAGACCGGAAGGTTGCCGGTTTGATCCCCTGAGCCGACAGTATGTGACTGAAGTGCCCTTGATCAAGGCACCTAAGCCCCAACTGCTCCTCAGGCGCTATGGATAGGGCTGCCCACTGCCCCCTAGTGTGTGTGTTCACTAGTGTGCATGTATGTGGGTGTTTCACTGCATGGATGGGTAAAATGGAGAGGTCGAATTCCTCTGTGTGATCTGATCGTTTCTCCTTACTCACAGCACAGTAGTGCTGGGTGATATGACCTCAAATCTCAAATATTCCTCAAATATTTTACCTCAAGTATGATTAATGAATGATTATTTTGTTTTGTTTGTGTTTTTTTGCCATTATAGTTCACGGACAAGGTTTGTACTGTAAATATGCTCTACATATTTTAATGTATATCGTCTCAACAGCCAGATTGGAATTTCAAAAGAATTGGCCGAACACAGCCGTAGGAAAGCGAGGCTGCAGCATCATACAACAATTAAAAGTCCAAAAGCAAAGTTTAAAGAATCTGAGGACACGAATCAAAGAAGTGACCACGCCCTTTTTACGGAGAGCTCGAACACATTCAGGGTGATGAGCCCAGCTGTCAGTCAGTCAAGCTTCATGATGGCTCCTGTGATGCTGGTAAAGATGAAGCTGAACCTCCGGGAGCGACTGGTGTTCATTCATAGTCATGATTGTTACCTCTGGATGAGCTGTGTGAAGCATGACGCGTTGTTCTTTTGCGCATGTGGGTCAGTTTAGGAGCTGATCTGTTCAGACTGATGTTGTATACAGATCACATTTAAAAGATGCTGTGAACAGCCAAACAAAAAAATCGGATTTGGTGAGAAAATCAGATTTTGGCCACTTTCACCTGCTGTGTGAACGTAACCTTAGCTTCCATGTTGCAGAGTGGACGTGGCAGAGTCACATGACAACACGTGGTTGTAAGTTTTTGAGGGGACAGTACATGAACACACAGAGTGGGGAAAGGATTAACAGAAATTAAAAAAACAAAATTACTGACACAGGCAAGATTACGTTGGTTAGAGGTTCTGAATGTCGGTTTTGATTACTTTTCAATTAATTGTCTACCAGGCCCGCTAGCGTCTCTTAGCAGCGAGCTAGGGGATAAAAGTACGATGCACACTTGGGATAACCAACGCTTCACGGAGGTGGTCTAACTCTAGGTACGAAAGGCATACATTGTGGCCCTAGTAAGGGTCCAGTACAGCAGAGAATTGTTTGCAGCTGCCCTTCGAATACATGCTGTTTTTTTTTAAGAGAAGAAATGTTTATATTATGCTGTTAGAGGTTCATTTGTACAAACACTTTTATGTTGAAGAGCCTTAATACAGTTTAAATGGATGTTTTTTTTGGGACAGAGGGCTGTGCTTTTAGCTTTTTGTTTAATTTCTTTGAGGGCTGAAATTTATGTACTAATCTTTTGTTGCTCTTTGTTTGTTTGTTTTTTTTGACCATTTATAAACTGTTAAACTCCTTTACCATGCTATGTGGGTGTGACCATTTTGCTGTGTCATCATCATTCTTACCCATGCAACCAGTGTGTTTATGATTAAATGATTAAAACACAAAACTGATCAGAGCACAATATTCTTCATAAATCTAATTTCTTAATTTTGCTCTTAACCCTTGTGTGCTGTTGGGGATGGAGATGTGTCATATTGTAAAAAATATTGTGAAAGAATGGAAAAAGCACTGGTTGACAAACACACCTCTGCATGGGTTGCCGATGTTGATAGGAAAGGATAGATTTGTCACAGTGTATCCACTCAGGCATGCGCAGCTGTAGTTTCCAACAGCATTGGTGCAGTGTGTATTTGGTCCACACACATCAGGAATCTCAGTACATTCATCCACATCTTGATTAAAGAAAGTAATAAAACAAAGAGACTTTCAAACTTTACCCATTAAACAGTCTTCATTCCAGGACATTATCTATCAACAGAAATTAAGGCCTTTATAGGTAATAAAGTGTATTTTGTACTGAGGTTCTAGACCATAAAAATCTAAAACAAGTCGAACACCAGACGTAATCTAACGTAATCTAACTACTGCACACACATGGAGTCCTACACGTGCAGTCTTCACAGATGATGTCATCTTTTCACTTGTCATTTGTTCCAGGACTTGTACATAATTAAATGTTTAAGAAACAACAGCGATAAACTTATGAAAGCATTTAAAGCAACAACTACAATATCTTATAACATACAATATTGGAAGTTCTTGGTGCTCAAGTACCATTCCTCACTGTTTTATAAGATATTTATTTAGCATTTAGGGCATTTGGCTGATGCTCTTATCCAGAGCAACTTACAATTTGATCATTTTACACAGGTAGGTGAAGGTAGTGTTAGGAGTCTTGCCCAAGGACTTATACTGGTATAGTGCAAGGTGCTTACCCAGGTAGGGATTGAACCCCAGTCTACAGCATAGAAGGCAGAAGTGTTACCCACTACACTACACCAATAAAAGATTCTTTGGAAAAAAAACTGAGTTACAGGTCATTGCTGCAAACATCAAGCACTTGTAAAAGCACTGACTGACAAACATACCTCTGCACGGGTTGCTGATGTTGATAGGAAAGTATGGATTTGTCACACTATATCCTCTCAGGCATGTGCAGCTGTAGTTTCCAGCAGCATTGGTGCAGTTTGCATTTGGACCACACACTTCAGGAATCTCAGTACATTCATCCACATCTTGATTAAAGAAAGCAAACAATCATTTTGGATGCCTAAGGAAATCTAAGGTTAACAGTGGCTTATTAATCTGTCATACCCCTTCACTTCTAATCAGAACTATATTTAGCAAGTGAAGAAATTTAAAGTACACAATTGGACCTTAAAACCACTGCTGTACATTTACATTATTTGTACTCTTATGAATAAAAAATGTACCAGCACAGATCTTTTATTTCTAACAGTGTAGGTGTTAGCTGTCATTGAAAAGGAGTGATTGACAAAGATACCTCTGCACGGGTTGCTGATGTTGATAGCAAAGTATGGACTCGTCACAGTGTATCCACTCAGGCATGTACAGCTGTAGTTTCCAAAAGTATTGGTGCAGGTTGCATTTGGACCACACACTTCAGGAATCTCAGTACATTCGTTCACATCTTGATTAAAGAAATTGATAAAACAAACACAATTTTAAACATTGTCTATTAAACAGTATTTACTGCAGTCCATTGTCTACAGGGTCAAACTCAAATGATGGCCTTTATTTGTAATACAGTGGATGGTTTACCCAACGGTATTGGACAGCTGAACGCGCTCGGAGGAAAGCGCCAACTGCCAGATCTGTTACGTCAGCACGCTGAGTGATGGAGGGACAAGGGGGGGCCATCCTACCCACCCAGAGAGAGTGAGGCCAATTGTGCTCTCTTGAACTCCCAGCTACGGATGGCTGTAGCATCACCAGGGATCGAACTTGCGATCTCCTGATGACAGGGCCAATGCTTAGACGGTTGCACCACTCGGTAGCCCTGGTGTACTAAACAGACCGCAGGTATTGTGCCAACTGTAAAGTTTGGTGGAGGAGGGATAATGTTGTGGGGTTGCAGACCATTTTTTACAGAACCTTTTCTGTTCCAGCACGACTGAGCCCCAGTGCACAAAGCACGGCCCGTAAAGGCATGGTTGGGTGAGTTTAGTGTGGAAGAACTTGACTAGCAGAGTCTCTATCTTTCAAACTTGAAATGTTTTAGGCAAAATCACTTACCTATACATGGGTTTGTAATGCTGATAGTTAAGTTTGCGCTGGTTGCAGTAAATCCAGGCCAGCAAGAGCAGCTGTATCCTCCTAAAGTGTTGGTGCAGTTGGAATTTGATCCACAAGGAGATAGCGCAGATAGACATTCATCTACATCTATGAAATAAATTTAATTTAATTTATTACATGTTTAAGTACATCTTATAAGCACACATTTTCAGGATTAGGTGTGTCCATTATCATCATTAAAGCTTCAAAGGCCTCTGACAGAACTGAACCTAAAGTTTGATGACTTACCCCTACAAGGGTTACTAATGTTAACCCTTAGACTTGAGTTTGTAGCAGTAAATCCATTCCAGCAAAAGCAATTGTATCCTCCTACTGTGTTGATGCAGGTGGAGTTTGGACCACATACAGACGGAGTTAACAGACATTCATCCACATCTGGAAGATTGATAAACAATTCTTTTTTGTAAAGTTGCTCATTTTCACTGTTAGCAGTCTTAAAGCTTTATCTAACAACACAGAACCAGCTTACCACTACAAGAGTTATTAACACTAATGCTTAGACGCGAGTTGCTTATGTTAAATCCAGACCAGCAAGAGCAGCTGTATCCTCCTACTGTGTTGATACAGGTGGAGTTTGGACCACAAATAGACGGTTCAGACAAACATTCCTCCACATCTGTAATGACAGAATTAGCTGTAATTATTGCATCAACATATTTTCATTTTTGGAAAAGTGATTTATCATTAAAACACTCACCGCCAACAAAACACAACACCAGCATTTAGACTCTTACCTACACAGGAGTTATTAACACTGACGCTTAGACTTGAGTTTATTGCAGTGAATCCAGTCCAGCAAGAGCAACTGTATCCTCCTACTGTGTTGTTGCAGATGGAGTTTAATCCACATACAGATGGTGCAAACAGACATTCATCTATATCTAAAAGATAAAAATGATTATTTGGATTAAAATGTTTTTTTTTTTCCCAGCAAAAGGGTGCAAAAGTACATTTTCAGACCATGTAAACACAAAAGACAAATTGCACATTTTTTGAAATGTAATAAAGGTCAGATATTTTGACAATATTTTCAGTGTGAGACTGAGCTAATTCACTATAAACACCATTACCTCTTTTTGTTGAAAATGTAAATAGTTGAAATGTTGAAAAAGAAATAGTTTTTATGCCAAAGTAACTACTTTATATGACATAGGAGTATCTGTGAACATCAGCACTCGTTATTAACGTAAAGATCTACGAATCTGCACAATTACACAAATTGTATACGCCCCCTTGCTACCATGTTTCTAAACCCCTTCCCCGTCCCCACGTCCCTGCACACTGTCTCTATGTTTGGACAGACGATACAGAGAAGAAACAAAAAACTTGCTGTAACTTTAATTGCCATAAATGTTCTGTCTTTCTGTCACTCCAGCACCAGTCACTCGACTTCACTCGTGCAGATTTGAGTCTTTATCTTCTAAATTTGCCACAGTGCAGTGAGCTAGAAATGCTGTTTGTTTAACATGCTCACAATGCCAACATTAGCCTCTGGCGCTCATGAAGATATGAAATAAAAGTAGCTTAAGTTAATAGTTTCATACACAAATACACAGGTTTATCCACACAAATTTGAGCCTTTACTCTGTAAACTTGCATCAGTGAGGCTTTGATGAGCGGAAAGAAGTCTGCAATATTGAGTGTACAGCTGTTTACGATTTTGGCCTCCAACGGTTATGAAAAAGGACAATCAAGGAAAAATTACTATTGTGCTGCATCCTGTTCCGCAATGATGCTTTAATTTTTTTCTGATACAGGGCCGAAAGTCAATTGAACATTTCATGTTAGATGCATGATACTACAAATTGTTTCTATAGTTTTATTTAACACAGCTTATGATATTTCTAGAAATCTTTATTAAAAACTGGAAAAAACTGGCTTGGTTAGCCCACTTTAGACGCAGCTTAAGTTAGCATCTTATTTGTCAGCTTATCCGAATTTTCTGTTCAAACTTAAATGATGCAGGAGTTCCACTCAGACCCTGGAGGAAAATTTGAATAGTAAGCTAACTTCAGCTTTCTACCTTGGACGGCTGATTAGTTGTATAAAATGGTGGATGGACAAAGTGTGCTTATTAGAAAAAACTGACGTGAATTCACACTCATCTCCTGTTTGGGAACACTTTGACTTCCCAGACGAGTACAACTGTTACAGGCAATGAGTGGTGGACTGAATGATGACAGTCTGCCTGTGTTGCAACCAATTCAGTTCCGCCCCAAATTCACATCCTTCTTCACAAATCAAGTCATCTTTCGCATTAACTATACAGAAATCAACACCAAGCAACACACTGGAACTACAGAAAGCAAAAACGTTCAAGAAAGACTGCACAGCTGAAAGGTTGACACAAACAAAAACAGCTGTGTAACATTAACATTTCTTCAATTTTTTTTTATTCCGTAGGTCCAGTGCTGCTTTATAAGGAAGTCATGGCTGATTTAATCATGAGAACTCAATACATGTGTATTTGTTTGCAAGTTGATCTTGACCGCTCAAACATGGACGTGCAGATGTATCACCCCAGATTGAGAACAACAGACAATGTGGCATCTATGCATTTACATCTGTGGTTCGACCCTGGTGGCCTTGCCTTGGTACGTATGGCTGAGGAAATCAGGAAAGGAGCAACAAGTTCTCTCTCTCCCTCATAATATTATAATGTGCCGTCCAAGAGGTGGTAACCATTTAAATTGAAACAAAGTTCTGCAGGTGGAGTTTGGAGCACCCAGAGAAGTCTATGCCATTTCTTTAGTCTCTTGTGCAGTAATATGGAAGTTTGGGTGCACCTGCTCAAATAACATGTTTTGTTGATTTTCGAAGTAAAAGTAAGTTACACATCCTCTTTCCTCACATTAATACGTCTTGATTAATTGATGGTATAAAAAACATTCTATTTTTAAATTTAACAGTAAAACATTAAACTGACATTAAATATCTTACCAATGCAAGGGTTACTAATGCTGACATTTAGATTTGCATTTGTGACAGCAAACCCATCCCGGCAAGAGCAGCTGTATCCTCCTAGTGTGTTGTTGCAGGTGGAGTGTGAACCACAAGGGGATGGTGTGAACAGACACTCATCCACATCTGCGAAATAAATAAACAGATGTAATCACAACTTTTTAAAATGAGTCTTTCTGGAGATTAATTTTATTATAGAATATTTTCAGTTTCAAGTTCAGGTTTTCAGTCAGTTTACAGCATACGTATTTGGATAATGATGAAATACTGCAGGTGTCTCAATACACTCATACATCGCTAATTCAACAGAAAATGCCGAAACACATTCAAGGAAGCATTTTTCTTATTGAACTTAAAATTATTTGAGCAGATTTTATTGAAGTTTAATATCTTGTCTATGCAAGAGTTAATAGCACTGATGTTTTGAGTTAGTTGCAGTAAATCCAGAACAGCAAGAACAACTTTATCCTGCTACTGTCTTGGTGCAGGTGGAGTTTAATCCACACACAGATGGACACAGATAGACATTCATCCACATCTGTGAGAGAATTTTTTTTTTTTTGCAAAATATTAAACTGATAGTTTGTATCCACACAAGACTACATATCGCTGTTTTCGGAAGAACACCTTGTATCTCCAAAATGGTAACCTTACAGGAAAAAAAAAACACACTTTTAATGTAAGTCAATGGAACCAGACATTTATCCAAGTAATTTTGGGTCATTACTTTTAGTCCATTCATCATGAAATGTAAAGGTTAACAGTTATTTTCAAATTATGTAAAAAACTGAAAAATGTCATATTAAGATACAGGTTTTTTTTCCCAACAACAGCAATGTACAGGTTTATGTTCAGTTTTCCTCCTGTAAGGGGAAACCCTAAGGACTTGGCTCTTACATACATGTAAGAGAGAAGCAAGGGCCACAAGAGAGAGTAAAGGACCACCATCACAGCATCCCAAGCCTTTTCCTGTCCAACTAGCATTTGGAAAGCAAACACTAAGCGTAACCGTTGTTTCTAAGTCTAACGCAAGTTTAAAAAAATGTTTTTGTATGCATGTTATTTGAGTTGGATGATTATTTTGGTTGTGAGTGCCTCTGGCTGTGGCTTTTTGCTCTTGTGCTCTTATGTTTCGGCTTCTGCTTTTAGTTTGTTATAGTCCTTTGTATATTGTCAGAATCCAGTGAAATATATTCTAGGCGAACTTTGAATCACATACTATATGTTTCCACATATGAACACATTAATGGAGAGTACAGAAAACGTAAACATTTCTATATTTAATAGCAAAATATTAAACTGATATTTAACAACTTACCTATACAAGGGTTAGTAACGTTGACAGTACGATTTGAGTTTGTTGGAGTAAATCCGGTCCAGCATGAGCAATTGTATCCTCCTATTGTGTTGGTGCAGGTGGAGTTTGGACCACAAACAGACGGAGTAGACAGACATTCATCTACATCTATGAAATAAATAAGAGTTATTGTCTTGTAAATGTGTCTATCAGCAATTATTATGTATTGGCAGAGGAAATGATCATTTAAATTTAAAATACGTTTAGAGTTAATAATATTTTAATGTTATGTTTAATTGACATTTTTGCAACATGTTAAATTCAGCAAATAAACAGTATTTGTGGATTAAAATGTGCAGAGCTGTGTTTTCTGTAAAAGATGTGTTAACTTATTTTTAACAAAACGTAATTTGACCAAAGGCACTCAAACTTTGGGTTTTGAAGTGAACATTCAAGGCATGCATTAGTGCACAGCTGACTTCAGTGTTTGTGTGTTCACAATGTTGTATATTTCTCAATATACATAGACTTCTATGCAGCGGTATGGGGACCCTTCGCTAAATAAACATATTTAGTTAATTTTTAATGTAAAAAGAAGTAAACATAACCTCTACAAATGATTTAAACAAACCAAATCTAAACAAATGTTAACATTTATTTACAAATGTTACTGCATGGGTTACTTGTATTGGACTAATTTAAAAAAACAAAAATTCAAATAGTAATTGCCCTACTTATAACCCTACTACATCACTGCTCAGTAACACCCCCCATGACAGATATCACAGCATGCAAACAGTTTTTGTGGGCAGCTACGAGTCTTTCTTTTCTTTTAGTTCTTCTAGTTCTGCAATATGTTTGGGCTGTGTTGCATGTACTGCATGTTTAAGATCTACCCATAGACTTTCAATGATGTTTAAGTTAGGGGACTATGAGGGTCCCAAGGGGAGACGACTGGGACTGGTGATCAGCTCTTAAATGGAAGGGGTGGTCTATTTGAAAGGGAAATGGAGGGGTGGAGTGAGGGTGCTTGCATGTTGATTTTGGATTTTTTTTGTTACAATGGTGTCAGAACTGGCTCAAGAACAAGAGATGAGAGGTTGGTCCCAGTGACGCTGCATGGGGCTGAAGTGAGCAGTGGCAGTGCTATTGGTGTGCTGGAGGTGCAGGAAGAGGGGAAACTGCTTCAGTCAATTCTGCAGGGCTGTGAACGGATGGCATCTTGGCTTGGGGTGGAAAAGCTGACAGACACAGTGTATCGGGTGTGCACAGAACCCGACATGATGTTCCATTGGCCCCACCATCTTTGGGGCTGTCCAGAGAAATGGCCTGCAGGACCCAATGCACACTCCCCAGCCACACAGAGAACCCCTCCAGGCTCCCCGGCATCGTCGGAGTGCTATCAGCGCCCCATCGGCGCCCCTCAGCAGCTTCAGAGTCCCATCAGTTGCTCAGGAGGGCCACAGTGGACTGACAATAGGCCCATATGCAGGGAGGGACTTAGTCTGGTGGGACTAGAGAGAAGCTGCAGTTTGGATAACAACTTTGAGTTGTCTGAGTTTCTTCTGTGAACCCCCCATGCTACAGTATAAGAGATCAACCTTATCCAGACTTATCTAGATGTTGTTTTACATACTTAAGATGCTGACTTTTGTGATAAGGTCACAGGTAAGGTTTCCTTCTGATGACTCTTCGGCTCAATCTCATTTCACCCCTTGCCCCTACCGCTTAGCCCTTACTCCTCTAGTTTGCACGTTCAAGCATAGGGATAGAGTGTCCCAATTTTTGTTCAGTTAAAGGGGTACGGTGAAGTGTTAGGGCTACATGCCCCTCCAAAAACGTAGGCTTTTCAGAGACTCACACCAAACGAGGCGTTATGAGGAGAAAAAACGGCAAGATGGCTGCACAAGCAACCAAAGAAACCCACAAATGTATACCCAAGTATTTTGTCAGCTAAAAAATGACAATCACTGTATTATCTTTAATAATGTTATTTCCCCATTGTATTTTTTTATTTCATTTTAATGTATTATGGTCCTCTTCTTCATAACAAGCATAAAAAAATCACTGGTAGTATGGTGATGTAAGCAGCTAAATTTCCCGTTCCAACTTAAATAGTCCAGCAGTTACATTCTGATGCCTCAGAATTCTGGCGCACCCCTCTTTGAAAGTTCTTAAACTCCACTCCAGAAAGAGTGTCCAAACTTTTGCAAGGTTCCTGAACTTTACCGATCCTCTGCTATCGCTGCAGACTAGCAGGACAGACTGTTACTGAAGCAATGCTCTTGTTTATTTGAGAGTTGTCCCATTTTGTTGGGGAAGATTTCAATCACTACCCCTTGTACTTCAGTTCTAATGGACACACTCGAAAACAAGGGGTAGAGGTAAAAAAAAAAAAAGAAACAGGAATGGGCCTTCCACTTAGGTCATATTTGTGCAAGCAACGATGCACAGTAGAACTGCCAACTTTCCTGAAGGTCCTCTACAATCATATCAGGGCTTTGCTTTACCTTTCTGGCCAGCATGCGAGCAGTTCTTTCTTTTTTTTTGGCCTTCCAGAGCTTGCCTTCACATTTCAGACAGTGAAAACTGCAAGATGGAGAAGCTTTGATATCTTTTTATAGCTTTCCTCCGTTTTGTAGGCATAAAGTAGCTTCAAGATAGCTTAAAGATGTGTATAGTTGCACATAGTGTTAGCACAAGATTTGAAGAGTCAGAGAATTTATTACAGTCTGAAATTCATCAGCTGACAATTTTTAATGAGAATCCTTGACCTAAGTTCTAAAACTCTACCCCAGAAAGTGTCCAAACTTTTGCACATGCCACAATTACTTTCTGTTTTGATAAATTCATGAAACAAAGAAACTGTGCATTAACATTTACAGAAAAATTGTATTTTAATAAACGTATTTTGTATAAAAGTTTTTTACTTTAAAAATCAAGAAATTATATTACGCAAACATTTGCAGATGACTGTATGATTGCATGTTTCAACTGAATTCTGTATTATTGAGCAAAACTACTAAACGCCATAAATGAGTACTGCTTGTCAAGAATCCACCTTTGATCTTTTTGACGTATTTTATTATATTATATATTATATTGTTTTATCACAGCAAACAGACATTTGTGGCTGTTATTTTTACTACCGTTAAAGGGGGTTTAACTCCATGTCACGATATGTCTAGCATCACCTTTTAACTATGGTAGACTATTACATATGGTTTACTGTTGGGATCTGAGATTTCTGAGATCACACAAACTCACAGGCTTTCAGTTTAGAGTAGTGTGTTTGTGAGGCTGTGTATGTGCAGCCTCGAGGCTCTTTAAAAATAAAGTATACACGTAGTGAACTGGGGCCTTTCTTTTTTCACAATGCATAAACCAATCAAACCACAAAATAAATGTAAAACTAATTGATGAGGTGCTGATCAGGTTATTTTAATCTTTAAAACTTTTTTCTTTTAAATAAAAACATATAATAACTTACCTATACAAGGGTTAGTAATGTTGACAGCTAGACTTGAGTTTGTAGCTGTAAACCCATCCCAGCAAAAGCAACTGTATCCTCCTATTGTGTTGTTGCAGCTGGAGTTTAATCCACAAACAGATGGTGCAGAAAGACATTCATCCACATCTAAAAGATCAAAATGATTAGTATTTAATTCATGTTAACTGTGAAGTATAAGGAATATGCACACCAAAGGAAAAGGAGGGCAGGGGGAGATACAACGTGAGGAGGGTGACTAAAACAAGTAAAATATGTGCAAATAAATGATGCCAGGAGCCAGTGAAAAAAGATGTTGAGTTTTACTCAAGAAGATTACATTGACCAAACACTTTAAATCTGATAACTCACTTAATTTCATTGAAAGAACACAACTGATTCAGATTCACTGACTTATGTGTTTCTTAAGTAATATCAATAAGAGAAAACAGATTACAACCAATAAAAGAGCAATTTCATTTTTTCGATCGAAAAAGCAGTTATTTAAAAACGAACCTCTGCACGGGTTGCTGATGTTGATAGGAAAGTATGGATTTGTCACATTATAACCATTCAGGCACATACAAGTGTAGTTTCCTGCAGCATTGGTGCAGATTGCATTTGGACCACACACGCCAGGAATCTCAGTACATTCATCCACATCTTGATTAAAGGAAGTGACAAAACAAAGAGACTTTTCAACATTGTCTATTAACCTATTCACTGCAGTCCGTAATCTACACGGTCAAACTCAAACGATGGCCAATATATGTGTTATACTGGGTGCTCTGCCAACTTCTGTTATTTTCTATTTGATACCATTTATCTAAATCAAGCTGCACGTCAGAGATAATCGAACCATTCCCTCATTAATGGAGACCGACAGTCTTCACAGAGGAACTGGTCACTAGTTAACGGTTTCATGACAGGAACAGTGTTAAAGAAAAGACAGCAGTAAACTTGTAAAATGAAAGTATTCTGAGTGAGACCTGGAGTATCTTTTAACATACAATCCTGGAAATTTCTTTTGCTAAAGTATTCCAAAAATCTATGGTGTAACCGTTTTTATAAGAGATGCTAAAAAACTTTTAATGGCATGGGTAATTACTGTGAATACTCACGGATGGCAAAAGCATTGATTTTCAAACATACCTCTGCACTGGTTGCTGATGTTGATAGGACTGTATGGATTTGTCACATTATATCCTCTCAGGCATGTGCAGCTATAGTTTCCTGCAGCATTAGTGCAGTCTGCATTTGGACCACATACTTCAGGAATCTCGGTACATTCATCCACATCTTCATGAAAAAAAAAATGTAAATAAAGACACTTTTAATCATTGTCTATTAAACAGTCCATAATCTAGCAGGTCCGACTCAAATGACGCTCTTTATAAAAACACTGGACGCTGTACTAACCTGTGAATTTCTAGAGCCCATTATCTGAAACAAGCTGTAAATCTGAGATTATTTACCCATTTTCACACTAATGAAGACCAACAGTCTATACAGAATTACTCACCAACTTACACTAATGTTCAAGAAAAGACAGCAGGAAACTTGTAATATGAAATTATTTTGAGCAAGACAGTCATGGTGAATCACTGTCTATACTCAAAAATGGTAAAAATTGATTTCCAAATGTTTCTCTGCATTGACTGCTCACATTAATAGTAATATACACATTCATCACATTGTATACAGTGGACCACACATTTCAGGAAACCCATCAGATTCATCCACAGCCTGATTTATGAAAGTGACAAAACAAAAAGACTTTTAAACATTATCTATTAAGCAGTGTTTATTCAAGTCTGTTATCTTTATCAGGGGTGTCTAATGTTATCCACAAAGGGTCAGTGTGGCTGCAGACTACGCTTGTTGAATCAGTTGGGCTCGGTTTTCAAAGAAATGATCTTGTTTACTCCTGCTTTGCTGGAATGAACACCTGCAGACACCTCAGACTGCCCTAGTTTTATTATGAATCAAAAATATTTTACACTTATCACAATAAGCGTGGGCAGTCGTGGGCCGAAGGTTAGAGAACCAGCCTTGAGACCAGAAGGTTGCCGGTTTGATCCCCTGAGCCGACAGTATGTGACTGAAGTGCCCTTGATCAAGGCACCTAAGCCCCAACTGCTCCTCAGGCGCTATGGATAGGGCTGCCCACTGCCCCTAGTGTGTATGCTCACTAGTGTGCACGTAATGTGGGTGTTTCACTGCATGGATGGGTAAAATGAAGAGATTGAATTCCTCTGTGTGCAAGCACATTCATTCAGTTCATTCATAACATAAACACTGTTGTGCTTTGCCCCATTGTTTCAGCAAAGCAAATCTCACCAGCAGTCAGCCAAAGCTCTCCACTAAGCCTTCAGAAAACAAGTCCCTACATTCTGTACTACAGGAGATCGTTTCTCCTTACTCACAGCACAGTAGTGCTGGGTGATATGACCTCAAATCAATATCACGATTAAATATTGATTGAATATTTTACCTCAAGTATGATTAATGAATGATTATTTTGTTTTGTTTGTGTTTTTTTGCCATTATAGTTCACGGACAAGGTTTGTACTGTAAATATGCTCTACACATTTTAATGTATATCGTCTCAACAGCCAGATTGGAATTCACACGGCTTTTATGTCAATCCAACCACACATTCGTCATAATTTCACGCTGCTGACACCTCAAACATTTGGGGTGATATTTCTGTACAAAAATTAAAAGACACTTATCCAAAACAGCTCCGTGTTCGATGAGATTTCAAAAGAATTGGCCGAACACAGCCGTAGGAAAGCGAGGCTGCAGCATCATACAACAATTAAAAGTCCAAAAGCAAAGTTTAAAGAATCTGAGGACACGAACCAAAGAAGTGACCACGCCCTTTTTACGGAGAGCTCGAACACATTCAGGGTGATGAGCCCAGCTGTCAGTCAGTCAAGCTTCATTATGGCTCCTGTGATGCTGGTAAAGATGAAGCTGAACCTCCGGGAGCGACTGGCGTTCATTCATAGTCATGATTGTTACCTCTGGATGAGCTGTGTGAAGCATGACGCGTTGTTCTTTTGCGCATGTGGGTCAGTTTAGGAGCTGATCTGTTCAGACTGATGTTGCATACAGGTCACATTTAAAAGATATTGTGAACAGCCAAACAAAAAAATCGGATTTGGTGAGAAAATCAGATTTTGGCCACTTTCACCTGCTGTGTGAACGTAACCTTAGCTTCCATGTTGCAGAGTGGACGTGGCAGAGTCACATGACAACACGTGGTTGTAAGTTTTTGAGGGGACAGTACATGAACACACAGAGTGGGGAAAGGATTAACAGAAATTAAAAAAACAAAATTACTGACACGGGCAAGATTACGTTGGTTAGAGGTTCTGAATGTCGGTTTTGATTACTTTTCAATTAATTGTCTACCAGGCCCGCTAGCGTCTCTTAGCAGCGAGCTAGGGGATAAAAGTACGATGCACACTTGGGATAACCAACGCTTCACGGAAGTGGTCTAACTCTAGGTACGAAAGGCATACATTGTGGCCCTAGTAAGGGTCCAGTACAGCAGAGAATTGTTTGCAGCTGCCCTTTGAATACATGCTGTTTTTTTTAAGAGAAGAAATGTTTATATTATGCTGTTAGAGGTTCATTTGTACAAACACTTTTATGTTGAAGAGCCTTAATACAGTTTAAATGGATGTTTTTTTTGGGACAGAGGGCTGTGCTTTTAGCTTTTTGTTTAATGATGTGTCATATTGTAAAAAATATTGTGAAAGAATGGAAAAAGCACTGGTTGACAAACACACCTCTGCATGGGTTGCCGATGTTGATAGGAAAGGATAGATTTGTCACAGTGTATCCACTCAGGCATGTGCAGCTGTAGTTTCCAACAGCATTGGTGCAATGTGCATTTGGTCCACACACATCAGGAATCTCAGTACATTCATCCACATCTTGATTAAAGAAAGTAATAAAACAAAGAGACTTTCAAACTTTACCCATTAAACAGTCTTCATTCCAGGACATTATCTATCAACAGAAATTAAGGTCTTTATAGGTAATAAAGTGTATTTTGTACTGAGGTTCTAGACCATAAAAATCTAAAACAAGTCGAACACCAGACGTAATCTAACGTAATCTAACTACTGCACACACATGGAGTCCTAGACGTAGCATCTTTTCACTTGTCATTTGTTCCAGGACTTAATTAAATGTTTAAGAAACAACAGCGATACACTTATGAAAGCATTTAAAGCAACAACTACAATATCTTATAATATACAATCTGGGAAGTTCTTGGTGCTCAAGTACCATTCCTCACTGTTTTATAAGATATTTATTTAGCATTTAGGGCATTTGGCTGATGCTCTTATCCAGAGCAACTTACAACTTGATCATTTTACACAGGTAGGTGAAGGTAGTGTTAGGAGTCTTGCCCAAGGGCTTATACTGGTATAGTGCAAGGTGCTTACCCAGGTAGGGATTATACCCCAGTCTACAGCATAGTAGGCAGAGGTGTTACCCACTACACTACACCAATAAAAGATACTTCTGAAAAAAAATTGAGTTACAGGTCATTGCTGCAAACATCAAGCACTTGTAAAAGCACTGACTGACAAACATACCTCTGCACGGGTTGCTGATGTTGATAGGAAAGTATGGATTTATCACACTATATCCTCTCAGGCATGTGCAGCTGTAGTTTCCAACAGCATTGGTGCAGTTTGCATTTGGACCACACACTTCAGGAATCTCAGTACATTCATCCACATCTTGATTAAAGAAAGCAGACAATCATTTTGGATGCCTAAGGAAATCTAAGGTTAACAGTGGCTTATTAATCTGTCATACCCCTTTACTTCTAATCAGAACTATATTTAGCAAGTGAAGAAAGTCTATTTTTTTACTTTTCAAAATAGTAAAAAAAAAAAAGTCAGCAGAAAACATGAAAGTATTCTGTGCAACAACTGCAATTAAAACTTATGACATAAACGTCTGAAAGTTGTCCAAAATAAGCCACTCTTGTAATTAAGGTGACTTTACATTCTTCACTGAAAAAATGGTTGTCTCGCTACACTCGCAGAAGTAAAGGTAGTAAATTGTCACTGGGGCAGTTCCCCTCTTGTCACTGGGGTGCATCCCTCAAGTGTACATCTTAGTACCTTTAGTCAGGGAACATAACTGTACCATAACCCATTAAAATGATATTTTCTAAGTTGTACTGTCTCCACACACCCCGTCTCATCTCCAGGCTTTTTATTTTATTGTTCTGTTTTAAAACATTCGGTTATGAAAAGGTACAAATATGTACTTTTCACCTGGACAAACTTATTTAAGGTACACAATTGGACCTTAAAACCACTGCTGTACATTTACGTTATTTGTACTTTTATGAATAAAAAATGTACCAGCACAGATCTTTTATTTCTAACAGTGTAGGTGTTAGCTGTCATTGAAAAGGAGTGATTGACAAAGGTACCTCTGCACGGGTTGCTGATGTTGATAGCAAAGTATGGACTCGTCACAGTGTATCCACTCAGGCATGTGCAGCTGTAGTTTCCAACAGTATTGGTGCAGTTTGCATTTGGACCACACACTTCAGGAATCTCAGTACATTCGTTCACATCTTGATTAAAGAAATTGATAAAACAAACACAATTTAAAACATTGTCTATTAAACAGTATTTACCGCAGTCCATTGTCTACATGGTCAAACTCAAATGATGGCCTTTATTTGCAATACAGTGGATGGTTTACTAACTTTTTTATTTTTATGGATTTTTACCCGATTTTCTCCCCAATTTAGTTGTCTCCAAATACACCCGCTAGTTAGGACTCCCCCAATCACACGATACTATCAATGCTAGGAGGGTGAAGGCTAACACAGGCTTCCTCCGAGACCTGTGAAGCTCCACTGCTTCTTTTTGAGCTGCTGCTCACCCAACGGCATTGGACAGCTGAACGCGCTCGGAGGAAAGCGCCAACCGCCAGATCTGTTACGTGAGTTAACAGACGCCTGCGCCGACTAGCATTGCACTGAGTGATGGGGGGAGAAGGGGGGGCCATCCAACCCACCCAGAGAGAGTGAGGCCAGTTGTGCTCTCTTGGACTCCTGGCTACAGATGGCTGTAGTATCACCAGGGATCAAACTTGCGATCTCCTGATGATAGGGCCAATGCTTAGACGGTTGCGCCACTTGGCAGCCCTGGTGTACTAACTTTTGAGATTTTCTAGAACCCATTTCTCCATATCAAGCTGGATGTGAGAGATAATCTAACCATTCTCACACTAATGTAGACAGAGAAATTGGTCACTAGTTAAAATAAGTAATAAAACAAAGAGAATTTTAAACTTTCTTTATTTACCCATGTCAATTCAAGTCCACTATTCAGATGATCCAACTCAAGAGGTCTTTATTTGTAATAGACTGGATTGTGCACTAACTGTCATTTCATAGAATACAAGCATCTAAAGACGTTAAATGTCTGTCTATTGTCACACTTTTAGAGGCCTACACTTTTGTTTTAGGACTAGAACATATTAAGTGTTAAAGACCAGACAGTACCTAACCCCTGCAATATGAAAGAATTTCAAGCAACAACTGCAATATCTTTCACATAAAATCTTGAAAGTTCATTTTGCTTAGGTAGCATCCTGATGGCATGTTGTGCGTCCCTTTTAAAAGCAATAAAAATACCAGAAAAATCTTACTGTCAACTCTAATGTCTACACAAAGATGGTAAAATCATTATTAAATATACCTGTGCATGAGTTGCTGATATTGATAGGCATAAGCGGATTCGTCACATTATATCCACTCAAGCATGTGCAACTGTAGTTTCCTATAACATTGGTGCAGTCTGCATTTGGCCCACACACATCACGAATCTCAGTACATTCATCCACATCTTGATGAAAAGAAAAGTTAGCAAAGAAAGACACTTTTTAATCATTGTCTATTAAACAGTATTTTCTCCAATACATAAAGTAGATCAGTCGCAAATCTTTTACTTATCATACAGTGGATGTTGTAGAGGATCTGAAGATCTAAAATAACCAGCATTTTTAGATCTAATCTATCTAACTATTCTCACACTTATGGTGGCCCACGTTTAGAGTCTTCACAGAACAACTGATCTCGCTAGTTAGTTTCAGGAAAGTAACATACATATCTGTTTAAGAAAAGGCAGCAGTAAACTTGATATGAAAGTACTGCTAGCAACAACTGCAGCATCTTAGAAAATCTACGAAGTTCCTGTTGCTCAGAAACTATTCCAATTACTTATTTGTACACAGTTTTATGGGGTACTATAGGGTACAACTCACTTAATTTAATTGAAGGAACATATCTGACTGACTTTACTGACTTATCAATTTGTTAAGTAATATTAATAAATAAAAAACAGCTTAAAACCAACAAGAGCGAGTTCATCTTTTTGAGTGCAGCAAAATGCTAGCCAACGTAGCTGTCTATTAGCTGACGTAACTGGCTGTTAGTGTTCTCCACCAAGCACGTAGAGCTGTCCAGTGATGTTGAGTTAGGGAGAGTATGAAAAGATGCAAAGACATTAGAGCGGAACATTGAACTGCCATTTAATATCTTACCAGTGCATGGGTTACTAACGCTGACAAGCAGATTTGAGTTTGTAGCAGTAAATCCCTTCCAGCAAGAGCAATTGTGTCCTCCAATTGTGTTGATGCAGGTGGAGTTTGGACCACATATAGATGGTGTAGACAGACATTCATCCACATCTACAACGAAAGATTTTCCCTTCTTAGAATTTTAATATCAGCATTTTTCTAGTATTTACTGACAGTGGAAAAGATTTGAGTATGATATTACATTTATACGTAAGTACTTGCCTCTACAAGTGTTATTAACGCTAATCATCAGACTTGAGTTTGTTTTGGTAAATCCTCCCACGCAAGAGCAGTTGTATCCTCCTATTGTGTTGGTGCAGGTGGAGTCTGGACCACATATAGATGGTTCAGGTGTACATTCATCTGTATCTGTGAGAGAAAGTAAAAAGTTTATCTTGTATTCTTTCATCAGCAGTTTCAATCAAAATCAAAATTTCAAATTATTTCAGCAAAAAAATAAACCACTATTAAATAACAACATACAAGCGTCACTGTTACTGACACTTCCACTTGAGTTTATTGTAATAAATCTATTTAGTCAAGGGTAACTGTGACCTCCTACCGTGTTGACGCTGGTGGAGTTTAGACTACATAAACTACTGTTCAGATGTTTGGAGTCAATGTTTCCAATAATATAAAACCAATTTAGTTGCAGATCAATGTATAAAATTAATTCAGTATGCTAGTCCACTTCAACACAACAAGTTTTAGATGTGCTCAGAGTTATAAATAGCATGACTACATAAAGACTGAGAAAGCTGTATTACATCAGTTATAAAGGTCTAATAAAATTTCAAAAACGAAGATCAAAATTGACATAAAATGAGTGTAAATAGATAATTACAGCAGTGTTTGTAATTTAAAAATGTTCTCCTGTATCTCCAAAATACTTTAGACATTGAAAAAAGTAACTGCATAGTGAAAAGTAAAAAATATGTGAAACCTTTTTACTTACCTTGTTTTCTGCATTAATTGGTCATAAAATGTGATACACTATATGGACAGAAGTATTGGGACACACCTCTTAATCATTTAATTCAGGTGTTTCATTTAGTCTCACTGCCACAGGTGTATTAAATCAAGCACCTAGCCATGCAGCCTGCCTTTACAAACATTTGTAAAAGAACAGGACATTCTAAAGAGCTCACTGAATTTGAGTGTGGAGAATGCCACCGTCGCAACAAGACAGTTTGCAAAATTTCTTCCCTCGTAGACATTCCTTGATAAACTGTGAGTGGTATTATTGAAAAGTGGAAGCATTTAGGAACCTCAGCAATTCAGCCACAAAGTTTCAGACCATGTAGTTACACAACAGGTTGACGAGTGCTGAGGAGCATAGTGCATAAAGGTCAACGACGCTCTGCGACTCAATAACTGCAGATTTCTAAACCTCCTCTAGCAATAACATCAGCACAAAAACTGTGCGCAGGAGCTTCATGTCATGGGTTTTGATGGCTGAGCAGCTGCACGCAAGCCTTATGTCACCAAGCCCAATCCCAAGCGTTGGATGGAGCTGTGTAAATCACGCCGTCACTGGACTCTGGAGCAGCGGAAACGTATTCTGTGGAGTGACAAATCACGCTTGTCTATCTGTCAGTCTGATGGACGAGTCTGGGTTTGGCAAATGCCAGGAGAACGTTACCTGCATGACTGCATTGTGCCAACTGTAAAGTTTGGTGGAGGAGGGACAATGTTGTGGGGTTGCAGACCAAGACATTGTGGACAACTGTATGCTTCAAACATTGTGGGAGGAATCTGGGGAGGAACCTTTTCTGTTCCAGCATGACTGAGCCCCAGTGTACAAAGCACGGCCCGTAAAGGCATGGTTGGGTGAGTTTAGTGTGATAGAACTTGACTAGCAGAGTCTCTATCTTTCAAACTTGAAATGTTTTAGGCAAAATCACTTACCTATACATGGGTTTGTAATGCTGATAGTTAAGTTTGCACTGGTTGCAGTAAATCCAGGCCAGCAAGAGCAGCTGTATCCTCCTAAAGTGTTGGTGCAGTTGGAATTTGATCCACAAGCAGATAGTGAAGACAGACATTCATCTACATCTGTGAAATAAATTTATTTCATTTAATATATGTTTAAGTACATCTTATAAGCACACATTCACAGGATTAGGTGTGTCCATTATCATCATTAAAGCTTCAAAGGCCTCTGACAGAACTGAACCTAAAGTTTGATGACTTACCCCTACAAGGGTTACTAATGTTAACCCTTAGACTTGAGTTTGTAGCAGTAAATCCATTCCAGCAAAAGCAATTGTATCCTCCTACTGTGTTGATGCAGGTGGAGTTTGGACCACATACAGATGGAGTTGACAGACATTCGTCCACATCTGGAAGGTTGATAAACAATTCTTTTTTGTAAAGTTGCTCATTTTCACTGTTAGCAGTCTTAAAGCTTTATCTAATAACACAAAACCAGCTTACCACTACAAGAGTTATTAACACTGACACTTAGACTTGAGTTGCTTATGTTAAATCCAGACCAGCAAGAGCAGCTGTATCCTCCTACTGTGTTGATACAGGTGGAGTTTGGACCACAAATAGACGGTTCAGACAAACATTCATCCACATCTGTAATGACAGAATTAGCTGTAATTATTGCATCAACATATTTCCCGTATTGGAAAAGTGATTTATCATTAAAACACTCACTGCCAACATAACACAACACCAGCATTTAGACTCTTACCTACACAGGAGTTATTAACACTGACGCTTAGACTTGAGTTTACTGCAGTGAATCCATCCCAGCAAGAGCAACTGTATCCTCCTACTGTGTTGTTGCAGATGGAGTTTAATCCACATACAGATGGTGCAAACAGACATTCATCTATATCTAAAAGATAAAAATGATTATTTGGATTAAAATGTTTTTTTTTCCCCAGCAAAAGGGTGCAAAAGTAAATTTTCAGACCATTTAAACATAAAGGAAAATTACACATTCTTTGAAATGTAATAAAGGTCAGATATTTTGACAATATTTTCAGTGTGAGACTGAGCTAATTCACTATAAACACCATTACCTCTTTTTACCCATGCCAATAAATATAGAGACAACTGCAACAAATACAGCAGTCTGTTATTTCTAAAACTTTAAGTACCTCTAAAAAGTGTGCTTATTAGTAAAAAACTGACGTGAATTCACACTCATCTTTTGTTTGGGAACACTTTGACTTCCCAGGCGAGTACAATTGTTACAGACCACGAGTGGTGGACTGAACGTTGACAGTCTGCCAGTGTTGCTACCAATTCAGTCCCCCCTCAAATTCACATCCTTCTTCACAAATCAAGTCATCACGCGCATTAACTATACAGAAATCAACACCAAGCAACACACTGGAACTACAGAAAGCAAAAAAGTTCAAGAAAGACTGCACAGCTGAAAGGTTGACACAAACAAAAACAGCTGTGTAACATTAACATTTCTTAATTTTTTATATTCCGTAGGTCCAGTGCTGCTTTATAAGGAAATCATAGCTGATTTAATCATGAGAACTCAATACATGTGTATTTGTTGATCTTGACTGCTCAAACATGGACGCGCAGATGTATCACCTCAGATTGAGAACAACAGACAATGTGGCATCTATGCATTTACATCTGTGGTTCGACCCTGGTGGCCTTGTCTTGGTATGCATGGCTGAGGAAATCAGGAAAGGAGCAACAAGTTCTCTCTCTCATAATATTATAACGTGCCATCCAAGAGGTGGCAACCATTTAAATTGAAACAAAGTTCTGCAGGTGGAGTTTGGAGCACCCAGAGAAGTCTATGCCATTTCTTTAGTCTCTTGTGCAGTAATATGGAAAAGTTTGGGTGCACCTGCTCAAATAACATGTTTTGTTGATTTTCTAAGTGAAAGTAAGTTACACATCCTCTACAGAGAACACACTTCTGCACATTTTGACACATAAATGTTGTTTATTTACTGAATTTAACATATTGGGGGAAAACAACTAAAAAATGTGCTCTGTGCAAAATTTATGGCAAAGGTTTTTAGGTTTTAATTTTTCCAATGTGTTAGTCAGCAAATAAATAATGGATGTGTTGACTTATCTTAACTGAGAAAATTAACAAAATGTTTTTTTATTTTTTTTTATTTTTACCCGATTTCTCCCCAATTTAGTCGTCTCTAATTCCACCCGCTAGTTAGGACTCCCCCAATCACACAATGCTATCAACGCTAGGAGGGTGAAGGCTAACACAGGCTTCCTCCGAGACCTGTGAAGCCAACCACCGCTTCTTTTCGAGCTGCCGCTCACAACAACGTAATTGGACAGCCGAACGCGCTCGGAAGAAAGCGCCAACCGCCAGATCTGTTACGTCAGCTAACAGACGCCTGTGCTGACTAGCATCGCGCTGAGTGATGGGGGGAGAAGGAGGGGCCATCCTACCCACCCAGAGAGAGTGAGGCCAATTGTGCTCTCTTGGACTCCCGGCTACGGATGGCTGTAGCATCACCAGGGATCGAACTCGCGATCTCCTGATGAGAGGGCCAACGCTTAGACGGTTGCGCCACTCGGGAGCCCCCCAAAATGTTGTTTTTACTGGAAGTATTTCATTTTTTGTCTGCGAGTGCACATTATAACTCTTGATCACAAAAGATCACAGACTGTTGATCTTTCCTCACATTAATATGTGTTTTAAGTACTAGATGGTATAAAAACATTCTTTTTTTAAATTTAAAAGCAAAACATTACACTGACACTAAATATCTTACCAATGCAAGGGTTACTAATGCCGACATTTAGATTTGCGTTTGTGACAGCAAACCCATCCCGGCAAGAGCAGCTGTATCCTCCTACTGTGTTGTTGCAGGTGGAGTGTGGACCACAAGGTGATGGTGTGAACAGACACTCATCCACATCTGCGAAATAAATAAACAGATGTAATCACAATTTTTTAAATGAGTCTTTCTGAAGATTAATTTTATTATATAATATTTTCAGTTTCAAGTTCAAGTTTTCATTCAGTTTACAGTATGTGTTTGGATAACGAAGAAATACTGCAGGTGTCTTAATACACTCGCTAGTCAACAGAAAATCGCTAAGTCAACAGAAAATGCAGAAACACATTCAAGGAAGCATTTTTCTTACTAATCTTAAAATGATTTGAGCAGATTTTATTGAAGTTTAATATCTTATCTATGCAAGGGTTAATAGCACTGATGTTTTGAGTTTGGTGCATGGTGGAGTTTAATCCACACACAGATGGTGCAGATAGACATTCATCCACATCTAAAAGATCAAAATTATTAGTATTTACACATCTGTGAGATCATGTTCTTTTTGCAATATAATAAACTGACAGTTTGTAGCCACACAAGACTACATATCGCTGTTGTCGAAAGAAAACCTTGTATCTCCAAAAAGGTAACTTTACAGGATAAGGAAAACACTTTACTTGTAATGTAAGTTAATGGAACCAGACACTTTTCCAAGTAATTTTGGGTCATTTCTTTTAGTCCATTCATCATGAAATTTACACACAATGTAAAATGTCAAAAATGGAGATATTAGGTTTTCTTCCAACAACAGCAATATACAGGTTTATGCACAGTTCAGTTTTCCTCCTGTAAAGGAAAACCCTAGGGACTTGGCTCTTACATGCATGTAAGAGAGAAGAAAGGACCACAAGAGAGAGTGAAGGACCACCATCACAGTGTCCCAAGCCTTTTCACAAGTTAAAAAAAAATGTTGTATGCATGTTATTTGAGCTTGATGTTTATTTTGGTTGTGAGTGCCTTTGGCTGTGGCAGTTTGCTCTTGTTTTTTTGGTCTGTTAATGTTTGCTAGTTGTTTTCCTGATGCTAGAGTTTGACCTGTGCGAATAGTGGCTTTGTTCTCACAGGATTTTTTAAATGGGATCTTTTCTGCTGGTTACTGCAAGGACTTGAACCATCACGGCAGTTATTCACTCATAAGGACATTTGCGGAATACGCAGCATTTTTTTTCGCAACAGGAGCACCCTGATCTTCAACTGCCATACTGGGGCCTACTAACAATACCAATGCTGGATTACCACCTTTCATAAAGAACCAAAGAAAAAGAAAAGTGAGACTGAGCCTTTGCTTACTTCAGTCACCTTGAAATTAGCTCGGTTTATACAGAGACTGAATAAGTGTATAGTAGGTGGGTGTTTGGTGCTGGGTGTGTTCATTGCATTGCAGGAGGATTTCAGAACACGAGAGGGAGTGTGTTATCATGAAATAACATCACGCTGTGATTTGGTTGCAGGCACGAGCCGAAGAAGAGTGCTGTAGATCATCACAGCCGTGATGTAATTCGCGATAACACACTCCCTCTTGTGTTTTATTCTTTTATTCAACAGTTAAATAAATAAGAAATAAATAAATTGCAGTGAAAGTGGCATTTAATATGTTTTAATGTTAGCCAAATTATAGGTCCTTAACAGGCAACTTAGAGTAATGAACTCTGCTCACTCACTGCACAGCCTGCTGTAAGACTTGCCTAGTAAATTACGGACTGAGCCATAAAACTGGAGCAATATCAGGTTTAGCTCAGTTTTGTCAATTTATCAATATTAATGTTTTTTGTTCCAGCCAGTCTGTAAAGCATCTTACAGCCCATTTAGTTTGGCGAATGGTGTTGGGTTCATTTCTGGCTGATTCCAGGTTGTTTAGCTGTTCTTCTGTCGCAGCTGCCGACTGAAAAGCTGCTCAGTGGTGATGACAGCTTGGGAATTTAGTTTAGTCTCATCTTCAGAGTCTGACCAAATCGACTGTCCGTCAAATGTGATCTTGAAAGCATCAATTTTCTGTTTACGCAAAGTAAGAAGTAAAAACGTTCAAATGGCTTGAGCATCTCCTACAGCTGTCAAAGTCGTTGCTTAGCAACGGCGTCTCAGCGGAGTGATAGTGTTTGTGGAAAAAAACGTGATGTTATGGTGAAATAACAGCACGGTTAGAACACTTCTCAACCAATCAGCTTGCATGGCCAGAACTAACTGTTGTATAATTCTTTGTATATTGTCAGAATCCAGTGAAATATATTCCAGGCTAACTTGTATCACATACTGTATGTTTCCACATATGAACACATTAATGGAAGGTATAGAAAACACTGGAACGTTTCTATATTTACTGATGTTTAACAACTTACCTATACAAGGGTTAGTAATGTTAACAGTAAGATTTGAGTTTGTTGCAGTAAATCCAGGCCAGCAAGAGCAATTGTATCCTCCTATTGTGTTGGTGCAGGTGGAGTTTGGACCACAAACAGATGGTACAGATAGACATTCATCCATATCTGTGAAATAAATAAAAGGTTTTGTTTTGTAATTTTGTCTATCAGCAGCTATTATGTATTGGCAGAGGAAATGATCATTAAAATTTTAAATTTGTTTAGAGTTAATAATGTTGATAATGTTACTGTGTTAAATTTATCAAATAAACAGTATTTGTGGATTAAAACGTGCAGAGCTGTGTTAACCTGTTTTTAACAAAACATGTCATTTGACCAAAGGCATTTAAACTTGGGGTTTTAAGATGGACATACAAGGCATTCATTTATGCACAGTGCATAAGTGCACAAGGAGCAAAATACAGCTGACTTGTGTTGTCGGAGCATGCCTGTGTTCTGTCCAGTTTGAAAGGCAAATGGTGGGGTGGTTTTTCAGAGGCTGCTTGCATGTTGTTTTTGGATTTTATGGTTCGGTTGCATTTGTTCACTGGGTTTGCTCAGCAGTCAACGCTTGCTTTGAGCGGCAGGCTGGGTGTGGCCAGTGATGGATGTTGTGGCAAGCTTGAGAAGACTAGGTGGCTATTAGTGAAAGCCTGCTAACAGTAAGAGCCGTGAGCTAGGCTAAGGGCCATTTTCTGAATGTTCGAAATAAAGGTGCAAAAATTTTGGGTTGTCTAAGGTTCTTGGGAAAACCCCTCACTTTACAATGGTGTCAGAACTGGCTCGTAAACCGAAGACGAGAGGTTGGTCCCAGTGGTGCTGCATAGGGTCCAAGTGAGAAGTGGCGGTTCAATTGGTGTGCTAGAGGTGCAGGAAGAGGGGACACCGCACCAAATTTAAGGCAGCAGGAAAAAGGAAGTCAGCCAGACAGATTTTGGGTCCAGTGTAGCATAGACAGGAAACAGCTCACTGCCCTCATTGACACCGGCTTATCAGTGTCACTGCTTCCAGGCATGCTCCCTCACACCAAAAGAGGCTCACTTCCCCACTGGCCTTTGTTTTCTGTGGGGCTAGAGCTGGCTTATGCATCCCCCAAGGTCGTAGGTGGCGTATGCGAGCAGCACCCTCGCCAGCATCATTGATGAGGTGGACAACAGAGAAAGTGTAACTGTGGTTGGTGGGTTAATGGTCGAAAGTTTCAGCCAGTACAGAGAGTCTGGGTGTTTAACTTGCGCCACCGGGAAAGTTGCTCCCCTAAGCAGGACGGTGAATCTTTGGGACCCTGGCTCGGGATGGAAAGGCTGCCAGACGTGGTGTATCTCGTGTGCACTAGAACCTGACGTGGTGTTACATCGGGACTGCCATCCTTGGGGCTGTCCAGAAAGATGGCCTCCAGAACCCAATGCACACTCCCCATCCACACAGAGAACCCCTCCAGGCTCCCTGGCATCGCCAGTGCGCTGCTGGCACCCCTCGGCAACTTCGGAGTCCCATTAGTTGGCCAAGTGCATGAGCAAGTGAGGGCAACGGGCTCCTAGGGACTTGGTCTGGTAGGACTAGCGAGAAGCTAAATTATGGATAAGAACTTTGAGTTGTCCGACTGTCTTCTGAGAACCCTTCATGCTACAGTATAAAAGATTCACCTGAACCAGACTTATCTAGATGTTGTTTTACATACTTAAAATGTTGACTTTTGTGGTAAGGTCATAGGTAAGGTTTCCTTCTGATGACTCTTCAGGCCAATCCCACTTCACTCCTTACTCCTCCGTTTTGCGCGTTCATGCTTAGGGATAGAACGTCCCAACTTTCATTGAGATAGAGGGGTAGGGTGAAGTGTTAGGGCTACATGGCCCTCCAATAATGCAAGCTTTTCAGAGGCTCACTCCAAACGAAGTGTTATGAGAAAAAGAAAAAAAACAGCAAGATGGCTGCACAAGCAACCAAAGAAACCCACAAATGTAAGTATTTTCTCTGTTTAAAAAATTATGATAACCACTGTATTATCTTAATGTCATTTCAGCATTGTATTTTTTAATTTCATTTTAATATATTATGGTCCTCTTCTTCATAACAAGCATATATATCACTAATAGTATGCTGACGTCTCGGTAGCTAGCTAGCTAAATTTTCCATTTCACCTTAAATGGTGCAGCAGTTACATTCTGGTGCCTCAGAATTCTGGCGCACCCCTCTTTGAAAATTCTAAAACTCCACTCCAGAAAGAGTGTCCAAACTTTGCAAGGTTCCTGAACTTTACCGGTCCTCTGCTATCACTGCAGATTGGCAGCATAGCCTGTTAATGAAGCAAGGCTCTTTTTTTATCTGAGAGTTGTCCCATTTCATTGGGGAAGATTTCAATCACTACCCCTAGTAACTCAGTTCTAATGGGCAAGGTTACACTTGAAAACAAGGGGTAGAGGTTAAAATTAAGAAATGGGAATGGGCCTTCTACTTAGGTCATATTTGTGCAAGCAGCGATGCACAGTAGAACTGCCACTTCTGCTAAACTTTCCTGCAGGTCCTCTACTGTCATATCAGGGCTTTGTGTTGCCTTTCTGGCCAGGATGCAAGCAGTTCTTTCCAAGAGTTTTTTTTTATTTTTTGGTCTTCCAGATCTTCCAGAAAACTGCCATTTTCATAATGACATTTTAGGCAGTGGAAATTGCAAGATGAAGAGCTTTGATATCTTTTTATAGCCTTCCTCTGCTTTGTAAGCATCAAATAGCTTCATTTCAGATCCAGCTACTTAAAGATGTGCCCAGCTGCTAAGCATTAGCACAAGGTTTGAAGAGTCAGAGAATTTATTACAGTCTGAAAGAAACTGTGCATTAACATTTACAGAAAATTTGTATTTTTAATTAATGTAATTTGTATAGAATATTGTTTTACTTTAAAAATCAAGAAATTATATTGCGCAAACATTTGCAGATGACTGTATGATTGCATGCTTCATCTGAATTCTGTATTATTGAGCAAACTGCTGTTCAAGAATCCACCTTTGAACTTTTTTTAACCAAATGTTTTATTTTATTATATTGTATATTATATTGTTTTATCACAGCAAACAGACATTTGTGGCTGTGATTTTTACTACAGTTAAAAGGGGTTTAATTCTATGTCACAACATAGAATTAAACCCCTTTTATGTCACAACATATCTAGCATCACCTTTTAACTATCGTGGACTATAACGTGGTTTCTCGTGGTTTACTGCTGGGAACGGAGATTTCTGAGATCACAAATTCACAGGCTGTCAATTTAAAGTAGTGTGTTTTTACCCACCAAGTGCTGAAAGATTGTGGCTGTGTATGTGCAGTCTTGAGGCTCTTTAAAAATAAAGTATACACATACCGAACTGGGGCCTTTCTTTTTTCACAATGCATAAACCAATCAAACCACAAAATAAATGTAAAACTAATTGATGAGGTGCTGATCAGGCTATTTTAATCTTTAAAACTTTTTTCTTTTAAATAAAAACATATAATAACTTACCTATACAAGGGTTAGTAATGTTGACAGCTAGACTTGAGTTTGTTGCAGTAAACCCATCCCAGCAAAAGCAACTGTATCCTCCTATTGTGTTGTTGCAGCTGGAGTTTAATCCACATACAGATGGTGCAGAAAGACATTCATCCACATCTAAAAAGACCAAAATGATTAGTATTTAATTCATGTTAACTGTGAAGTATAAGGAATATGCACACCAAAGGAAAAGGAGGGCAGGGGGTGACACAACTTAAAGAGGGTGACTAAAACAAGTAAAATATGTACAAATAAATTATACCAGGAGTCAGTGGAAAAGATGAGTTTTAGTCAACAAAATTACATTACGTACCTCTGCACGGGTTGCTGATGTTAATAGGGAAGTATGGATTTGTCACATTATATCCATTCAGGCACGTGCAAGTGTAGATTCCTGCAGCGTTGGTGCAAATTGCATTTGGACCACACACGCCAGGAATCTCAGTACATTCATCCATATCTTGATTAAAGGAAGTGACAAAACAAAAAGACTTTTGATCAATGTCTATCAAACAGTATTCACTGCAGTCCGTAATCTACAGAGTCAAACTCAAACAATGGCCTTTATATGTATTACACTGGATGCTCTGCCACCTTCTGTTATTTTCCATTTGATACCATTTATCTAATTCAAGCTGCATGTCAGAGATAATCGAACCAATCCCTCATTAATGGAGACTGACAGTCTTCATAGAGGAACTGGTCACTAGTTAACGGTTTCATGACAGGAACAGTGTTAAAGAAAAGACAGCAGTAAACTTGTAAAATGAAAGTATTCTGAGTGAGACCTGGAGTATCTTTTAACATACAATCCTGGAAATTTCTTTTGTTAAAGTATTCCAAAAATCTATGGTGTAACCGTTTTTATAAGAGATGCTAAAAAACTTTTACTGGCATGGGTAATTACTGTGAATACTCAAGGATGGCAAAAGCATTGATTTTCAAACATACCTCTGCATGGGTTGCTGATGTTGATAGGACTGTATGGATTTGTCACATTATATCCTCTCAGGCATGTGCAGCTGTAGTTTCCTGCAGCATTAGTGCAGTCTGCATTTGGACCACACACTTCAGGAATCTCGGTACATTCATCCACATCTTCATGAAAAAAATTGTAGACAAAGACACTTTTAATCATTGTCTATTAAACAGTCCATAATCTAGCAGGTCCAACTCAAATGACGGTCATTATTTATAAAAAACACTGGACGCTGTACTAACCTGTGAATTTGTAGAACCCATTAACTGAAACTAGCTGCAAATCTGAGATAATTTACCCATTCTCACACTAATGAAGACCAACAGTATTTACAGAATTACTCACCAACTTACACTAATGTTCAAGAAAAGACAGTCACAGTATATCTCTGTCTATACCCAAAAATGGTTAAAACTGATTTTCAAATGTCTCCTCTGCATTGACTGCTCACATTAATAGGAATATACAGATTCATCACATTGTATACAGTGGACCACACATTTCAGGAAACTCAGTAAATTCATCCACAGCTTGATTCAAGAAAGTGACAAAACAAAAAGACTTTTAAACATTATCTATTAATCAGTGTTTATTCAAGTCTGCTATCTTTATCAGGGGTGTCTAATGTTATCCACAAAGAGTCAGTGTGGCTGCAGTGTGGCTTACATTTCAAACAGTCTAAACTACACTTCTTAAATCAGTTGGGCTCAGTTTTCAAAGAAATGATCTAGTTTACTCCTGCTTTGCTGGAATGAACACCCACATACATGCATACTAGTGAACACACACACTTGGGGGCAGCGAGCACACTTGCCCGGAGAGGTGGGCAGCCCTATCCACAGCACCCGGGGAGCAGTTGGGGGTTAGTTGCCTTGATCATGAACACCTGCAGACACACTGTCCCATTGTGGACATGATTAGACCCCTCTGATCTAGTCGGTCCAATCTGGCTCAGCCTGCCATAGTCTAATTTGGACCTCCACAGTTTCATTACGAATCAAAAATATTTTTAAACTTATCATAATAAATGTGGGCAGTCGTGGGCTGGAGGTTAGGGAACCAGCCTTGTAAGGTTCGATCCACAGAGCCGACAGTACGTAACCCCCACCTTGCCCACCGCTCGGGGCAAGTGTGCTCACTGCCCCCCGGTGTGTGTGTTCACTAGTGTGCATGTAAGTGGGTGATTCACTGCACGAATGGGTAAAATGTGAAGGTCGAATTCCTCTGTGCGCCATCACAGTTGGCCAATGGTTCTAAATTCATTCATTCAATTAATTCATAACATAAACAATGTTGTGCTTTGCCCCATTGTTTCAGCAAAGCAAATCTCTCAACAGCAGTCAGCCACACTCCTCTCCCTAAGCCTGCAGAAAACAAGTCCCTCCGTTTTGTACTACAGTAGACAGTAGTGCTGGGTGTTATGACCTCAAATCAATTTCACAATTAATGTAATATTTTACCTCGATTATGGTTAATGAAAATTTTTTTTTGTTTGTTACAGTACAAGGTTTGTACTGTAAATATGCTCTACACATCTTATATTTTAATCTAAATCGTCTCAACAACCAGATCGGAATTCGTTTGTCATAATTTCGCGCTGCTGAGACCTCATAAACATTTGGGGTGATATTTCTGTACAAAAATTAGAAGAGACTCATCCAAAACCCTCCGTGTTCGATGAGATTTCGAAAGAATCGGCTGAACGCATCCGTAGGAGAGCGAGGCTGCAGTGTCAAAGAACAGTTAAAAGTCCAAAAGCAAAGTTTAAAGAATCTGAGGACATGAACCAAAGAAGTGACCGCGCCCTTTTTACGGCAAGCTGGAACACATTCTGGGTGATGAGCCCAGCTGTCAGTCAGTGAAGCTTCATGATGGCTCCTGTGACGCTGGCCAAGATTAAACTGAAACCTCCGGAAGCAACTGGCATTCATTCATAGCCATGATTGTTTACCTCTGGATGAGCTGCGTGAAGCAACGTGACACGTTGTTCTTTTGAATTTTTAAAAAATTGAAATAACCAATATGGGCAAGATTACATCGGTTAGAGGTTCTGAACGTCAGTTTCGATTACTTTACGATTAATTGCCCAGCCCTACAGCACAGCTTCGCTCCGTTTACCAGGCCCGCTAGCTTCTCTTAGCAGCAAGCTAGAGGATAATAGTACAGTGCATACTTGGGTTAACCAGTGCTTCACGGAGATGGTCTAACTCTAAGGGCATACATCGTGGCCCTAGTAAGGATCCAGTACAGCAGAGAATTGTTTGCAGCTGCCCTGTGAATACATGCTGTTTTTATTAAGAGAAGAAATGCTTATATTGGGCTGTTATAGGTCCATTTGTACAAAGATTTTATGTTGAAGAGCCTGAATATAGTTTAAGTCGTTGTTTTTTTGGGACAGAGGGCTGTGTTTTTAGCTGTTAGTGCTGAAGAGGCTGTGTTAAGCATGGGTAACTACTTCGGTTTAATTTCTTTGAGGACTTTATGCACTAATCTTTTTTGTTCTGTTTTTTTTGACCATTTGTGAACTGTTAAACTCCTTTACCATGCTATGTGGGTGTGACCATTTTGCTGTGTCATCACCATTCTTACCCAAGCAACAAGTGTGTTAATGATGAAATTATTAAAGCACAAAATTGTTCAGAGCACAATATTCTTCATAGATCTAATATCTTAAGTTTGCTCTTAAACCTTGTGTGGTGTTCAGGTCTGTGGGACCCATTTTCATTGTTTACCAAAAGAAAAAAATGATGCGATTTATTATTATTTCAACCTCAGATTCCTTGGTTTTTGCTAATTTTCTGTGAAGAACATATAACACATTTTCAGTGCCCACACTCTGTTCACCCCCTACACATTTATATTACACACGTGGTGTTGGGGTGAACCTGCAGGGAATAAAAGTGTGGAGGTGCTGTGTCCTTCACTCTGTTCTCCTCCCACACGTTGTAAACATCTGGTATTTTTACATAAATTGTTATGACTGTATTGATCTTAAAAAAAACAACAATGCGGTGGGTCCACCAGACCACTGAGTAACAAACACATCAACACCACACAAAGGGTTAAAGTGCACCAGATTGATGCATTTAACTTTAAAATACACACATTTTTCTTCTGAGGGAGCATGTCCCCAGACCCCCCTAGAGGTCCAGAGCAAGGTCTGCCCACCAGTCTCAAAACTCCTGTTGTATTTTTATATGCATTTATATGCATATATGTGTCATATTGTAAAAATATTGTGAAAGATTGGAAAAAAGCACTGGTTGACAAACGTACCTCTGCATGGGTTGCTGACATTGATAGGAAAGGACAGATTTGTCACAGTGTATCCTCTCAGGCATGTGCAGCTGTAGTTTCCAACAGCATTGGTGCAGTTTGCATTTGGTCCACACACTTCAGGAATCTCAGTACATTCATCCACATCTTGATTAAAAAAAAGTAACAAAACAAACAGACTTTTAAACATTTGCTTTTAACCAGCGTTAATTAAAGTTCATTATTTAGATGATCCAAATGAAAAGATGGTCTTTATTTGTAACAGACTGCATTGTGTGCTAACCTCTGTTATTTCATAGAACACAGTCCATCTAAAAGAATCTGAATGTCAGTTGTAACCTGTCTATTGTCACACTTTGAGAAGCCTATACTTGGGCCCAATCCCATTTCTTCTTTTTACCCCACCCCTTGTTTTCGAGTGTCACCCTAACCCCTTGGAACTGAGTTACAAGGAGTAGTGATTGAAATCTTGCCCTACAAAATGGGACAAACGTCAAAATTAAAAAAAAAAATAAAAAATTATTCATCACTAGCAGTGTTCTGTAGGCGACCTGACCCGTCTTCAGTGACAGCAGAGAAGGGTAAAGTACAGCAACCTCGCTGCTGGGCTTTAGTTACATTTAAGGCATCATATGCTTACAAAGAGGGGGCATAAGACAATTATTTATTATCACCCATCCCTCATTCTTTGGTGATACGAAGCAGAAATCAGCTATTTATCAGCGTCTTGTTTAAATTTTCCTGTTTAATATGAGACAAAAGTGCTTAGAAAATGTTAAGGTCAAAATTATTGCTGCCAACAAAAAATCGTACCTTTACACGGGTTGCTAATGTTGATAGGAAAGTATGGATTCGTCACATTATATCCTCTCAGGCATCTGCAGCTGTAGTTTCCAACAGCATTGGTGCAGTTTGAATTTGGACCACACACATCAGGAATCTCAGTACATTCATCCACATCTTGATCAAAGCAAATAACAAAACAAAGACTTTTAATCATTGTCTATTAAACACAATTTATTGCAGTCTATAATATAGAGCAGGGGTGTCAAACTCAACCACTGGTAGGGCCATATTAAAAAATCTCAATAAATCCGTGGGCCACTTGTGTTTTTCTTTATTTTTACTTAACATTTTGGCATGACCCCAACTGGCCATTGTTTATTTAAAATATACCAAAACTGCAACAGCAAAATAGGCACTGAATACTTGAACTATTCAAAAATATTTTTGAATAAATACAAATAGTTTTATATAAAACAATAGGCTACATTAGCTACAGATAATTATTAAACTTCCTTAAATGTCCCCAGGAAGCAGGTTTTTAAAACTGCCTATTTGCTTTAACTAGACACCAGGCATCTTTTCTTTTTGTGTAACTGCTGGCCCATAGATTGTTGTTGGACAAAAAGGGAGTTAGAGTGCACATTACGTTGCAGTGCATGCTGGAGACTGTAGTTCAGCTCAGGGTGAAATGGGCTGACAATAACAGAAAACTAAAATAATTTTGCAGGCCAAATAGGGTCCCGACACGGCCCATGGGCCTTGAGTTTGACACATGGGATCTAGAGGCTCAAACCCAAATTATGGCCTTTATTTGTAGCACATAGGATGGTGTTCTAATGCCTGCTATTTTTTCAAAACCATTTATCCAAATCAAGCTGGATGTCTGAGATAATCTAATCATTCTCACACTAATGAAGATCAGCAGTCTTACAGAAGAACTGTTCACTAGTTAATTTCTTTCAGGACAGGAATTTATAGAACTGTTCACAAAACGACAAACTTGAAAATGTACATTATTTTGTGGAAGACCTGGAATATTTTTTAATATGAAGTCTTAGAAATTCACTTCATTTAAATACCAATCCAAGCATCTATTGTGTACAACCTTTTTTATGAGATGAATAAAAGTCGAAAAATATTACTGTCATAGGCAATTAATGCCAACACTCAAAAATGATAAAAACACAGATTTTCTAACGTACCTCTACACGGGTTGCTCATATTAATAGGAAAGTATGGATCTGTCACATTGTATCCTTTCAGGCATGTGCAACTGTAGTTTCCAACAGCATTGGTGCAGTTTGCATTTGGACCACATACTTCAGGAATCTCAGTGCATTCATCCACATCTTGATGGAAAACGTAAGCAAAAAAAGGCACTTTTAATCATTGTCAATTAAACAGTATTTTTTTCCAGGCCACAATTTAGATGAACACACTCAAATGATACAGTGGATGTTGTAGAACACAATAACCAAAAACAACCAGTATTTCGGAACTAATTTAATCTATTCTCACACTTATGGTCTACACCGGGAGTCTTTACACAAAAACTGAAAGATGAAAGATCTTCTCGCTAGTTAGTTTCAGGACAGGAACTTATTTAAGCGTCTAAGAAAAGACAGCAGTAAACTTGTAACATGAAAGTATTTTTAGGAACAACTACAATATCTTATGACAACAATTCTCCCAGTTACTTTTGCTCAGGTATCATTCCAATGACTCTTTTTTCATACCTTGTTTTATATGAGACAAAAGTGCTTGGAAAATGTTCATGTCAAAGGTTTTGCTGCCATCAAAAAAGAAAAAAATTAATGATTGACAATCGTACCTCTACACGGGTTGCTAATGTTGATAGGAAAGTATGGATTTGTCACATTATAGCCACTCAGGCATCTGCAGCTGTAGTTTCCAACAGCATTGGTGCAGTTTGCATTTGGTCCACACACATCAGGAATCTCAGTACATTCATCCACATCTTGATTAAAGCAAATAACAATGCAAAGGGACTTTTAAACATTGTCTATTAAACAGTAATAATTGCAGTCCATAATCTAGAGCAGAGGGTGCCCAATAAGTCGATCCCACAGTGCACATTGGTGGATCGCATCTCATTCAAACAGGCTATCAAATTTCGACACTTTCTTACTGCGCCTGGTGGTGGGCAGGTCAACATGATTGACGTGAAATGTGGCCACTGTCTCTTTAATTTATTGCTTGTTGCCATAGCTACGCCATAGCCTGCTCAAAGCACTGCTATGAGTTTATCTATCTAGCCATCTAGAACGTTTCATTTATCGATAGCCAGTTTGTGTAGTGCCATTTTTGCGTTTTTCCTTTTGTAACCCTCACTCTTTCAGAAGATGAGTGAAAGACCTAACGCAAAGAAACCGAAAAATGATCTCCTTCATGCAGAGTGGGAGGAGCACAATTTTTACTGTGCCAAACTCCAAATGCATCTGCTTGATTTGCCAAGTAGCCATCGCACTTCCAAAGAAAGGGAATGTTAAGAGGCATTTTCGAACTATACACAGAAACTACGACAACGAATTCCCAGCTACAAGTGAACTTAGGAAGAAAAAAGTGGTTCTGACTACACAAACTTGGCTGACACCATTCAGTGCAAATAATCAGAATTAGGTTAGCGTGATTTTTCAGTTGTTTGCCTTGTAATGTTGAATATTCATATAGGCCACTGAAATGTATTAAAAATGTTTCAAAGCTTTTAAAAAAGGATGAGAACAACCATTTTTTCAGGTAGATCACAATGACCTGTCCACTGGAAAAAGTAGATCTCAAGCCACAAAAGTATGAGCACCCATGATCTAGAGGGTCAAACTCAAATCATGGCCTGTATTTTTAGTACACTGGATGGTGAACTAATTGCCTGCTATTTTCTCTAAACTATTTAACCAAATTGAGCTCAATGTGAAAGATAATCTAATCATCCTCACACTAATGGAGATCAGCAGTCTTACAGAAGAAATGGTCACTAGTTAATAATTTCAGGACAGGAATTTATAGAAATGTTCACAAAAGGACAGCTGTAAGCTTGAAAATGCACATTATTTTGGCCAAGACCAGGAATGTTTTTTTTAACGAAGTCTTAGAAATTAATTTCGTTCAAGTACCAATCCAAACATCTACTGTGTACAACTTTTTATATAAGATAAATAATAGTTGAAAAATATTGTTGTCATAAACAATTTATAGCCACACTCAAAGATGAAAAAAAAAATATTTTTTTAAACGTACCTCTACAAGGATTGCTCACACTAATAGAAATGTTCGGATAGGTCACACTGTATCCTCTCAGGCATCTGCAGCTGTAGTTTCCAACAGCATTGGTGCAGATTGCATTTGGACCACACACATCAGGAATCTCAGTACATTCATCCACATCTTGATCAAAGCAAATAACAAAACAAAGACTTTTAAACATTGTCTATTAAACACAATTTATTGCAGTCTATAATATAGAGCAGGGGTGTCAAACTCAACCACTGGTAGGGCCATATTAAAAAATCTCAATAAATCCGTGGGCCACTTGTGTTTTTCTTTATTTTTACTCTACATTTTGGCATGACCCCAACTGGCCATTGTTTATTCAAAATATACCAAAACTGCAACAGCAAAATAGGCACTGAATACTTGAACTATTCAAAAATATTTTTGAATAAATACAAATAGTTTTATATAAAACAATAGGCTACATTAGCTACAGATAATTACTAAACTTCCTTAAATGTCCCCAGGAAGCAGGTTTTTAAAACTGCCTATTTGCTTTAACTAGACACCAGGCATCTTTTCTTTTTGTGTAACTGCTGGCCCATAGATTGTTGTTGGACAAAAAGGGAGTTAGAGTGCACATTACGTTGCAGTGCATGCTGGAGACTGTAGTTCAGCTCAGGGTGAAATGGGCTGACAATAACAGAAAACTAAAATAATTTTGCAGGCCAAATAGGGTCCGACACGGCCCATGGGCCTTGAGTTTGACACATGGGATCTAGAGGCTCAAACTCAAATTATGGCCTTTATTTGTAGTACATAGGATGGTGTTCTAATGCCTGCTATTTTTTCAAAACCATTTATCCAAATCAAGCTGGATGTCTGAAATAATCAGCTTTCTTACAGAAGAACTGTTCACTAGTTAATTTCTTTCAGGACAGGAATTTATAGAAATGTTCACAAAAAGACAAACTTGAAAATGTACATTATTCTGTGGAAGACCTGGAATATTTTTTAATATGAAGTCTTAGAAATTTATTTAATTTTAAATACCAATCCAAGCATCTATTGTGTACAACCTTTCTTATGAGATGAATAAAAGTTGAAAAATATTACTGCCATAGGCAATTAATGCCAACACTCAAAAATGATAAAAACACAGATTTTCTAACGTACCTCTACATGGGTTGCTCATATTAATAGGAAAGTATGGATCTGTCACATTGTATCCTTTCAGGCATGTGCAGCTGTAGTTTCCAGCAGCATTGGTGCAGTTTGCATTTGGACCACATACTTCAGGAATCTCAGTGCATTCATCCACATCTTGATTTAAGAAAGTTAAGAAACAAAGACACTTTTAATCATTGTCAATTAAACAGTATTTTTTCCAGGCCACAATTTAAATGATCAAACTCAAATTACATCTTTATTTGTAATACAATATCTTATGACATCAATCCAAAGAGGTTACTGTTGTTTAGGTACCATTCCAATGGCTTCTTATACCCTGATTCACATGCTTGGAAAATATTACTGTCAATTTCTGCTAACAGTGAAAGATGGCATAAGGACAAACATACCTCTGCATGGGTTGCTGATTTTTATAGGATTGTATGGATGTGTCACAGTGTATCCTCTCAGGCATGTGCAGCTGTAGTTTCCAACAGCGTTGGTGCAGTTTGCATTTGGTCCACACACTTCAGGAATCTTAATACATTCATCCACATCTTGATTAAAGAAAAGGGGGAAAAAACTTTTTTAAATTCTCTATTAAGTCTATCATCTATATCGGCCAACTCAAAAGATGGTCTTTATTTGTGACACACTGGGGTTTTGCACTAGCTTCTGTTGTTTCAGAGAACATGTTCATCTACAACAAGTTGAATGTCAGACATAATCTGTTTGTCACACTTATTAAGGGCTACACTTTAAGTCTTGAAAGAAGAACCGATCCCAGTAGATACTTGGTTCTATAACCCCATTTCCAAAAAAAAGTTGAGACGCTGTGCAAAATGTAAATAAAAACAAAATTCAATAATGTGCAAATAATTTGAATCCTGTATTTCATTGAAAATAGTACAAGGACAACAAATCAAATGTTGAAACTGAGAAATATTATTGTTTTTTGAAAAATATATGCCCATTTTGAATTTGATGCCAACAACACGGTCTAAAAAAGTTGGGACGGGGACATGTTTACCACTGTTTCATCGCCTCTTCTTTTAACGACACTATGTAAGTACTATCTGTTTATATACGGTTTGTTCTTTGGTTTTATGAGCTTTAATTAGCATTTGTGAATGCAGTGACAAACTGTTTTCATAGACAGTGTTTTTCTGACAAAGTTTTTCTGAGCCCAAGTAGCGACTTCCATTAGAGAATCATGTGTTTTTAACACAGTGCCGTCTGAGGGCCAAAAGATCACAACCAGCAAATACTGGTTTTTGGCCTTGTCCCTTGCATACAGAGATTTCTCCAGATTCTCTGAATCTTTTAATATTATTATGTACTGCAGATGATGAAAAGCAAAAGTTCTTTGCTATTTTACGTTGAGAAACGTTATTCTTGAAATGTTGCACTATATGGTCGTACAGACTTTCACAGAGTGGTGAACCCCTCCCCATCTTTACTTCTGAAAGACTCAGACTCTCTGAGATGCTCTTTCATACCCAATCATGTTTCAGACCTGTTGCTAATTAAACCACCACGTGTTTTTTTCAGCATTACACAACTTTATCAGCCTTTTGTTGCCCCTGTCCAAACTTTTTTGGAATGTGTTGCTGGCATCAAATTCAAAATGGGCATATAGTTTCAAAAAACAATAACATTTCTCAGTTTCAACATTTGATATGTTGTCTTTGAAGCATTTTCAATGAAATAGAGGGTTTAAATGATTTGCACATCACTGCATTTTGTTTTTAGTTACATTTTTCACAGCGTCCCAACTTTTTTGGACATGGGGTTGTAGAGCTGGTACATATTTGTTTAACAATGGACATCATAATCTTGTATGTTCCTGTTGCTCAGGCACCACCTTGATGACATATTGTGTATCCCTTTTCCAGGTTAAAATCTACTCAAGTATAATTGCTTCAAAAAGCAGAAGGATGGAAAAAAATCCCTGTCAAACCTACCTCTGCATGGGTTGCTGATACTGATAGGCATAAATGGATTCGTCACATTGTATCCACTCAGGCATGTGCAGCTGTAGTTTCCAACAGCATTAGTGCAGTTTGCATTTGGACCACACACTTCAGGAATCTCAGTACATTCGTCCACATCTTGATTAAAGAAAGCAAATAGAATCATTTTAGATGCCCAAGGAAATCTAAGGTTAACAGTGGCTTATTATTCTGTCATCTACTTCTAATCAGAACCATATTTAGCAGGTGAAGAAAGTCTATTTTTTTATTTTTCAAAATAGTACAATTTTATGTCCAAACATGTATCTCACACACTTATACTTATATATGTATCATCATCATCAGACACTGTTGGAACGTAGTAAATATTACTAAGTCATTCAAGCATCTTCAGGACCAGATTATTGCCTGATGCAGCTGACCAACAGGAGATACAGATGCATGACAAGTAGTCTGGTGTCCATTCTAATCTAAAGGCTACCTCTTAAGTGACTAGCCTTTGCTTTCATATATCTGTCTGCTGCCTTGGAAAAAGACTGCAACTAACACAATGGAAGGAATGTGAATTGAAACAGTAACTAAAAATGTGACAGAAATATCCCTGATTCAGTCACTCAGTCAGCTAAATGATATAACCTTCAGTTTGAATTTGAAAAGTATTATTATCATAGGCAATTAATGCCAACACTCAAAGATGCTAAAAGAAAAGATTTTCAAACGTACCTCTACATGGGTTGCTCATATTAATAGGAAAGTATGGATTCGTCACATAATATCCTCTCAGGCATGTGCAGCTGTAGTTTCCAACAGCATTAGTACAGTTTGCATTTGGACCACACACTTCAGGAATCTCAGTACATTCATTCACATCTCGATTAAAGAAAGCAAACAGAATCATTTTAGATGCTTAAGGAAATCTAAGGTTAACAGTGGCTTATTATTCTGTCATACCCCTTTACCTCTAATCAGAACCATATTTAGCAGGTGAAGAAAGTCTATTTTTTTATTTTTCAAAATAGTACAATTTTATGACCAAATATGTATCTCACACACTTGTACTTAAATATATCATCGTCAGACACTGTTGGAACCTAGTAAATATTACTAAGTCATTCAAGCATCTTCAGGACCAGATAATTGCCTGATGCAGCTGACCAACAGAGGATACAGATGCATGACAAGTAGTCTGGTGTCCATTCTAATCTAAAGGCTACCTCTTAATTGACTAGCCTTTGCTTTCACATATCTGTCTGCTGCCTTGGAAAAAAAAAAACAGACTGCCTCAAGACTGCAACTAACACAACGGAAGGAATGTGAATTGAAACAGTAACTAAAAATGTGACAAATATCCCTGACTCAGTCACTCAGCTAAATGATATAACCATCACACGTTTTACACTGTGTGAATGTTGGGTTAACTGCAATTATTTGTGACATAACAGTATAAAGGTTATGTTCAAATTAATTCCTTAGGAAGAATTTCAATCAATATACCAGATGAACCAGTATATCGCCCACTACTATTTCAGAGATAATCAATCTATTCTCAGACGTACGGAGGCCAACATTTGAAGTTTTCACAGAAGAACTGGTTGTCTCACTAGTTATGTGTTTCAAGAAAGGAAGGTATTGAAGTGTTTAAGCAAAGATAACTTGTAATATGAATGCATATCAAGCACTATAATATAAAATTTTGGAAGATGCTGTTTTTGAAGTACCATGCCAAAGACACACTGTGTACCTTTTTTATTTGTGATGACCAATGCTCGTACAGTGTTACTGCCATAGAAAATTACTGCCACCACTCAATGATAACAGTGCTGATCTTGAAACCTACCTTTGCATGGATTGCTGCTATTAATAGGCATGAGCAGATTTGTCACATTATATCCTCTCAGGCATGTGCAGCTGTAGTTTCCAACAGCATTGGTGCAGTTTGAATTTGGTCCACACACATCAGGAATCTCAGTGCATTCATCCACATCTTGATCAAAGAAAGTTAATAAACAAAAACACTCAAACACTGTCTATTAAACAGTATTTATTGCAGTCTATAATCTAGCGGGTCAAACTCAAATGATGGCCTTTATTTGTAGTACAAAGGTTGGTGTTCTAATGCCTGTTATTTTCTCGAACCCATTTACCCAAATCAAGCTGGATTTCAGTGATAATCTAACGGTTCTCACACTAATGGAGATCAACGGTCTTACAGAAAAACTGGTCACTAGTTAATTCTTTCAGGACAGGAATTTATAGAAATGTTCATCACAAGACAGCTGTACACGTGTACCTTTAAATCAATTTGAGAAGATCTGGAATTTCTTTTAACATAAAATCTTAGGAATTAATTTCGTTCAAGTACCAATTCAAACATATTGCGTCCACCTTTTATATGAGATGAATACTAGTTGAAAAATATTACTGTCATAGGCAATTAATGCCAAGACTCAAACATGATAACAGCACAGATTTTCAAACGTACCTTTACATGCGTTGCTCACATTAATAGGAAAGTATGGATTTGTCACAGTGTATCCTTTCAGGCATGTGCAGCTGTAGTTTCCAGCAGCATTGGTGCAGTCTGCATTTGGACCACACACTTCAGGAATCTCAGTACATTCATCCACATCTTGATTAAAGAAAGTTAATAAACAAAGACACTTTTAAACATTGTCTTTTAAACAGTGTTTACTGCAGTCCATTATCTAAATGACCAAACTCAAATGATGGCCTTTATTTATAGTGTACTGGATGCTGTACTAATTTTTTTTCTCCTACTCATTTGTCCAAATCAAGCTGCATGTCAGACACAATCTAACCATTCACACTTAAATGAAGACGAATAGCCTTCACAGAGGAACTGGTGACTACTCAAAAGATTGAAGATAGAAATTTATAGAAATGTTTAAGAAAAGACAGAGGAAATTTATAAATTTTAATTATTTTCAGCAAGACCTGGAATATCTTTAATATAAAAACTTAAGTACCATTCCAAACATCTCTTGTGTAGCCTTTTTTTATATGAGATAGATAAATGCTTGAAAAGTATTATCACAGGCAATTATTGCCAACTCTCAAAAATGCTAAAAGAAAAGATTTTCGAATGTACCTCTACATGGGTTGCTCATATTAATAGCAAAGTATGGATTTGTCACATTGTATCCTCTCAGGCATGTGCAGCTGTAGTTTCCAGCAGCATTGGTGCAGTTTGCATTTGGACCACATACTTCAGGAATCTCAGTACATTCATTCACATCTTGATTAAAGAAAGTTAGAAAAAACAAAGACACTTTTAAACATTGTCTTTTAAACAGTGCTAACTGCAGTCCATTAACTAAATGACCAAACAATGATGGCCTTTATTTATAGTGTACTGAAAACTTTTCTTTTACCCATTTGTCCAAATCAAGCTGCATGTCAGACACAATCTAACCATTCACACTTAAATGAAGACTCACAGTCTTCACAGAGGAACTGGTCACTACTCAAAAGACTGAAGACTGGAATTTATAGAAATGTTTAAGAAAAGATGAAACTTATAAATTTAAATTATTTTCAGCAAGACCTGGAATATCTTTTAATATAAAATCTAAAAAAAAAAAGATTTTTAAACATACCTCTACATGGGTTGCTCACACTAATAGGAAAGTTCGGATTCGTCACATTATATCCTCTCAGGCATGTGCAGCTGTAGTTTCCAACAGCATTGGTGCAGTTTGAATTTGGACCACACACTTCAGGAATCTCAGTGCATTCATCCACATCTTGATTGAAGAAAGTTAATAAAGAAAAACACTTTTAATCAATGTCTATTAAACAGTACTTTTTTCCAGGCCACAATTTAGATAAATACACTCAAATTATACAGTATCTTTCTTTGTCATACAGTCGATGTTGTGGAACACAATAACCTAAAACAACCAGTATTTCAGATCTAATCTAATCTATTCTCACATTTATGGGGGTCTACACCTGGAGTCTTCACATGCTTGTAAAGTGTTACTGTCATAGACAACTACAGCCAACACTCAATGATAACAGTGATGATCTTAAAACCTACCTCTGCATGGATTGCTGCTATTAATAGGCATGAGCAGATTTGTCACATTATATCCTCTCAGGCATGTGCAACTGTAGTTTCCAACAGCATTGGTGCAGTTTGAATTTGGTCCACACACATCAGGAATCTCAGTACATTCATCCACATCTTGAGTAAAGAAAGTTAATAAACAAAAACACTTTTAAACACTGTCTATTAAACAGTATTTACTGCTGTCCATAATATAGTAGGTCAAACCCAAATTATGTCCTTTATTTGTAGTACACAGGCTGGTATACTAATGCCTGTTATTTTCTTGAGCCCATTTACCCAAATCAAGCTGGATGTCAGAGATAATCTAACTATTCTCACACTAATGAAGATCAACAGTCTTAAAGAAGAACTGGTCACTAGTTAATTCTCTCAGGACAGAGATTTACAGAAATATTCATCACAAGACAGCTTTAAACTTTTACATTTAAATTAGAAGAGAAGACCTAGAATATCTTTTAATATAAAATATTAGGAATTAATTTGTTCAAGTACCAATCCAATCATCTATTTTGTCCAGTTTTTCAAGCGAGATGAATAACAGTTAAAAAATATTACTGCCGTAGGCAATTAATGCCAACTCTCAAAAATGATAAAAGCACAGATTTTCGAATGTACCTCTACATGGGTTGCTCATATTAATAGCAAAGTATGGATTTGTCACATTGTATCCTCTCAGGCATGTGCAGCTGTAGTTTCCAGCAGCATTGGTGCAGTTTGCATTTGGACCACATACTTCAGGAATCTCAGTACATTCATTCACATCTTGATTAAAGAAAGTTAGAAAAAACAAAGACACTTTTAAACATTGTCTTTTAAACAGTGCTAACTGCAGTCCATTGACTAAATGACCAAACAATGATGGCCTTTATTTATAGTGTACTGAAAACTTTTCTTTTACCCATTTGTCCAAATCAAGCTGCATGTCAGACACAATCTAACCATTCACACTTAAATGAAGACTCACAGTCTTCACAGAGGAACTGGTCACTACTCAAAAGACTGAAGACTGGAATTTATAGAAATGTTTAAGAAAAGATGAAACTTATAAATTTAAATTATTTTCAACAAGACCTGGAATATCTTTTAATATAAAATCTAAAAAAAAAAAGATTTTTAAACATACCTCTACATGGATTGCTCACACTAATAGGAAAGTTCGGATTCGTCACATTATATCCTCTCAGGCATCTGCAGCTGTAGTTTCCAACAGCATTGGTGCAGTTTGAATTTGGACCACACACTTCAGGAATCTCAGTGCATTCATCCACATCTTGATTGAAGAAAGTTAATAAAGAAAAACACTTTTAATCAATGTCTATTAAACAGTACTTTTTTCCAGGCCACAATTTAGATAAATACACTCAAATTATACAGTATCTTTCTTTGTCATACAGTCGATGTTGTGGAACACAATAACCTAAAACAACCAGTATTTCAGATCTAATCTAATCTATTCTCACATTTATGGGGGTCTACACCTGGAGTCTTCACATGCTTGTAAAGTGTTACTGTCATAGACAATTACAGCCAACACTCAATGATAACAGTGATGATCTTAAAACCTACCTCTGCATGGATTGCTGCTATTAATAGGCATGAGCAGATTTGTCACATTATATCCTCTCAGGCATGTGCAACTGTAGTTTCCAACATCATTGGTGCAGTTTGAATTTGGTCCACACACATCAGGAATCTCAGTACATTCATCCACATCTTGAGTAAAGAAAGTTAATAAACAAAAACACTTTTAAACACTGTCTATTAAACAGTATTTACTGCAGTCCATAATATAGTAGGTCAAACCCAAATTATGTCCTTTATTTGTAGTACACAGGCTGGTATACTAATGCCTGTTATTTTCTTGAGCCCATTTACCCAAATCAAGCTGGATGTCAGAGATAATCTAACTATTCTCACACTAATGGAGATTTACAGCCTAAAGAAGAACTGGTCACTAGTTAATTCTCTCAGGACAGAGATTTACAGAAATATTCATCACAAGACAGCTTTAAACTTTTACATTTAAATTAGAAGAGAAGACCTAGAATATTTTTTAATATAAAATATTAGGAATTAATTTGTTCAAGTACCAATCCAATCATCTATTTTGTTCAGTTTTTCAAGCGAGATGAACAACAGTTAAAAAAATATTACTGCCGTAGGCAATTAATGCCAACTCTCAAAAATGATAAAGGCACAGATTTTCGAATGTACCTCTACATGGGTTGCTCATATTAATAGCAAAGTATGGATTTGTCACATTGTATCCTCTCAGGCATGTGCAGCTGTAGTTTCCAGCAGCATTGGTGCAGTTTGCATTTGGACCACATACTTCAGGAATCTCAGTACATTCATTCACATCTTGATTAAAGAAAGTTAGAAAAAACAAAGACACTTTTAAACATTGTCTTTTAAACAGTGCTAACTGCAGTCCATTAACTAAATGACCAAACAATGATGGCCTTTATTTATAGTGTACTGAAAACTTTTCTTTTACCCATTTGTCCAAATCAAGCTGCATGTCAGACACAATCTAACCATTCACACTTAAATGAAGACTCACAGTCTTCACAGAGGAACTGGTCACTACTCAAAAGACTGAAGACTGGAATTTATAGAAATGTTTAAGAAAAGATGAAACTTATAAATTTAAATTATTTTCAGCAAGACCTGGAATATCTTTTAATATAAAATCTAAAAAAAAAAGATTTTTAAACATACCTCTACATGGATTGCTCACACTAATAGGAAAGTTCGAATTCGTCATATTATATCCACTCAGGCATGTGCAGCTGTAGTTTCCAACAGCATTGGTGCAGTTTGCATTTGGACCACACACTTCAGGAATCTCAGTGCATTCATCCACATCTTGATTGAAGAAAGTTAATAAAGAAAAACACTTTTAATCAATGTCTATTAAACAGTACTTTTTTCCAGGCCACAATTTAGATAAATACACTCAAATTATACAATATCTTTCCTTGTCATACAGTCGATGTTGTGGAACACAATAACCTAAAACAACCAGTATTTCAGATCTAATCTAATCTATTCTTACATTTATGGGGGTCTACACCTGGAGTCTTCACATGCTTGTGAAGTGTTACTGTCATAGACAACTACAGCCAACACTCAATGATAACAGTGATGATCTTAAAACCTACCTCTGCATGGATTGCTGCTATTAATAGGCATGAGCAGATTTGTCACATTATATCCTCTCAGGCATGTGCAACTGTAGTTTCCAACATCATTGGTGCAGTTTGAATTTGGTCCACACACATCAGGAATCTCAGTACATTCATCCACATCTTGATTAAAGAAAGTTAATAAACAAAAACACTTTTAAACACTGTCTATTAAACAGTATTTACTGCTGTCCATAATATAGTAGGTCAAACCCAAATTATGTCCTTTATTTGTAGTACACAGGCTGGTATACTAATGCCTGTTATTTTCTTGAGCCCATTTACCCAAATCAAGCTGGATGTCAGAGATAATCTAACTATTCTCACACTAATGGAGATTTACAGCCTAAAGAAGAACTGGTCACTAGTTAATTCTCTCAGGACAGAGATTTACAGAAATATTCATCACAAGACAGCTTTAAACTTTTACATTTAAATTAGAAGAGAAGACCTAGAATATTTTTTAATATAAAATATTAGGAATTAATTTGTTCAAGTACCAATCCAATCATCTATTTTGTCCAGTTTTTCAAGCGAGATGAACAACAGTTAAAAAATATTACTGCCGTAGGCAATTAATGCCAACTCTCAAAAATGATAAAAGAAAAGATTTTCAAATGTACCTCTACATGGGTTGCTCATATTAATAGCAAAGTATGGATTCGTCACATTGTATCCTCTCAGGCATGTGCAGCTGTAGTTTCCAGCAGCATTAGTACAGTTTGCATTTGGACCACATACTTCAGGAATCTCAGTACATTCATCCACATCTTGATTAAAGAAAGTTAGAAAAAACAGACATTTTTAAACAGTGCTAACTGCAGTCCATTAACTAAATGACCAAACAATGATGGCCTTTATTTATAGTGTACTGAAAACTTTTCTTTTACCCATTTGTCCAAATCAAGCTGCATGTCAGACACAATCTAACCATTCACATCTAAATGAAGACTCACAGTCTTCACAGAGGAACTGGTCACTACTCAAAAGACTGAAGACTGGAATTTATAGAAATGTTTAAGAAATGACAGCTGTAAACTTCTAAATGTAAATTATGTTGAGCAAGACCTGGAATATCTTTTAATGCAAAATCTTTAGAAATGAATTTTGTTCAAGTACCATTCCAAACATCTCTTGTTTAGCTCTTTTTATATCAGATGGATAATACTTGAAAAGTATTACTATCATAGGTAATTACTGCCAACACTCAAAGATACTAAAAGAAAAGATTTTTAAACATACCTCTACAAGGATTGCTCACACTAATAGACAAGTTTGGATACGTCACATTATATCCTCTCAGGCATGTGCAGCTGTAGTTTCCAACAGCATTGGTGCAGTTTGCATTTGGACCACACACATCAGGAATCTCAGTACATTCATCCACATCTTGATTAAAGAAAGTTAATAAATAACTTGAACTTGTAATATGAATGCATTTCGAGCAACAACTGCATTATAATATAAAACTTTGGAAGATACTGTTGTTAAAGTAGCGTGTGCCAAAGACACTGTGTACACTTTTAATATGAGATGAACAATGTTCGTAAAGTGTTACTGTCATAGACAATTACAGAGAACACTCAATGATAACAGTGATGATCTTGTAACCTACCTCTGCATGGATTGCTGTTATTAATAGGCATGAGCAGATTTGTCACATTATATCCACTTAAGCACATGCAGCTGTAGTTTCCAAAAGCATTGGTGCAGTTTGCATTTGGTCCACACACATCAGGAATCTCCATACATTCATTCACATCTTGATTTAACAAAGCAAACAAACAATGAAACTTTTAACCAATGTCTATTAAAACTACTTTTTTTAGACCATAATCTAGATCCCATGTGTCAAACCCAAGGCCAAGTCAGGCCTGTGGGACAATCCTATTTGGCCTTCGAAATTATTTTTATTTTCTATTAATTAATTCTATTGATAATAGCCCATTTCACCATGAGCTGCACTACAATTCCCAGCATGCACTGCAACATGATGTGCGCTCTGACCCCCTTCTATGGGCCAGCAGTTACACAAAAATAAAAGATGCCTGGTGTCTAGTTCAAGCAAATAGGTGATTTTAAAAAAACTACCTCCTGGGGATGTTAAACAAGTTTAACAGTCACCTGTAGATAATGCAACCTATTGTTTTACATAAAACAATTTGTTTTAATTAAAATAATCTTTGAATAGTTCTAGTATTTAGCGCCTATTTTGCTGTTGCAGTTTTTGTATATCCTGAATAAACAATGGCCAGTTCAGGTCATAGCAAATCGTTCAGTAAAATAAATTAAAAACACAGCTGGCCCGCAGATTTGTTGAGATTTTTTAATATGGCCCTTTTAGCGGTTGAGTTTCACACCCCTGATCTAGATGATCCGATTCCAATGATAGCCTTTATTTGTACTACAATGGAGGTTGTACCCATCAAGCTGAATGTCAGCGATAATATGCAATTGGAATCTTAAATAAGGATTTGGTCTTCTCATTACTTAAATGTTATTGAAAAAGAGACAGACAGCACTAAACTTGACAAACATAAAAATATTTTGCGCAACAACTGCAATATCTTAACATAAAAGTTCTGATATTTGTGTTGCTCAGCTAACATCCAGATTTATTGTAGGCAAAAGTTTAGGCTTTCCAGTCCAATTATATATATATATATATTATATATATATAGTATGGACATAAACACAACCTCTGCAACAAACTATTTTAAACAATAACATTTTTTTGGCAAATGTTAAAACAATGCATAAAGTTACTTTATATTTGATTAACTTACATAATAGAAAAAAACTACATGGTAATTGCAGCATGTGCAAAATTTAATAATTCAGTACTTAATAATGCCTCCTTTAGGAATTTTCCAGTTTTCCAAAGAGTTCTATTTTTTCTCTTCCTCAGTGCACAGATCTTGTTTCCTAAATGCCTGGCTTATCTAAATGTGGGTTTAGGTACTTCAGATTTTGACATTTGTGACAAGGACACAGAGAAGGTTGGTAACTATGGTAACTATTGCTCTTCTTCGCAGATCATGTTTGTGCAAGCATGCTATGTCAGCTAAATGTTCCTACAGGCCCTCTGCTTTCATACAGAGGGCTTCCTTTATCTTTTTGGAAACATACGAGCCAGCATACGAGCAGTTCTGTCGGAGTCTTTTTTGGTCTTCGACAGTTTGCCTTAGCTTCCAAGGTTCACCTTAACTGCTATTTCTTAATGACATTTCAGACAGTGCAAACTGCCCGCTAAAAGTGTTTTGATATTTTTTTTTACAGCCAGCTGCTTAGAGAAGCCCAAGACTGTCAAGTGTTAGACAATTTCTAACAAAAATTCTTGACCTGCCTAACCAGTCTTAAAAGGTCTATTAAGGACTAATGAATTAATTATATTTTGAGGCTTTACAACTGGGAGGGTGTCTACAATTTTACATATACTGTAAATACTACGTGATTTATTTACTTTTAAAGTTGTTAACTATGTGTTCATATTTGTGTTTTTTTGACTAATTTGCTGCAGAGGTTGTGTTTACTTCTTTTCATTTAAAAAAATCAATAAAATATGTAATACAGCTGGCAACAAACATACCTCTGCATGGGTTGCTGATGTTGATAGGCATAAGCAGATCTGTCACTTTGTATCCATTCCAGCATGTGCAGCTGTAGTTTCCAGGAGCATTAGTGCAGTTTGCATTTGGACCACACACTTCAGGAATCTCAGCACATTCGTCAATTTCTCCATTAAAGAAAAAAAATAAATGAACAGACCTTTTAATCATGATCTGAAAGCATCATGTTTTATAAACATACTATGCCTTCATGACTTAAATCAGGGCTTTTTAACCTATTTCACGGTGCAACCCATTTTTGGGGTTAACAGTCCCAAGGGGGTCCTGATCCCCAGGTTAAGAAACCCTGATTAAAATAGTCAAACGCTCACCACAGCCTGTATGCTATGCATCTGAATCACAATCTGTGGGATTTGGAAACACTACAGAAAACAAACTAAACAATAATGTATAGTATTTTTTGGCAGAAAAAAACAACAAAAGCAAAAAGAGAGAAATTACCTAAAGTGATTTCTGTAACCAGTTCCCCATACTGCACAAGGGGATTAATTAAGCTCTTACAAGAATTTACTTTATTGTTACATGTAAAATGAAAAATTACACTTTATATTTAAAAGGTAAATATTTACATGTACAAATTCAATTCTACTTCTCCCCTGGCCAATGCTTTTTGAAAAAAGGCTACTGGGGCATCAATACATGTGCATAGAGGCATAGAATGTGGAGAATTTATCGTCAATCACTGTAAATTTTCTGGTGTACTGTTTGGTCTGTTGCACAGATTTGGAACAGGCTCTACACATGCTTTGATTAGTCTGAGTAATAAAAAAAGTGCTACAAGTCTAGATAAGATAGATTGTAAACTGACTGAATGGGTACAGATGCTGTTACTTACCTGGAGTGGGACATACAGTGATATCTATAAAACAACAAAACAATAAAACACAATTACACAAATAATTACATTAAGATTAAACTCCAATAAAATGTAATAACTCAGTCAACAATTAATCATTCTTTTTCACTGATCACTACACTGTCTTGCTTTTTAAATTGGTCAAAACACTCAAACTTCTACCGAGCAAACAGACAATTTTAGATATTTCAAAGTTACAAGTAACTGATATTCTATCTTGTATTCCAAAAAAATCTAGTTCTACACCAATGCCCAATTACAAATAGTGTTTAAGGCAAAGCACAACCCATAAACTAAAATAAAAAAGGAAGCTGTTTGGCGTGATCATTTCTATTTTAAAGATAATACATACTAGTCAGCTCTGTCATTGGTTGGCAGAACTGTCCATCAACTGGAACAGCTTTGATGCATCCACATGTGACGTTATTAACGTTGTCACAGGGTCCATATGCTGCGCACTTGTTACACGGCCAGAAATACTGATCCTCACACCGGCACTGGTATCCGGTATTATTCAAAAGACAGACTGTGAATAAACAGAAACACACAAAGCTCTTAAACGACAACAAAACTGGACCATTGAGCTTCGTGCTCCATTTATATTGAGATTATAAATGGTACTGTAAAAATAAACAAATAAACTAATTCAAATCATTTAATATGCTTTGTGTAATTGTGAGAAAAGTACCAAAAGATTCAAGGAATAGACATGAATAAAAATAAAATAAAATAAAGCATCTATATAAGAGATTTAAAATATTTAATTGCTAAAAAATACAGAGCCTCCAAAGACGTATGACATTTTATAACAGTGAGTCTCGGCACAGACAGAGAGGACAGTTACCTGTAGTGATGTTGAGTTCAGTGATCTGAATGTCACTTATTCCGAAGGGTAAACTGAGGTTCTTCAGAAGAGTTCTCAGCTGATTAAGCACGGCTGCGTCCAATGTGTCAATCTCAATCTCAACCACGTATTCAGTGGAAGGTGGCGCTGTAAACAACATTATTTGGAATGAAATGGCATTAACCCTAGCTTCCAACAGTATTGGTGCAGTTTGCATTTGGACCAAACACTTCAGGAATCTCAGCACATTCGTCGATTTCTCCATTAAAGAAAAAAAATAAATGAACAGACCTTTTAATCATGATCTGAAAGCATCATGTTTTATAAACATACTATGTCTTCATGACTTAAATCAGGGCTTCTTAACCTATTTCACGGTGCAACCCATTTTTGGGGTTAAAAGTCCCAAGGGGGTCCTGATCCCCAGGTTAAGAAACCCTGATTGAAACAGTCAAACGCTTACCACAGCCTGTATGCTATTGCATCTGAATCACAATCTGTGGGATTTGGAAACACTACAGAAAACAAACTAAACAATAATGCATAGTATTTTTTGGTGGAAAAAGCAAAAAGAGAGAAATTACCTAAAGTGATTTCTGTAACCAGTTCCCCATACTGCACAAGGGGATTAATTAGGCTCTTACAAGAATTTACTTTATTGTTACATGTAAAATGAAAAATTGCACTTGATATTTAAAAAGCAAATATTTACATGTACAAATTCAATTCTACTTCTCCCCTGGTCAATGCTTTTTGAAAAAAGGCTACTGGGGCATCAATAAATGTGCATAGAGGCATAGAATGTGCAGAATTTATCGTCAATCTCTGTAAATTTTCTGGTGTACTGTTTGGTCTTTTGCACAGATTTAGAACAGGCTCTACACATGCTTTGATAAGTTTGAGTAATAAAAAAAGTGCTACAAGTCTAGATAAGACAGATTGTAAGCTGACTGAATGGGTACAGATGCTGTTACTTACCTGGAGTGGGACATACAGTGATATCTATAAAACAACAACAAAAAAAAACAATTACACAAATAATTACATTAAGATTAAACTCCAATAAAATGTAATAATTCAGTCAACAATTAATCATTCGTTTTCATTCATCACTGCACTGTCTCGCTTTTTAAATTGGTCAAAAACCTCAAACTTCTACCAAGCAAACAGACAATTTTAGATATTTCAAAGTTACAAGTAACTGATATTCTATCTTGTATTCCAAAACAATCTAGTTCTACACCAATGCCCAATTACAAATAGTGTTTAAGGCAAAGCACAACCAAAAAAAATAAACTAAAATAAAAAAGGAAGTTGTTTGGCGTGATCATTTTTATATTAAAGATAATACATACTAGTCAGCTCTGTCATTGGTTGGCAGAACTGTCCATCAACCGGAACAGCTTTGATGCATCCACATGTGACGTTATTAATGTTGTCACAGGGTCCATATGCTGCGCACTTGTTACACGGCCAGAAATACTGATCCTCACACAGGCACTGGTATCCGGTATTATTCAAAAGACAGACTGTGAATAAACAGAAACACACAAAGCTCTTAAACGACAACAAAACTGGACCATTGAGCTTCGTGCTCCATTTATATTGAGATTATAAATGGTACTGTAAAAATAAACAAATAAACTAATTCAAATCATTTAATATGCTTTGTGTAATTGTGAGAAAAGTACCAAAAGATTCAAGGAATAGACATGAATAAAAATAAAATAAAATAAAGCATCTATATAAGAGATTTAAAATATTTAATTGCTAAAAAATACAGAGCCTCCAAAGACGTATGACATTTTATAACAGTGAGTCTCGGCACAGACAGAGAGGACAGTTACCTGTAGTGATGTTGAGTTCAGTGATCTGAATGTCACTTATTCCGAAGGGTAAACTGAGGTTCTTCAGAAGAGTTCTCAGCTGATTAAGCACGGCTGCGTCCAATGTGTCAATCTCAATCTCAACCACGTATTCAGTGGAAGGTGGCGCTGTAAACAACATTATTTGGAATGAAATGGCATTAACCCTAGCTTCCAACAGTATTGGTGCAGTTTGCATTTGGACCAAACACTTCAGGAATCTCAGCACATTCGTCGATTTCTCCATTAAAGAAAAAAAATAAATGAACAGACCTTTTAATCATGATCTGCAAGCATCATGTTTTATAAACATACTATGCCTTCATGACTTATATCAGGGCTTCTTAACCTATTTCACGGTGCAACCCATTTTTGGGGTTAAAAGTCCCAAGGGGGTCCTGATCCCCAGGTTAAGAAACCCTGATTGAAACAGTCAAACGCTTACCACAGCCTGTATGCTATTGCATCTGAATCACAATCTGTGGGATTTGGAAACACTACAGAAAACAAACTAAACAATAATGCATAGTATTTTTAGGTGGAAAAAGCAAAAAGAGAGAAATTACCTAAAGTGATTTCTGTAACCAGTTCCCCATACTGCACAAGGGGATTAATTAAGCTCTTACAAGAATTTACTTTATTGTTACATGTAAAATGAAAAATTGCACTTGATATTTAAAAAGTAAATATTTACATGTACAAATTCAATTCTACTTCTCCCCTGGTCAATGCTTTTTGAAAAAAGGCTACTGGGGCATCAGTACATGTGCATAGAGGCATAGAATGTGCAGAATTTATCGTCAATCTCTGTAAATTTTCTGGTGTACTGTTTGGTCTTTTGCACAGATTTAGAACAGGCTCTACACATGCTTTGATAAGTTTGAGTAATAAAAAAAGTGCTACAAGTCTAGATAAGATAGATTGTAAGCTGACTGAATGGGTACAGATGCTGTTACTTACCTGGAGTGGGACATACAGTGATATCTATAAAACAACAACAAAAAAAAAACAATTACACAAATAATTACATTAAGATTAAACTCCAATAAAATGTAATAATTCAGTCAACAATTAATCATTCGTTTTCATTCATCACTGCACTGTCTCGCTTTTTAAATTGGTCAAAAACCTCAAACTTCTACCAAGCAAACAGACAATTTTAGATATTTCAAAGTTACAAGTAACTGATATTCTATCTTGTATTCCAAAACAATCTAGTTCTACACCAATGCCCAATTACAAATAGTGTTTAAGGCAAAGCACAACCAAAAAAAATAAACTAAAATAAAAAAGGAAGTTGTTTGGCGTGATCATTTTTATATTAAAGATAATACATACTAGTCAGCTCTGTCATTGGTTGGCAGAACTGTCCATCAACTGGAACAGCTTTGATGCATCCACATGTGACGTTATTAATGTTGTCACAGGGTCCATATGCTGCGCACTTGTTACACGGCCAGAAATACTGATCCTCACACCGGCACTGGTATCCGGTATTATTCAAAAGACACACTGTGAATAAACAGAAACACACAAAGCTCTTAAACGACAACAAAACTGGACCATTGAGCTTCGTGCTCCATTTATATTGAGATTATAAATGGTACTGTAAAATTAAACAAATAAACTAATTCAAATCATTTAATATGCTTTGTGTAATTGTGAGAAAAGTACCAAAAGATTCAAGGAATAGACATGAATAAAAATAAAATAAAGCATCTATATAAGATATTTAAAATATTTAATTGCTAAAAAATACAGAGCTTCCAAAGACGTATGACATTTTATAACAGTGAGTCTCGGCACAGACAGAGAGGACAGTTACCTGTAGTGATGTTGAGTTCAGTGATCTGAATGTCACTTATTCCGAAGGGTAAACTGAGGTTCTTCAGAAGAGTTCTCAGCTGATTAAGCACTGCTGCGTCCAATGTGTCAATCTCAATCTCAACCACGTATTCAGTGGAAGGTGGCGCTGTAAATAACATTATTTGGAATGAAATGGCATTAACCCTAGCTTCCAACAGTATTGGTGCAGTTTGCATTTGGACCAAACACTTCAGGAATCTCAGCACATTCGTCGATTTCTCCATTAAAGAAAAAAAATAAATGAACAGACCTTTTAATCATGATCTGCAAGCATCATGTTTTATAAACATACTATGCCTTCATGACTTATATCAGGGCTTCTTAACCTATTTCACGGTGCAACCCATTTTTGGGGTTAGCAGTCCCAAGAGGGTCCTGATCCCCAGGTTAAGAAACCCTGATTTAAATAGTCAAACGCTCACCACAGCCTGTATGCTATTGCATCTGAATCACAATCTGTGGGATTTGGAAACACTACAGAAAACAAACTAAACAATAATGTATAGTATTTTTTGGCAGAAAAAACAACAAAAGCAAAAAGAGAGAAATGACCTAAAGTGATTTCTGTAACCAGTTCCCCATACTGCACAAGGGGATTAATTGAGCTATTACAAGAATTTACCTAATTGTTACATGTAAAATGAAAAATTGCACTTGATATTTAAAAAGTAAATATTTACATGTACAAATTCAATTCTACTTCTCCCCTGGCCAATGCTTTTTGAAAAAAAGGCTACTGGGGCATCAATAAATGTGCATAGAGGCATAGAATGTGGAGAATTTATCTTCAATCACTGTAAATTTTCTGGTGTACTGTTTGGTCTTTTGCACAGATTTAGAACAGGCTCTACACATGCTTTGATTAGTCTGAGTAATGAAAAGAAGTGCTACAAGTCTAGATAAGATAGATTGTAAGCTGACTGAATGGGTACAGATGCTGTTACTTACCTGGAGTGGGACATACAGTGATATCTATAAAACAACAAAATAATAAAACACAATTACACAAAAAATTACATTAAGATTAAACTCCAATAAAATGTAATAACTCAGTCAACAATTAATCATTCTTTTTCACTGATCACTGCACTGTCTCGCTTTTTAAATTGGTCAAAACACTCAAACTTCTACCAAGCAAACAGACAATTTTAGACATTTCGAAGTTACAAGTAACTGATATTCTATCTTGTATTCCAAAACAATCTAGTTCTACACCAATGCCCAATTACAAATAGTGTTTAAGGCAAAGCACAACCAAAAAAATAAACTAAAATAAAAAAGGAAGTTGTTTGGCGTGATCATTTCTATTTTAAAGATAATACATACTAGTCAGCTCTGTCATTGGTTGGCAGAACTGTCCATCAACTGGAACAGCTTTGATGCATCCACATGTGACGTTATTAACGTTGTCACAGGGTCCATATGCTGCGCACTTGTTACACGGCCAGAAATACTGATCCTCACACCGGCACTGGTATCCAGTATTATTCAAAAGACACACTGTGAATAAACAGAAACACACAAAGCTCTTAAATGACGACAAAACTGGACCATTGAGCTTCGTGCTCCATTTATATTGAGATTATAAATGGTACTGTAAAAATAAACAAATAAACTAATTCAAATCATTTAATATGCTTTGTGTAATTGTGAGAAAAGTACCAAAAGATTCAAGGAATAGACATGAATAAAAATAAAATAAAATAAAGCATCTATATAAGAGATTTAAAATATTTAATTGCTAAAAAATACAGAGCCTCCAAAGACGTATGACATTTTATAACAGTGAGTCTCGGCACAGACAGAGAGGACAGTTACCTGTAGTGATGTTGAGTTCAGTGATCTGAATGTCACTTATTCCGAAGGGTAAACTGAGGTTCTTCAGAAGAGTTCTCAGCTGATTAAGCACGGCTGCGTCCAATGTGTCAATCTCAATCTCAACCACGTATTCAGTGGGAGGTGGTGCTGTAAATAACATTATTTGGAATGAAATGGCATTAACCCTAGCTTCCAACAGTATTGGTGCAGTTTGCATTTGGACCAAACACTTCAGGAATCTCAGCACATTCGTCGATTTCTCCATTAAAGAAAAAAAATAAATGAACAGACCTTTTAATCATGATCTGAAAGCATCATGTTTTATAAACATACTATGTCTTTATGACTTAAATCAGGGCTTTTTAACCTATTTCACGGTGCAACCCATTTTTGGGGTTAAAAGTCCCAAGGGGGTCCTGATCCCCAGGTTAAGAAACCCTGATTGAAACAGTCAAACGCTCACCACAGCCTGTATGCTATTGCATCTGAATCACAATCTGTGGGATTTGGAAACACTACAGAAAACAAACTAAACAATAATGCATAGTATTTTTTGGTGGAAAAAGCAAAAAGAGAGAAATTACCTAAAGTGATTTCTGTAACCAGTTCCCCATACTGCACAAGGGGATTAATTAGGCTCTTACAAGAATTTACTTTATTGTTACATGTAAAATGAAAAATTGCACTTGATATTTAAAAAGTAAATATTTACATGTACAAATTCAATTCTACTTCTCCCCTGGCCAATGCTTTTTGAAAAAAAGGCTACTGGGGCATCAATAAATGTGCATAGAGGCATAGAATGTGGAGAATTTATCTTCAATCACTGTAAATTTTCTGGTGTACTGTTTGGTCTTTTGCACAGATTTGGAACAGGCTCTACACATGCTTTGATTAGTCTGAGTAATGAAAAGAAGTGCTACAAGTCTAGATAAGATAGATTGTAAGCTGACTGAATGGGTACAGATGCTGTTACTTACCTGGAGTGGGACATACAGTGATATCTATAAAACAACAAAATAATAAAACACAATTACACAAAAAATTACATTAAGATTAAACTCCAATAAAATGTAATAACTCAGTCAACAATTAATCATTCTTTTTCACTGATCACTGCACTGTCTCGCTTTTTAAATTGGTCAAAACACTCAAACTTCTACCAAGCAAACAGACAATTTTAGACATTTCGAAGTTACAAGTAACTGATATTCTATCTTGTATTCCAAAACAATCTAGTTCTACACCAATGCCCAATTACAAATAGTGTTTAAGGCAAAGCACAACCAAAAAAATAAACTAAAATAAAAAAGGAAGTTGTTTGGCGTGATCATTTCTATTTTAAAGATAATACATACTAGTCAGCTCTGTCATTGGTTGGCAGAACTGTCCATCAACTGGAACAGCTTTGATGCATCCACATGTGACGTTATTAACGTTGTCACAGGGTCCATATGCTGCGCACTTGTTACACGGCCAGAAATACTGATCCTCACACCGGCACTGGTATCCAGTATTATTCAAAAGACACACTGTGAATAAACAGAAACACACAAAGCTCTTAAATGACGACAAAACTGGACCATTGAGCTTCGTGCTCCATTTATATTGAGATTATAAATGGTACTGTAAAAATAAACAAATAAACTAATTCAAATCATTTAATATGCTTTGTGTAATTGTGAGAAAAGTACCAAAAGATTCAAGGAATAGACATGAATAAAAATAAAATAAAATAAAGCATCTATATAAGAGATTTAAAATATTTAATTGCTAAAAAATACAGAGCCTCCAAAGACGTATGACATTTTATAACAGTGAGTCTCGGCACAGACAGAGAGGACAGTTACCTGTAGTGATGTTGAGTTCAGTGATCTGAATGTCACTTATTCCGAAGGGTAAACTGAGGTTCTTCAGAAGAGTTCTCAGCTGATTAAGCACGGCTGCGTCCAATGTGTCAATCTCAATCTCAACCACGTATTCAGTGGGAGGTGGCGCTGTAAACAACATTATTTGGAATGAAATGGCATTAACCCTAGCTTCCAACAGTATTGGTGCAGTTTGCATTTGGACCAAACACTTCAGGAATCTCAGCACATTCGTCGATTTCTCCATTAAAGAAAAAAAATAAATGAACAGACCTTTTAATCATGATCTGAAAGCATCATGTTTTATAAACATACTATGTCTTTATGACTTAAATCAGGGCTTTTTAACCTATTTCACGGTGCAACCCATTTTTGGGGTTAAAAGTCCCAAGGGGGTCCTGATCCCCAGGTTAAGAAACCCTGATTGAAACAGTCAAACGCTCACCACAGCCTGTATACTATTGCATCTGAATCACAATCTGTGGGATTTGGAAACACTACAGAAAACAAACTAAACAATAATGTATAGTATTTTTTGGCGGAAAAAACAACAAAAGCAAAAAGAGAGAAATGACCTAAAGTGATTTCTGTAACCACTTCCCCATACTGCACAAGGGGATTAATTAGGCTCTTACAAGAATTTACTTTATTGTTACATGTAAAATGAAAAATTGCACTTGATATTTAAAAAGTAAATATTTACATGTACAAATTCAATTCTACTTCTCCCCTGGCCAATGCTTTTTGAAAAAAGGCTACTGGGGCATCAATACATGTGCATAGAGGCATAGAATGTGCAGAATTTATCGTCAATCTCTGTAAATTTTCTGGTGTACTGTTTGGTCTTTTGCACAGATTTAGAACAGGCTCTACACATGCTTTGATAAGTTTGAGTAATAAAAAAAGTGCTACAAGTCTAGATAAGATAGATTGTAAGCTGACTGAATGGGTACAGATGCTGTTACTTACCTGGAGTGGGACATACAGTGATATCTATAAAACAACAACAAAAAAAAAAAACAATTACACAAATAATTACATTAAGATTAAACTCCAATAAAATGTAATAATTCAGTCAACAATTAATCATTCGTTTTCATTCATCACTGCACTGTCTCGCTTTTTAAATTGGTCAAAAACCTCAAACTTCTACCAAGCAAACAGACAATTGTAGATATTTCAAAGTTACAAGTAACTGATATTCTATCTTGTATTCCAAAACAATCTAGTTCTACACCAATGCCCAATTACAAATAGTGTTTAAGGCAAAGCACAACCAAAAAAAATAAACTAAAATAAAAAAGGAAGTTGTTTGGCGTGATCATTTTTATATTAAAGATAATACATACTAGTCAGCTCTGTCATTGGTTGGCAGAACTGTCCATCAACTGGAACAGCTTTGATGCATCCACATGTGACGTTATTAACGTTGTCACAGGGTCCATATGCTGCGCACTTGTTACACGGCCAGAAATACTGATCCTCACACCGGCACTGGTATCCAGTATTATTCAAAAGACACACTGTGAATAAACAGAAACACACAAAGCTCTTAAACGACAACAAAACTGGACCATTGAGCTTCATGCTCCATTTATATTGAGATTATAAATGGTACTGTAAAAATAAGCAAACAAATAAACTAATTCAAATCATTTAATATGCTTTGTGTAATTGTGAGAAAAGTACCAAAAGATTCAAGGAATAGACATAAATAAAAATAAAATAAAGCATCTATATAAGATATTTAAAATATTTAATTGCTAAAAAATACAGAGCTTCCAAAGACGTATGACATTTTATAACAGTGAGTCTCGGCACAGACAGAGAGGACAGTTACCTGTAGTGATGTTGAGTTCAGTGATCTGAATGTCACTTATTCCGAAGGGTAAACTGAGGTTCTTCAGAAGAGTTCTCAGCTGATTAAGCACGGCTGCGTCCAATGTGTCAATCTCAATCTCAACCACGTATTCAGTGGAAGGTGGCGCTGTAAATAACATTATTTGGAATGAAATGGCATTAACCCTAGCTTCCAACAGTATTGGTGCAGTTTGCATTTGGACCAAACACTTCAGGAATCTCAGCACATTCGTCGATTTCTCCATTAAAGAAAAAAAATAAATGAACAGACCTTTTAATCATGATCTGCAAGCATCATGTTTTATAAACATACTATGTCTTTATGACTTAAATCAGGGCTTTTTAACCTATTTCACGGTGCAACCCATTTTTGGGGTTAAAAGTCCCAAGGGGGTCCTGATCCCCAGGTTAAGAAACCCTGATTGAAACAGTCAAACGCTTACCACAGCCTGTATGCTATTGCATCTGAATCACAATCTGTGGGATTTGGAAACACTACAGAAAACAAACTAAACAATAATGCATAGTATTTTTTGGTGGAAAAAGCAAAAAGAGAGAAATTACCTAAAGTGATTTCTGTAACCAGTTCCCCATACTGCACAAGGGGATTAATTAGGCTCTTACAAGAATTTACTTTATTGTTACATGTAAAATGAAAAATTGCACTTTATATTTAAAAGGTAAATATTTACATGTACAAATTCAATTCTACTTCTCCCCTGGTCAATGCTTTTTGAAAAAAGGCTACTGGGGCATCAATACATGTGCATAGAGGCATAGAATGTGCAGAATTTATCGTCAATCTCTGTAAATTTTCTGGTGTACTGTTTGGTCTTTTGCACAGATTTAGAACAGGCTCTACACATGCTTTGATAAGTTTGAGTAATAAAAAAAGTGCTACAAGTCTAGATAAGATAGATTGTAAGCTGACTGAATGGGTACAGATGCTGTTACTTACCTGGAGTGGGACATACAGTGATATCTATAAAACAACAACAAAAAAAAAACAATTACACAAATAATTACATTAAGATTAAACTCCAATAAAATGTAATAATTCAGTCAACAATTAATCATTCGTTTTCATTCATCACTGCACTGTCTCGCTTTTTAAATTGGTCAAAAACCTCAAACTTCTACCAAGCAAACAGACAATTTTAGATATTTCAAAGTTACAAGTAACTGATATTCTATCTTGTATTCCAAAACAATCTAGTTCTACACCAATGCCCAATTACAAATAGTGTTTAAGGCAAAGCACAACCAAAAAAAATAAACTAAAATAAAAAAGGAAGTTGTTTGGCGTGATCATTTTTATATTAAAGATAATACATACTAGTCAGCTCTGTCATTGGTTGGCAGAACTGTCCATCAACTGGAACAGCTTTGATGCATCCACATGTGACGTTATTAATGTTGTCACAGGGTCCATATGCTGCGCACTTGTTACACGGCCAGAAATACTGATCCTCACACCGGCACTGGTATCCGGTATTATTCAAAAGACACACTGTGAATAAACAGAAACACACAAAGCTCTTAAACGACGACAAAACTGGACCATTGAGCTTCGTGCTCCATTTATATTGAGATTATAAATGGTACTGTAAAATTAAACAAATAAACTAATTCAAATCATTTAATATGCTTTGTGTAATTGTGAGAAAAGTACCAAAAGATTCAAGGAATAGACATAAATAAAAATAAAATAAAGCATCTATATAAGATATTTAAAATATTTAATTGCTAAAAAATACAGAGCCTCCAAAGACGTATGACATTTTATAACAGTGAGTCTCGGCACAGACAGAGAGGACAGTTACCTGTAGTGATGTTGAGTTCAGTGATCTGAATGTCACTTATTCCGAAGGGTAAACTGAGGTTCTTCAGAAGAGTTCTCAGCTGATTAAGCACGGCTGCGTCCAATGTGTCAATCTCAATCTCAACCACGTATTCAGTGGAAGGTGGCGCTGTAAATAACATTATTTGGAATGAAATGGCATTAACCCTAGCTTCCAACAGTATTGGTGCAGTTTGCATTTGGACCAAACACTTCAGGAATCTCAGCACATTCGTCGATTTCTCCATTAAAGAAAAAAAATAAATGAACAGACCTTTTAATCATGATCTGAAAGCATCATGTTTTATAAACATACTATGCCTTCATGACTTATATCAGGGCTTCTTAACCTATTTCACGGTGCAACCCATTTTTGGGGTTAGCAGTCCCAAGAGGGTCCTGATCCCCAGGTTAAGAAACCCTGATTTAAATAGTCAAACGCTCACCACAGCCTGTATGCTATTGCATCTGAATCACAATCTGTGGGATTTGGAAACACTACAGAAAACAAACTAAACAATAATGTATAGTATTTTTTGGCAGAAAAAACAACAAAAGCAAAAAGAGAGAAATGACCTAAAGTGATTTCTGTAACCAGTTCCCCATACTGCACAAGGGGATTAATTGAGCTATTACAAGAATTTACCTAATTGTTACATGTAAAATGAAAAATTGCACTTGATATTTAAAAAGTAAATATTTACATGTACAAATTCAATTCTACTTCTCCCCTGGTCAATGCTTTTTGAAAAAAGGCTACTGGGGCATCAATACATGTGCATAGAGGCATAGAATGTGGAGAATTTATCATCAATCACTGTAAATTTTCTGGTGTACTGTTTGGTCTTTTGCACAGATTTAGAACAGGCTCTACACATGCTTTGATTAGTCTGAGTAATAAAAAGAAGTGCTACAAGTCTAGATAAGATAGATTGTAAGCTGACTGAATGGGTACAGATGCTGTTACTTACCTGGAGTGGGACATACAGTGATATCTATAAAACAACAAAATAATAAAACACAATTACACAAAAAATTACATTAAGATTAAACTCCAATAAAATGTAATAATTCAGTCAACAATTAATCATTCTTTTTCACTGATCACTGCACTGTCTCGCTTTTTAAATTGGTCAAAACACTCAAACTTCTACCAAGCAAACAGACAATTTTAGACATTTCGAAGTTACAAGTAACTGACATTCTATCTTGTATTCCAAAAAAATCTAGTTCTACACCAATGCCCAATTACAAATAGTGTTTAAGGCAAAGCACAACCAAAAAAATAAACTAAAATAAAAAAGGAAGTTGTTTGGCGTGATCATTTTTATATTAAAGATAATACATACTAGTCAGCTCTGTCATTGGTTGGCAGAACTGTCCATCAACTGGAACAGCTTTGATGCATCCACATGTGACGTTATTAATGTTGTCACAGGGTCCATATGCTGCGCACTTGTTACACGGCCAGAAATACTGATCCTCACACCGGCACTGGTATCCAGTATTATTCAAAAGACACACTGTGAATAAACAGAAACACACAAAGCTCTTAAATGACGACAAAACTGGACCATTGAGCTTCGTGCTCCATTTATATTGAGATTATAAATGGTACTGTAAAATTAAACAAACAAATAAACTAATTCAAATCATTTAATATGCTTTGTGTAATTGTGAGAAAAGTACCAAAAGATTCAAGGAATAGACATGAATAAAAATAAAATAAAATAAAGCATCTATATAAGAGATTTAAAATATTTAATTGCTAAAAAATACAGAGCCTCCAAAGACGTATGACATTTTATAACAGTGAGTCTCGGCACAGACAGAGAGGACAGTTACCTGTAGTGATGTTGAGTTCAGTGATCTGAATGTCACTTATTCCGAAGGGTAAACTGAGGTTCTTCAGAAGAGTTCTCAGCTGATTAAGCACGGCTGCGTCCAATGTGTCAATCTCAATCTCAACCACGTATTCAGTGGGAGGTGGCGCTGTAAACAACATTATTTGGAATGAAATGGCATTAACCCTAGCTTCCAACAGTATTGGTGCAGTTTGCATTTGGACCAAACACTTCAGGAATCTCAGCACATTCGTCGATTTCTCCATTAAAGAAAAAAAATAAATGAACAGACCTTTTAATCATGATCTGAAAGCATCATGTTTTATAAACATACTATGTCTTTATGACTTAAATCAGGGCTTTTTAACCTATTTCACGGTGCAACCCATTTTTGGGGTTAAAAGTCCCAAGGGGGTCCTGATCCCCAGGTTAAGAAACCCTGATTGAAACAGTCAAACGCTCACCACAGCCTGTATACTATTGCATCTGAATCACAATCTGTGGGATTTGGAAACACTACAGAAAACAAACTAAACAATAATGTATAGTATTTTTTGGCGGAAAAAACAACAAAAGCAAAAAGAGAGAAATGACCTAAAGTGATTTCTGTAACCACTTCCCCATACTGCACAAGGGGATTAATTAGGCTCTTACAAGAATTTACTTTATTGTTACATGTAAAATGAAAAATTGCACTTGATATTTAAAAAGTAAATATTTACATGTACAAATTCAATTCTACTTCTCCCCTGGCCAATGCTTTTTGAAAAAAGGCTACTGGGGCATCAATACATGTGCATAGAGGCATAGAATGTGCAGAATTTATCGTCAATCTCTGTAAATTTTCTGGTGTACTGTTTGGTCTTTTGCACAGATTTAGAACAGGCTCTACACATGCTTTGATAAGTTTGAGTAATAAAAAAAGTGCTACAAGTCTAGATAAGATAGATTGTAAGCTGACTGAATGGGTACAGATGCTGTTACTTACCTGGAGTGGGACATACAGTGATATCTATAAAACAACAACAAAAAAAAAAAACAATTACACAAATAATTACATTAAGATTAAACTCCAATAAAATGTAATAATTCAGTCAACAATTAATCATTCGTTTTCATTCATCACTGCACTGTCTCGCTTTTTAAATTGGTCAAAAACCTCAAACTTCTACCAAGCAAACAGACAATTGTAGATATTTCAAAGTTACAAGTAACTGATATTCTATCTTGTATTCCAAAACAATCTAGTTCTACACCAATGCCCAATTACAAATAGTGTTTAAGGCAAAGCACAACCAAAAAAAATAAACTAAAATAAAAAAGGAAGTTGTTTGGCGTGATCATTTTTATATTAAAGATAATACATACTAGTCAGCTCTGTCATTGGTTGGCAGAACTGTCCATCAACTGGAACAGCTTTGATGCATCCACATGTGACGTTATTAACGTTGTCACAGGGTCCATATGCTGCGCACTTGTTACACGGCCAGAAATACTGATCCTCACACCGGCACTGGTATCCAGTATTATTCAAAAGACACACTGTGAATAAACAGAAACACACAAAGCTCTTAAACGACAACAAAACTGGACCATTGAGCTTCATGCTCCATTTATATTGAGATTATAAATGGTACTGTAAAAATAAACAAATAAACTAATTCAAATCATTTAATATGCTTTGTGTAATTGTGAGAAAAGTACCAAAAGATTCAAGGAATAGACATAAATAAAAATAAAATAAAGCATCTATATAAGATATTTAAAATATTTAATTGCTAAAAAATACAGAGCTTCCAAAGACGTATGACATTTTATAACAGTGAGTCTCGGCACAGACAGAGAGGACAGTTACCTGTAGTGATGTTGAGTTCAGTGATCTGAATGTCACTTATTCCGAAGGGTAAACTGAGGTTCTTCAGAAGAGTTCTCAGCTGATTAAGCACGGCTGCGTCCAATGTGTCAATCTCAATCTCAACCACGTATTCAGTGGAAGGTGGCGCTGTAAATAACATTATTTGGAATGAAATGGCATTAACCCTAGCTTCCAACAGTATTGGTGCAGTTTGCATTTGGACCAAACACTTCAGGAATCTCAGCACATTCGTCGATTTCTCCATTAAAGAAAAAAAATAAATGAACAGACCTTTTAATCATGATCTGCAAGCATCATGTTTTATAAACATACTATGCCTTCATGACTTAAATCAGGGCTTCTTAACCTATTTCAGGGTGCAACCCATTTTTGGGGTTAAAAGTCCCAAGGGGGTCCTGATCCCCAGGTTAAGAAACCCTGATTTAAATAGTCAAACGCTCACCACAGCCTGTATGCTATTGCATCTGAATCACAATCTGTGGGATTTGGAAACACTACAGAAAACAAACTAAACAATAATGTATAGTATTTTTTGGCGGAAAAAACAACAAAAGCAAAAAGAGAGAAATGACCTAAAGTGATTTCTGTAACCACTTCCCCATACTGCACAAGGGGATTAATTAGGCTCTTACAAGAATTTACTTTATTGTTACATGTAAAATGAAAAATTACACTTTATATTTAAAAGGTAAATATTTACATGTACAAATTCAATTCTACCTCTCCCCTGGCCAATGCTTTTTGAAAAAAGGCTACTGGGGCATCAATAAATGTGCATAGAGGCATAGAATGTGGAGAATTTATCATCAATCACTGTAAATTTTCTGGTGTACTGTTTGGTCTTTTGCACAGATTTAGAACAGGCTCTACACATGCTTTGATAAGTTTGAGTAATAAAAAAAAGTGCTACAAGTCTAGATAAGATAGATTGTAAGCTGAATGAATGGGTACAGACGCTGTTACTTACCTGGAGTGGGACATACAGTGATATCTATAAAACAACAACAACAAAAAACACAATTACACAAAAAATTACATTAAAATTAAACTCCAATAAAATGTAATAACTCAGTCAACAATTAATCATTCTTTTTCATTCATCACTGCACTGTCTCGCTTTTTAAATTGGTCAAAACACTCAAACTTCTACCAAGCAAACAGACAATTTTAGATATTTCAAAGTTACAAGTAACTGGCATTCTATCTTGTATTCCATAAACAATCTAGTTCTACACCAATGCCCAATTACAAATAGTGTTTAAGGCAAAGCACTACCAAAAAAAATAAACTAAAATAAAAAAGGAAGTTGTTTGGCGTGATCATTTTTATATTAAAGATAATACATACTAGTCAGCTCTGTCATTGGTTGGCAGAACTGTCCATCAACTGGAACAGCTTTGATGCATCCACATGTGACGTTATTAACGTTGTCACAGGGTCCATATGCTGCGCACTTGTTACACGGCCAGAAATACTGATCCTCACACCGGCACTGGTATCCAGTATTATTCAAAAGACACACTGTGAATAAACAGAAACACACAAAGCTCTTAAACGACAACAAAACTGGACCATTGAGCTTCATGCTCCATTTATATTGAGATTATAAATGGTACTGTAAAAATAAGCAAACAAATAAACTAATTCAAATCATTTAATATGCTTTGTGTAATTGTGAGAAAAGTACCAAAAGATTCAAGGAATAGACATAAATAAAAATAAAATTAAAAATAAAGCATCTATATAAGAGATCTAAAATATTTAATTGCTAAAAAATACAGAGCCTCCAAAGACGTATGACATTTTATAACAGTGAGTCTCGGCACAGACAGAGAGGACAGTTACCTGTAGTGATGTTGAGTTCAGTGATCTGAATGTCACTTATTCCGAAGGGTAAACTGAGGTTCTTCAGAAGAGTTCTCAGCTGATTAAGCACGGCTGCGTCCAATGTGTCAATCTCAATCTCAACCACGTATTCAGTGGAAGGTGGCGCTGTAAATAACATTATTTGGAATGAAATGGCATTAACCCTAGCTTCCAACAGTATTGGTGCAGTTTGCATTTGGACCAAACACTTCAGGAATCTCAGCACATTCGTCGATTTCTCCATTAAAGAAAAAAAATAAATGAACAGACCTTTTAATCATGATCTGAAAGCATCATGTTTTATAAACATACTATGTCTTCATGACTTAAATCAGGGCTTCTTAACCTATTTCACGGTGCAACCCATTTTTGGGATTAAAAGTCCCAAGGGGGTCCTGATCCCCAGGTTAAGAAACCCTGATTAAAATAGTCAAACGCTCACCACAGCCTGTATGCTACTGCATCTGAATCACAATCTGTGGGATTTGGAAACACTACAGAAAACAAACTAAACAATAATGTATAGTATTTTTTGGCAGAAAAAACAACAAAAGCAAAAAGAAAGAAATTACCTAAATTGATTTCTGTAACCACTTCCCCATACTGCACAAGGGGATTAATTAAGCTCTTACAAGAATTTACTTTATTGTTACATGTAAAATGAAAAATTGCACTTGATATTTAAAAAGTAAATATTTACATGTACAAATTCAATTCTACTTCTCCCCTGGCCAATGCTTTTTGAAAAAAGGCTACTGGGGCATCAATACATGTGCATAAAGGCACAGAATGTGGAGAATTTATCATCAATCACTGTAAATTTTCTGGTGTACTGTTTGGTCTGTTGCACAGATTTAGAACAGGCTCTACACATGCTTTGATAAGTTTGAGTAATAAAAAAAAAAAAGTGCTACAAGTCTAGATAAGACAGATTGCAAGCTGACTGAATGGGTACAGATGCTGTTACTTACCTGGAGTGGGACATACAGTGATATCTATAAAATAACAACAAAAAAATAATAAAACACAATTACACAAAAAATTACATTAAGATTAAACTCCAATAAAATGTAATAACTCAGTCAACAATTAATCATTCTTTTTCACTGATCACTGCACTGTCTCGCTTTTTAAATTGGTCAAAAATCTCAAACTTCTACCAAGCAAACAGACAATTGTAGATATTTCAAAGTTACAAGTAACTGATATTCTATCTTGTATTCCAAAAAAATCTAGTTCTACACCAATGCCCAATTACAAATAGTGTTTAAGGCAAAGCACTACCAAAAAAAAAAAAAACTAAAATTAATAAAAGGAAGTTGTTTGGCGTGATCATTTCCATATTAAAGAGAATACATACTAGTCAGCTCTGTCATTGGTTGGCAGAACTGTCCATCAACTGGAACAGCTTTGATGCATCCACATGTGACGTTATTAACGTTGTCACAGGGTCCATATGCTGCGCACTTGTTACACGGCCAGAAATACTGATCCTCACACCGGCACTGGTATCCGGTATTATTCAAAAGACACACTGTGAATAAACAGAAACACACAAAGCTCTTAAACGACAACAAAACTGGACCATTGAGCTTCGTGCTCCATTTATATTGAGATTATAAATGGTACTGTAAAATTAAACAAACAAATAAACTAATTCAAATCATTTAATATGCTTTGTGTAATTGTGAGAAAAGTACCAAAAGATTCAAGGAATAGACATAAATAAAAATAAAATTAAAAATAAAGCATCTATATAAGAGATTTACAATATTTAATTGCTAAAAAATACAGAGCCTCCAAAGACGTATGACATTTTATAACAGTGAGTCTCGGCACAGACAGAGAGGACAGTTACCTGTAGTGATGTTGAGTTCAGTGATCTGAAAGTCACTTATTCCGAAGGGTAAACTGAGGTTCTTCAGAAGAGTTCTCAGCTGATTAAGCACTGCTGCGTCCAATGTGTCAATCTCAATCTCAACCACGTATTCAGTGGGAGATGGTGCTGTAAACACTATTATTTGGAATGAAATGACATAAACCTGACTAAAGAGACTCAGCACCACAACTCAGACTAACTCTTCTTTCATGAATATAAAGGAGGAATATTTTGAATCACCAGAATCCTGCATTTCTCATGACCTTGAAATATTCCTATGCCATTTTGGTAGTTTCTAGTACATACAATGAACACATATAACCAAAGCACAATTAAGCATTAAACATAGTGTTTTTAGCGATTTAAATTATATGTTTAGATGTACTTTAAGCCAAAATCTCAGTCTTTTTTTGCTCTGCATAAATTTCAATCAACAGCATTTCTCTAACATCTCCACTTCAAGAAATACAATAATAGTAAACTCTTGTCCCTCTCAAATTTTCTTTCATAAAGTCCACACACTACACCATAAAGGTGGACTAATAACTTTGAGGAATTGTCATTTACCTGGTGGTGATGGAGTTGGGCATGTTGTCATGTCTACAAAATAAAAATGAGACAGTCATTAAGGAATTAATTGAAAAGTATCTTCAACCCCTGAAAATCATTAGTAATGCACACTAGTAATGACCATTATATAGCTTTGCCAGTTGCCTGTTTAAGTTACCTGTTCAACGTAATTTTTACTAGGACTCTGCTTGGTGGTTTAACCTTGCACTGCCCACGTGATTTCATTTGAGATAGAATCTGATGTACTCTAATGGCATTTTCAAGTCAGACACAAGTAGGTCAAACCATGCACGCTGATGGGCTTCTAGAAATAATGTGTAGCAGTGTGTACTGTGTATTCTCACTGTATTAATGTCACAGATAAACTATTCCATTTGTTTCGCATTTGCTTCTCTGCTGGCAGCTTGAACTCCTCTGTGCTGCTGCTGCACAAGTGGCTCTCTGATAGTAACGCTATTGGGACTAATTTGCATGCGGTCACGGCAAATTATGAACACATCGTTCAAGGTTTACATTAGGTTTTATCAAGATGTGTTAAATGTACATGGATGTAACCACTCTTGTCATTATGCTTTAATCAAACTGACCTGTAAGAGTGGTGCTTTGTGTTTATGATGCATCATAAAACAGCTGCTCTTGAGTGAATGTCTTGAAAACAATCAATCTTCCAAATAACAGACTAACTAACTAAGGACTTGAGAAAAGCATTGGCAGACAAAAACTTTCAATTTCACTTATCAAATCACATTTTTCAAGACCCAAGAGTGGTCAAGACTTGTGATGAAAAAGATTAAACCATGTGACGAAAGTGTGTCTTTTTTCATGTTATTATTCATACTTACTAGTCAGCTCTTTCGACGGTTGACAGAACTGTCCATCATTTGGAAAACCACTGATGCATCCACATGTGTCACCAGAGATGTTGTCACAGCGTCCATATTTTGTGCACTTGTCACATGGCCAGAAATACTGATCCTCACACTGGCACTGGTATCCAGTATTATTCAAAAGACACACTGCAGAAATTCAGAAACAAAGCAAACTAACTCAGGGGAAGAAACATGCGTGTTAGATATTTCTTGTTATCAAGCAGCATTTTCAACATTTCAAACTACAGTCATCAGATTTAATTTAATTTAATTACTGCATCCAGAATGGTGAAGATGGCAAAGATGGAACAAAATGATTTCTGCCTTTACAGTAACCTCACTGTCGTGTTCCATTAAACCCATTACATTCAATTAAGAAAAGTTAATGTATGCACAGCTCTACACTGACAAACTGAACAACAATGGCTAGTCAGCTTTGCAGTTCTAGAAGGGGCTGCATATAGAGATTAGGATCGTGAAGTCAGCCTAAGTGAACAACGCAAGTCACTGTGGGATTTTAGGACATGGTCGCTAACTACGGTAGAGACTGAGTAAAGTTAGTGAGGTGCACCTGCGGTGGTGTTTATGTTGTCTTACATTTCAAACATGGCGAAAGCTTGCTGTATTATCAACTGCCATAATCGTCCTCACGACCGGCATGGAAAATGTAGCGCTGACCACACACTATAAGACTTTGAGAAGAATTTGTAAAGACTTCTAAAGACTAAAGTCTGACACCCTCTCACATCTAAAGACAATGTCACAGTTTTTTAGTCACGGACTATGATTTTGCTAAGATTGGGGATCTTGCAGGGTCATTATTTGCAAGACTGCAACTACAGTTTTGAGTTTATCTCCCATCATGCACCTGGTGGAAATTTACAAGCAGATAAAGCCTTTCCTTCCACTATATAGTGATACAGATGTGAAAATACAATGGCTCGACATGTAAAGATCGGGGGCTCAGCCCAGTTCACTGTAGAACTGTATATTCTGGCAGATCATCACCCAGATTTTTTAATTAACCTGTAAAATGTGCATTTATTTTTTTATTTAACATAAAGATTTACACATAGGGCAGTCATGGGCTGGAGTTTAGGGAACCAGTTTTGTGACCGGAAGGTCGCCAGTTCGATCCCCTGAGCTGACAGTACGTGACTGAAGTGCCCTTGAGCAATGCACCTAACCCCCAACTGCTCCCCGGGCGCCGTGGATAGGGCTGCCCACCGCTCCGGGCAAGTGTGCTCACTGCCCCCTAGTGTGTGTGTTCACTAGTGTGTATGTGGTGTTTCACACTATTCAACAAAACATGCAGTGATTCAGCATTCTTAGTTGGGTGTTATGAGCAAACCATAAGGAACAAATTAAGAAAAAAAAAGAAAAAAAAAAACATTTCCTTACATCACTGTTACAGGCTTAGTGAACCTGAAATACTACAACAGCTAGTTTACATTTTTAAGTTAATATGACTATTGTTTTAAAGGGGAGCAGATTTGCCCCCTTTTTTTTTTAAGAGAGATTTCAGGCACTCACACACTAATTTTCTCCCTCTCGCTCTATCGCATCACTGTTTGCATGAGCCAAAACTTAAAACTTACAATGATATTAAACACGGTTGATTTTGTCGTAGCGTCAAGACGAGAAAAAGACTGATTTAAGACAGCCATATCCTGACCACCTCACACTAAAGGATCGAGTTGATGCGAGCGCGACGCAATTCCAGCAAGACTCTCATGATTTTATTCCGACACTGGATATTAGTAAGGCCGGCATTACACCAAACGACTTTTCAAGCGATTTCACTGTCGCAGACAAATATCCAGCGTCGGAATAAAATCATCAGTCTTTTTCTCGTCTTGACGCTACGACAAAATGAACCGTGTTTAATATAATTCTAAGTTTTAAGTCTTGGCTCATGCAAATACTGATGAAATACTGTCTTTGCAAATTCATAGTCTGTGACTAAAAACTGTGACACTGTCTTTAGATGTGAGAGGGTGTCTTTCGTCTTTCAAAAGTCTGTTCAAAGTCTTCTAGTGTGTGATTAGCATGAGGTCGACATAATGCAAATGGAGTGCGTTTTTTCAGCTTTCCAGCTTGGGAGCAAAACAGTGGAACTCAGGTCGAACTCGTCTGATATCTGATTCCTATCAGCACCTCCGTGAACAATTCTGCTTTGGCTCGTTTCTCTAGAATGCAGCAATTCACACCAAGCCACCCTGAAATGCAAATAAAACAGGTAAAAGAAGTGGCCGTGTAACTTTTAAGTATTGACATGTATGAGAGCTACAAACAAGACAGGAAAACACATCTGGAAATCTTACTGGCGGTAGCTCGTTAAGATCACCCGTCCACTCTGTGTTCTACGACGGCGTTTTAGGGTCACTGTTAATAAAAATAAAAATAGTAGACTTCGAGAATAAAGTCGTAATATTTGGAGGATAAAGTGGGCTAACTGTAGGGGAGCTGCCATAACGCGTTGAGGTCTCGGTTGCTGTACTGGCGCCAGAGTTCCACTCACTCCTGTCTGCTTGTGGATCGATCATTTTGATTATCATTCTCATTGTCTGTGAAACTACGTCTTCTTTGAATGGCACGGAGATGTAGCCCCAATAGCCGTGTAGTCAACACTGCCTGCGATTCTCCTTCAACAAAACAGACAGACAGCTTCCGAGTCCGCCTGGCTCTTTATTCTAAATAAACAGTTTCCTGCTTAGCCGTTTCTTATACTAATAACAGGCTGGTGCTGATGTGCAGGAGAGACAGGGAGACTGAGTGTTTCTTTATGGGTGAAATTTTAATGTACGACCTTTTTTTCTCGAAACATTACGACTTTATTCTCGAAGTCTACTATTTTTATTAACAATGGCCCTGAAACGCCGTCGTAGTGTTCATATGGATCAAGCCTGTCAATTTCCTTTATTTTCTCAAAATAGAGCTCCTTTGCTCCATTGTTCAGCCTCTCCTGGTAATTAATCTTGCACCTGATCTTCACCCGGTCCATTTGTGATTTTATCTGTTGATTTGTGTTTTAAGACACGTATCATAAAACACGAGAAGGGTCTGACTGCAGAGCTGCAGATTGACACCCGCAGTTTCACGCCAGTGGAACGCATGCGCAATAGGACAGCGCGATTGTGCCATGTAAACAAAGTCCTTATAGGAAAGTTGAGCGTTATGAGCGTCACGTTCATATTTCAACCAGTGTTCAGTCTCCTCATTTGTAATGTCTCTGATGTAAACACCGACTGTCTGGCCTGGTTGTATGTGTCACCATGAACATTACCATTCAGGAAGGGATACCGCTGACAATATAGAACCAACCATTGGTAACCGGTTAAACCATAAGCCGAACGACTCAATGGTTTCCTTCGGAAAAGTTTGTTTTAGCATAAAGCTTAATATTGTGCTCGGTTTAAGGTGAGGTTTTATTCCCGTACGTGTAATGTAAGTGTACACATAAAGCCCTCGTATTAAGGGTAAGTTGATTGAGCTGTATGTCTACATAACCCATTAGCTAGTTTACCCAGAGCCACATTTAACGCCTGTAATGTTGATTAGTTCATTAAGAAAAACACACAAATGCCGACGCATGCGCTGAACGCCACTGGCTTGAACCTGCTGAAGTGAAACTGTGGCTCTTTTCACAAAGAGTCTTGATTACTTCCGTTTTAAGCATTAGCAGGGTAAAACTATCTTCCGCTCCATACAACTGCTGCAGAAGTGATTACAAAATGTTGTAGTAGTGAACTATAACGCTCAAATACTGAGCTACAACAGACATATGTTAGTTTTCGTGCACTAGCATGACAAATACTGAGAATAGGAAGTGAATGAAATGCTGTGTATGTGACGCAGCTCTGCTTACTGCTGCACACATCAAGCAGTCTTTCTGTAATATTTCTGTTTTATAAAGAAATAAAAGTTCTTCTGTGTAGTATGAATTTGGTAGACGTTGTTTAGCTGTAGCTAGCAATCTACGCCAGAAGCCATTTCTAACTTTAACTGTATTCCCATACAAGGAAGCTAACCTAGCTTTCATTAGCTGCTGGCACCAGCCGGCTAACATGGAGCAGGTTCTGTGACACATTTACAGCACGCCAGTGACTTCTGCGACATAAACGCAAACCAGAACTTTCACACGTAAAGTCTATTTGACAGACTCTCTTTTAGCTTATGGTAGGCTAGCAGGCTACAGTCGCTAATTAGCTAGCCTACCATCAGCAGTTTGAGGAACACCAGCTTCGTATGAGTAGCAAACCTTAAAGCTAGCTGGCCAGCTATGTTAGCGATCTGCCAAATAGCATAATTATTTTAGTTTCATGGCAATTTTTGAAGCAGTACTTCAGATAACATCCACCTTTCACTGCTCAATCAAAAACGCCACTCCTAGCTAACGTGTATCTTAGCATCGCGGTTCTGCTGTGACGTTTGAAAAAGCAGAAAGCTGCTTTATGTTAGCCGGGCAATCTAGTTTGGTTAGCAATAGCTCCTAGCCAGCGTAGCTAGCTTAATATAAACAGAGTCTATAAAATACATGCTACATATAAAAGTTCTTTCTTTTAAAAACAGAAATATTACAGAAATCGCTGGCGTGTTGTAGAAAGACACAGAGACTGCTTGATGCGAGCAGCTGCAGCAGACTGCAGGAACAACAGGGCTAACCCATACATACGGCAGTTTAGCTCTGTTTAAAGTTAAAACAGTGCTTCCACTTCTTATTCTCACTGTTTGTCACAACAGTGCAGAACTAAAATATAGCCGTTGTAGTTTTACCCTGCTAATGCTCAGACCGGATGTAATCACGAATCTTGTGAAAAGGAACCATTATTGTAAAACGTGGCGACCACTCCTCAGAACGTAATGCGTCATTACGTAGCTGCCCGTTCTCTATTCAAGAGCTGAACTCCGATTAGCGAGCTGGCTAACGTTAGCTTGTATGGACCTGGAAGGATAAAACATTCATGTTACTCTATTTTCTGCGTGTACACCCATACAAATGTCAATAATCACCCAAAATCATACGTAGAGTCAATCAGTTCATAACTTCTGTCCTGAGAGCGTCAGAAGAAAGAGCAAAAACACTCGTTCTTTAGCGGCTAACATGCTAATATTACCTCAGCAACCTGCACAAATTGAAAGGGAGATAAAATAACAACTGGCTATCCACCAAAATAGCTGAGGGGCTCAACTTAGTGGCGATGTACTACCGAACAGTGAGTCCTTCACTTGGGGGGTGAAGAAGTAGTGAAATTGTGTTTCTGTAGGTCTGAAAGTTTGGAGAGCAGTGAAAGAAAAGCTCTTCCCGAAGACGACAGAGGGAGCGCGCGCACCCGAAATGGCGCCGTTTTCTTGCGGAGCGGCCCCAACAGGGTTTCCTATGGAGAACCCAAGGGGCCGTGGTTTAAAAAAAAAACAAAAGTTAATGACAAGATGGCGTTTTGGGGCCACTGTTAATAAAAATAAAAACAGTAGACTTAAAGAAAAAAAGTTGTAATGTTTCAAGGAAAAAAGTCGTAGAATTACGACATTAAAGTGACATTAATACCAGGAAAGGTCGCAATATTGTGGCCAAAGTCTTTGCGAAGGGAAGGCGGCACCTCCTCGTGTTAAATGAGGGGCGGTGAGTTGGTGGAGTTCTACTTTCATATCGATTCACCCATAAAGAAACACTCAGTCTCCCTGTCTCTCCTGCACGTCAGCACCAGCCTGTTATTTGGATAAGAACCGGCTGAAACGGCTGAGCAGGAAACTGTTTATCTAGAATAACGAGCCAGACGGACTCGGAGGAAACTGTCTTTATCTAGAATAAAGAGCCAGACGGACTTGGAGGAAACTGTCTGTGTTGTTGAAGGAGAATCGCAGGCAGGGTCGTCTATATGGCTATTGGGGGCTACATCTCCCCCCATTCAAAGAGGGCATGAAGTTTCACAGACAGTGAGAATGATGATCAAAATGATCCACAGAGAGACAGGAGTGAGTGGAGCTCCGGCGCCAGTACAGCAACCGAGACCCCAACGCGTTATTAAGATTTTTTCTCGAAATATTACGACTTTACTCTCGAAACAGTACAACTTTTTTCTTGAAATATTACGACTTTATTCTCGAAGTCTATTCTTTTTATTTTAATTAACAGTGGCCCATTACGATGCAACAGTTTGCAATCGCTTGCAAAAGCTCTGCTTTTCTTAAGCTCAGAGATGAAGCAGCTCATTGAATTTTACGTTGATCTTGAATTGAAATATAAAGACGTGTCGCTTCTCAAAATCAATCATGATTCTGCTGTTAGTGACTCAAACTGAAACGGAGACCGAGTGTCCTCGTACAGTAAAAGCTACATTTACAGAGACTGCAGAGAACAACAGCTTTTAACGTTAGCTATGCTAAAAACAAAGCTCTAATGTAGGCAATGTCGTTGGGCACCTCTGGTCCTACGTTTGCTTGCTGTGTGACGAGCATATATTTTGCGAGGGAACGCAATGTCATGAACCTTTTTTTTTTTTTAAACCAGGGCCCCTTAGGGGTTCCGTAGTTTCCAGAGTAGATTCATACATCCCAAGAAGTATTCCTGTGATACTGGCTCAATGGGAATCTAAATTTGTTATTGACTGGAACCTAGTATGGACCCTCTCCAGCGAATATGTATTAAATAACAGGGTTAAAGAAGTAACATACAAAATCCTTCATAAATATTACCCCTGCAGCAGTATAGTCTCAAAATATAACTTACAAGTAGAGAATATATGCAACTTTTGTGGTGAAAAAAATGAATGTATTGAACACATCTTCAACTTTATCTATTCTAAGAATTTTTGGAATGATGCAATGAAGGATATTGGACAAAAAATTAACATTATATTAAAGAAAGATATATTTGATATTTTATTTTATTATAAAGACTCCAATAAGGACATCTGCTACTTCATTTTCCTTGACAAATACTTCATCCATAAAATGAAATTTACAAAGAGAATCTCATCTTACAGTGTATTTAAAGATGACTTTTATAGTTATGTCTCCTCAACCCAGTATATGTATTGTAAATTTGTAAAAGAACAGCTAAACTAATGAACGTATTGAGAAAATTCAACCTTTTTTGAAGACATATAGACATATTTCACTACTTCATGAAAGATGTGATATTGTGATATCTGGTTTTCAGTTTTTGTATGTACTTTATATATATATATATATATATATATATATATAATGTATGTATGTATTATATTTGATATCATTCTTTCTTATTTCTTTTATTTCAACTTTTCAATTCTACTGTCTACTTATACCTCTAGCAATAAATATAAGGGTTTCCAGAGTGTTTCTGTGGTTCCTGACAAAAAAATGAGAAAAATATATTCGAGTGGGCTCTAGATGGCACTGTCAGTCTTTTGTGGTTGTTACTTACATGAAGCAGAGCCGGTTTAGGGGGAGTCAAAAACATAACTGCAAAACACCAGAGGGCGCCCGAGAGTGAGTCCTTAATAATTGAGAGTAAACGGAGCTAAACGGCTTGAACGGAGAAGTTAAAATTGTTTCTATTTGACGGGTTAGCATTACTGCTACTGAGTGCTGACGGGTTAGCATTACTGCTACTGAGTGCTGATTGGTTGCCATTACTGCTACTGAGTGCTGACGGGTTAGCATTACTGCTACTGAGTGCTTATGGGTTAGCATTACTGCTACTGAGTGCTTACGGGTTAGCATTACTGCTACTGTGTGCTGACGGGTTAGCATTACTGCTACTGAGTGCTGACGGGTTAGCATTACTGCTACTGAGTGCTGACAGGTTAGCATTACTGCTACTGAGTGCTTACGGGTTAGCATTACTGCTACTGAGTGCTGATTGGTTAGCATTACTGCTACTGAGTGCTGATGAGTTAGCATTACTGCTACTGAGTGCTGATGGGTTAACATTACTGCTACTGAGTGCTGATTGGTTAGCATTACTGCTACTGAGTGCTGACTGGTTAGCATTACTGCTACTGAGTGCTGATTGGTTGGCATTACTGCTACTGAGTGCTGACAGGTTAGCATTACTGCTACTGAGTGCTGATTGGTTAGCATTACTGCTACTGAGTGCTTACGGGTTAGCATTACTGCTACTGAGTGCTTACGGGTTAGCATTACTGCTACTGAGTGCTGATTGGTTAGCATTACTGCTACTGCTGACAGGTTACCATTACTGCTACTGAGTGCTTACAGGTTAGCATTACTGCTACTGAGTGTTGATAGGTTAGCATTGCTGCTACTGAGTGCTTACGGGTTAGCATTACTGCTACTGAGTGCTGATAGGTTAGCATTGCTGCTACTGAGTGCTGATTGGCTGGCAGAGCAGGTCATTGGCTAAGTGTAGCGGTTCCCGCTCACTAAACTCCTATAACTGGAGTTAAAAGCGCTCAGAAATATAACAGCAGTGTTAAAATGTTTTGTGCTGTTCTGTGTTCAAGAAATTAATACATTGCACTCACTCAGGAGCGCCCTCTACTGTCTGATAATTTTGGAAGATGTTACTGGGTGACAATTTTCCTCTCTACACATTCTCTGGTATGAAGAACCAAAGGCTTTTAAGACTTTTAGACTTCCTGTCAAACATCATTTGAGAAACATCAGGACAAAGAAACTACAAATATTTTCAACACACACACACACAAACACACACACACACACACACACACAAACACACACACACAAAAGATATCAAAAACTGCCCTGATTGTAATGTTTATGTACCTATTTAAATTTTTGTTATTTATTATTTTTTTCCTCTTCGTTTTCTTTATAACTTAATTCCAAACCACTATTTTTACTGCTCTTTTATGTGATTCCTTTATAATTATTTTTACATCAAATGAAATTAAGAGTTCTTATACTCTGTAATGTTCTAAATGATGATTTTTTTTGTTCCTTTTTGATGATGCTTTGGCAATACTGTAACTGAATATGGTCATACCAGTAAAGCTTATTGAATTGAATTGAATTAATTACATTACAATGATTTGATTTGTATATGTATCTTACTCCCATTACTTTCAGTGTTTCAGAGTGTTAGCATTTTCAATTTGAAGTCATTGTACGTGATGTACATGATTGGTTGTACATCATATGTAGTCAGAAAGACAAATAAATAACAAATACATTGCAAGCGATGAAAGAAGCATAACTAAACACTAGGTAGTGGAATCGGCCCCTGCATGCAGGTCAGCTCTCTCCATGGTTGTGGGACTGTCCAGCATTTGGAATAAATTTAATGTGTACTCACATTGTTTCTGTTTGAGTACTTTTCTCTCAGGAAAACAGATTTTTCTCATGTTTTCAGGGGAAGATTAAGCTAATATACAACAAAGACATTCTTCTGAGGCTTCTGTGTTTAACTTTATCAAGGATGCCAATAATCATATATATAAAAATGCATATTTTGCTAGATGTGTGGAGGAATAAGACAGTTACCTGTAGTGATGTTAACTTCAGTAATCTGAGATTCGGTACTGTTGAGCAGAGGTGAACTGAGCGTTTTCAGAAGGTTCCTCAGTTCGTCAATGACTGCTGCATCCATTGTGTCAATCTCAGTCTCAATCATGTACTCAGTCAGGGCTGGAATCGCTGCGGAGAACATAAACAATTATATATTGTAAATGTACAACAATGAGCAAAAACAAAGAACTTGTATAGTCTATTGCCCTCTCATTAGCTTAGCAGCAGCTTAGCTACAGTTTAAGACAGCGACTAAACTGGTCAGATCCTTTGACCCTGAGTTTAACCCTTTGGTTATTTCGTGTCATATCATTACGAGGGCGTTTTAGGGCCACTGTTAATAAAAATAAAAACGGTAGACTTCAAGAAAAAAAGTTGTAATGTTTGGAGGATAAGGTGGGCTAACTGTAGGGGGGCTGCCATAACGCGTTGGGGTCTCGGTTGCTGTACTGGCGCCGGAGTTCCACTCACTCCTGTCTCTTTGTGGATTATTTTGATCATCATTCTCACTGTCTGTGAAACCTCATGCCCTCTTTGAATGGGGGGAGATGTAGCCCCCAATGGCCATGTATACGACCCTGCCTGCGATTCTCCTTCAACAGCACAGACAGTTTCCTCCGAGTCCGTCTGGCTCTTTATTCTAGATAAACAGTTTCCTGCTCAGCCGTTTCAGCCGGTTCTTATCCTAATAACAGGCTGGTGCTGATGTGCAGGAGAGACAGGGAGACTGAGTGTTTCTTTATGGGTGAATCGATATGAAAGTATAACTCCACAAACTCAACGCCCCTCATTTTATTTCTTCCTTTCCTGTATTAATGCCACTTTACTGTTGTAATTCTACGACTTTTTTCTCAAAATATTACGACTTTATTCTCGAAGTTTCACAGACAGTGAGAATGATGCTCAAAATGATCGATTCACAAGCAGACAGGAGTGAGTGGAACTCCGGCGCCAGTACAGCAACCAAGACCCCAACGTGTTATGGCAGCCCCCCCCCTACAGTTAGCCCACTTATATATTGTCACTGTCCAAAAAAACATGTACCTCTTTTTTTACGATTATTATTCTTCTGCATCATTTGAACACAGATGTCCTTTCATCATTTCATAATCAATGGACTGATATAAATGGTCCAAAATTACTAAGAATAATATCTTAATATATATTGACTTACAGTAAAAGTAAAGATTGGTGTATTTTGTGATGTATTTTGTTGCCATTTTATAAAACCAATGGATCACTGAAGGCCATGTGCAATGCAAATTGGAGGTCCACATCCTGGCACCATTTTTTTTTTTCAAAAAAATCTGTCTGTCTTGCTTAGGCCTAACACAGCTTTGTTAAAAATGCTTAATACTAAGGCTAGCTTACATGAAGCTGAGCATCGTTCAAGTTGACTGATTTCACATATTAGATTCAGCAAATATTAAACTATCTGAGCTGAAGATGTTTCAGTTACAGTCGCTTTGCCTTAAATCTCAGAAAAAAATTATGTCTATGGTAGGTTTACAGTAAACTTCAGATCAGATTCAGGTCTCAGATATGTTGATATCTAGTGTCAGAATAGTGTGATTTCTAAATGAAGGTGGGTGTACTTTAAACTACAGCTTCCAAGAACACTGCGATTGAGTTTAAGAACTTACGAAGACTCATTCAGATTTAAAATTGTTTTAAACTCTAAACTACAGCTGATGTTCAAATAACTCAAAGAACACATTCTTTAACAACACAGCCTGTTTTATATTAACAGAAATTTGAATAGATTGTTGAATTTGGCTGGTAATCCTGCAGGTGTATTTTACCTGTTGTTGGGGGTGGAGTTGGACATATATTGGTATCTGTATGACAGAAAGAGAAGAGTCAGTAGTAACACTTCTTATGAATCCTGTATAGATAGTACATTATAAAGACATTTATTTATATGTGTATTGTAAAGGAAGAATACATTTGTAAAAAGCGCATAAAAGCCCTTATAAAGATATGTTACATAACACATAATAATCCATAATAATAACAATAATGATATTACAAATATTAGCAGTTTGTTAGATATACCTGTTAGGAAAGTTATGAGCTAGGGGCAGATACTGACTTTCATGTTGGAACCACACGAGGGCGCCAACTACCTCACATATGCCTTTATTAAGTGTGATGGGGCTCAGATGAAAGGAAGGAGACCAATGGCGGGAAAACAGTGTTTTGTTGGAACGTCGAGCGGTGGACCCGCGGACGTCTTTCTCTCTTTCTCTCTCTCTTATGCTCTTGTTCCCATTTTGTGGACTCCTTTTGCCTACATTTTGCATTTTTGTCAGAGCGCCTATTCCATTGACTAATAAAACCTGAACACTATCATAGACATGGCTTGAGCTGGTCGACCACGGGCTCAAGGCTTGGGCTGGCCCCAACCCCTTTCCAGGTGACTCAGAGGCTCGGCAGCAGGTGAGTTGGCCTTTGGTGGGGGTTTCCAACTAGATTTAGGCATACAATTTTATTTAGGGTCATGTTTCACGCTAAATCACAACACGTAGGGGCCTACGTAGTGTGCCTTGGTTACAGTCAGGACTAGAATATATAAGTTAGACCCTATGCAATTTTGCCTTTTCCTTTTGGCTTTGGTGGTTCCTGAGCTCGTAACACTACCTTGTACTTACATACACTGGTACACCAACCATATAGGTGCACTTTGTAACTGTACCATTATCGACTCTAGCACCTCTATTGCTGCACAATTTATCAGACAACCCCCCCACCACTCTGTCCAACAATGGAAGGACCACCACTGATCAAATATTGTTGTTATTATTGATACTTACTTATCAGCTCCGTCATTGGTTGGCAGAACTGTCCATCATTGGGAATGGCACTGATGCATCCACATGTGGCATTGGTGATGTTGTCACAGTGTCCATATGCTGTGCACTTGTTACACGGCCAGAAATACTGATCCTCACACCTGCACTGGTATCCAGTATTATTCAGAAGGCATACTGTAAAATGACAAAACATGTAATTATCCTACATTCAAGTAAGAATAACTGAACAGATGGGCAGGAGTTTATATCATCATCAGAAATGATACAGATATCTTCAGTTATTCTGTGTTCATCTTAGTAAACAATGGAAAAAACTTCACAGAAGTGCTGACACTAGTTTGACACTAGAGCCAATTGAAAATGTTTAACATTGCAGCAAGGTTTTAATAAAAAAAGACTTTTTCAACCCCTGGTTGTAATATTCCTGACGTGTAGCAGCTGAATTCTGCTTTTTTGTGTTTTTTCTGTGTATGTTGCGTTATGTACAGGTCCATGATTGGACACATTCGAGTGCTGTCCTACCTAAAAGAGCCACTACCTGGGCACAGTCAGGGCTCTCTCCCTTCCAGCATGACCTATGTCCAGACCAGCCCAGCATGCTTCGTTAGCTTCGTTAGACGTTGTGAAACTGTTAATATTTGGCGAAAAGTAGTGGACAAGAGCCATTTGTCATTTCAATAACCTTTTCTCCTAGTTTTAAGTAGGGCATTAGGTTGGCTTTTTGTTTTTTGTTCATATTTATTTATTTTATATCATTTACATTTGTGGTATTTGGCAGACGCTCTTATCCAGAGCGACTTACAATTTGATCATTTTACACAGGTAGGTGAAGGTAGTGTTAGGAGTCTTGCCCAAGGACTCTTATGGGTATAGTGTATGGTGTTTGCCCAGATGGTGGATTGAACACCAGTACACAGTGCAGAAGGTAGAGGTGTTACCCACTACACTACACCCACCAATGTCTTGTCATTTAGACCTTTTAAGAAAATCTAAATAAACCTGAGCTGGTTTTGTTTAAAACAGTGTCCGGTGTTTGGTCTGGCAGCAGGTCTGGGGAGAGAACCCACTCTTCATTTTCTGTTATGGCCTGACCCTAGACCGGGTCTAACAACAATAAAATTACCCCAAAAATGCAAAACATGGGTAACGCTATATTTTATAAAATAATAAATACACTAAAAAATAAAAGTCAGAAGAAATTAAAATGTTAAGGTAACGGGTTATGATCAGAAATGCTAAAGCAAAAACAAAGACTGCACGTCCCTCTCATGTCACCAGCTGTACCTTTGTACAAAGTGTTAAAACAGGCCCTGTTACTTCTATTTCCAATATAAATGTATGTAATCACACATGTATTTTAACTGGGTGCCCCTGAAATGAGAAGTCAGCTTAACTGAAAATTATGAGAAAACTGTTTGCACAGTTGAGTTAACTCAACTTGAGGACACCAGAGTTCACTCAACTCAAATTTCTTAGTTTAGTCAAAAGTTCTCATCACATCTTTTAGTTCACCATATCAGTTAGGTAAATAGAATATAATTTGCTTTTTAGCTGGGACTCCATCATACAATCCCATCAGACATTTTCTCTTTTTGTTGGCCCACTTATGGATAGCTATGGCATTGCTAGGGTTCAAATTCAAAATCTCTTGTGGGGGTGATGGCTTGTTAAACAAAGTTAAAGTATTGACAGTTAAATAAAATGAGAAATTAATAAGCTGGGTCGTGAATGTGTCATTTAATGTTTTAATGTTTTCAGTTCCTTCTGCCAAATTATAGTTCCTTAACAAGCAGCTTGTTGCTACGTCAGAGTAACGAGCTCCGCCCACTCGCTGCACAGTCTGCTGTAAGCCTCGCCTTTTAAAGAATAGACTGAGCCATAAAACTGCCGCAATATCAAGTTTAGCTCAGTTTTGTCATTTTTCACCAGATCAATATTAAAGTTGTTTTGTTCCAGCCAGTCTGTAAAGCATCTTACAGCCCATTTAGTTTGGCGAATGGTATTGGGTTCATTTCTGGCTGATTTCAGGTTGTTTAGCTGTTCTTCTGTCACAGCCGCCGACTGAAAAGCTGCTCAGTGGTGATGACAGTTTGGGAATTTAGTGCAGTCTCATCTTCAGAGTCTGACCAAATCGACTTAAAAGTATCCATTTTCTGTTTGTGGCAAAGTAAGAAGTAAAAACGTTCAAAAGGTCTGAGGGTCTCCTACAGCTGTCAAAGTCGTTGCTTAGCAACGGCGTCTCAGCGGAGTGATACGGTGCTGTTATAGCAAAATTACAGCATGGTTAGAACGCTTCTCAACCAAGCAGCTTGCGTGGCCGGAACTAACTGTTGTATAACATAAAATATTTATTTATTTATTGCTTTTACATGACTTGTCTGATCAGTCAAAGTATTGCATTTGAATTTTTGCGCTTAAAAGTACAAACAATAGTCTGATTATCTCAGCCTAATTCCCACCTGTTGTAAGGTCCATATCTGTGACTTTTGATACGTTACTAAATGGAATTGAGAAGTTCAATCCTGCTAGAAGGCTCCTCATGTCATCTATCACTGTGATGCTTGTGGTGTTCATTTCAATTTCAACCAAATAGTCGATGAATGACAGTTCTATAAAAAAACAGACAACAGATATGTAAATATAGAGAATGCCATTCCAGGTATATTTATCAACTAATATAAAAATTTCTCTTACCACTTTCTGGCACACACATCTGTCCGTCGCTCGGAATTCCACCGATGCAGCCACATGTTCCAGCAGTGATGTCATCACAGGCTGCATATTCAACACAGTCACTGTATGACCAAACATACTGATCCTCACAGACGCACTGGTAATTAGTTCCATTTGGTTGGCACACTAGAAAATACAGAAACAGCTTTAAAGAATGGAGCAAGACTATATATTTTTTAATATACACAGTAATTTTAGGTTAATTAACCCTGATTTTCTTGGGAATGGGAATCCCCTCATCTGATGCAGACACCTGTCAAGACAGAGTGAGCAACAAAACCTATTCTTACACTAAAGGCCGATTTTTACATCTGTCTGTGAATTTGCAAATATGTGCTGGCATTGTGCACAGATGCATGCATAGCACTTTATGTGAACGTGTTCACTAAAGGAAGTGTCCAAACCAGACTGTACAGAAAACAAGCAACAATTAGAAAGTCTCATATTTCACTGTAGAGAATGGATAGAAGAAGTACTGGGTACTAAAAAAGAACTAGAACGACTAGATCTGGTTTGGGTTTGTTTGGGTCACATCCCTCCCACAATGTCAGCATTTGGTTGGTACATGCTTTAGAGGCATACAAACAGCATATTTGAGGAAGATTACTTCTTCAGAGACAAAAGCTTAGCACTGACATTCTTTAAAGGATCCAAATGGGGGAAACCAATGGCTTAAACACTGTTGCTGCCACTGAATTTCACTGCTTGTAAGACTTGAAGTTATCCAGAGTCATGAATCCACATGGCACAGAATATGTTGCATGCAGAGGTTTTTGTGCCTCTCTCTGAATGACGTTTTCCACATTTTAAAGCACACTTAAGTTTATTTGCTGAATTCAACTCATTGATGAAAATACAAAAACAGAAAATGTGGCACATTTTATGTCAGGCATGTCAAACTGGGGACCTTCTGTGCCAAAGTGCTCCAGAGAGCAGCGTTTATCCTCATCTAATGCTCTGTATTCAGTTGATGAAGGCCTTGCTAATTAGCTGATGAGCTGAACCAGGGGTGTTTAAAGAGGCAGTGTGCTGAAGTCTGCAGGGCTTTGGCCTGCGAAGACCGGAACCTGACGTGTGTTTTAGAAATAGACCAGAGCCTGATGTGTGTTTTAGAAATAGAAATGTCTAGAAATAAAAATTGTTCACTAAAATGTAAAATACCACAAATGTGTTCCCTGTAGAGGATGTGTTTTTTGTCACTCAACAAAAATCAATAAAACATGTAATTTGGCCAGGGATGTTCGAAGTATTACATGGAACTATATATGAGATGTGATCTCCTCAGCTCTGCCAATCCCAGAGGCAAGAGCACAGCTAGCAATAATGCGAAAAACTAGATCTCCAATGGCCTAGAATCATTAAGCTTCTCACAAAGAAATGGCTTTTTGAGGAGCTAACTAGCTGCAGTGAAACATGGCTGTAAAGCATTATAAGTGAAAACTCAATTAAAAAAAACTCTCAATTAAAAAAAACTATATATATATATATATATATATATATATATATATATATATATATATATATAAAGGAAATACATTTCCATATATTTATGACATAAAATAGACACCATTATATATATTCCATCTACATATTTGTATAAATTTCAATATGACATAACTAGCACAGTTAAATGTAATTAGCATCTATATTTTAAAACATCACATATATTGCACATTTCTAAAATAAGAAAACACCTGTACATATATTTTCTTCCATATAGGAACATATGCTTGAAACTGCATACACTAAAAAAATGTGACATTGATAGTTGATTGTGCACAATAATGCAACAAAAGACTAGTAGCTAATTTCTTCAATACTTGCTAATAAGAAGCCATAATGGCATTTTGTGAACAGAATCATTGTGAACAGTTAAATAGGAGGCTTCCTATGGAGAGCTTCTTAAATGTCTCCACAGGGAAGTGTGCAAGGATGCCATCAACCTCATCATGGTTCTTAAGCAGAGAAATGGCTTGTGACAGACATGAGGTCACATGTGCTTCTATGGTTAGTTTTACTAGTGTTGCAGTAATACGTTGTAGTATTATGATTACCTTTTCCTGTCATACATTACAGTATACATACTCATAATGACATTACAGTTACTGACTTAATCAGAATTTTGCCACTTCTTTACTCTTATGTCTCTATTTTTTATAATAATATATTAAACAAGCGTGTTTCAGTTAAAATATGATCTACCTCTACACCTCTTTCTTTCTTCCTTTCTTTCTTTCACTTGCATAACATCACTTAACTATGTAATATTCTAGCCCTAAACGATGCGGAAAAGCTGGTGCCTTTATAACCTCCAGGCTGGACTACTGTAACACCATTTTAGCTGGACGCTCCAATACATTACTAAATAAGCTCCAACTGGTCCAGAATGCAGCTGCTAGAGTCCTTACAAGGACCAAAAAGTTTATATATCCCCAAACCTGTCGTCGTTACACTGGCTACCTGTTAAATTTCATGTAGAGTATAAGATCCTTCTCTTAACGTATAAATTATTAAATGGACCCACAGTATCTTAGTGAATTAATTCAGTGATATGAACCCACACGTACGCTCCGCTCACCAAATAACGGCCTGTTGACAGTTTCTAGAATTAGAAAAACCACAGCAGGTGGTCAAGCATTTTCCTACGTAGCCTCAAAATTGTTGAATCATCTCCTGACCTCTGTTTGGGGCTCAGACACACTCTCTACGTTTAAAACTAGACTCAAAACTCTGTTTGCACAAGCATTTTGCTAATATCCGTTGTTTGCACCATTACTCTCTAATATCTCTCCATAAACTGACCTGTCCTATTAATCAATTTCTCTCTCTCTCGCTCTCTCTTTCTCTCTCTCTCTCTCCCTTTATTTGAGCCCCTGAGCAATGTTTGCCTGAGTCGCCACATGGGAGCCACCAGAGCTGCTAGAGTCAATACCAGAGTTTCAACTACCATGGAGCTTCATGCTATACAAAGCTGTGCAAACCTCACCCTCATCAACTGACCCTCCTGCTGCTGCTTCATAAACTCAAACTATCTAATTAACCATTGCTCCACCTGTTTTTCCCCGTTTTGTATTCTAATATTTTATACTAATGCTGTTTGCTATCCGGTGTCGACCAGAGGAGGATGGGTTCCCCTTCTGAGTCTTGGTTCCTCTCAAGGTTTCTTCCTTGCCACTGTCACCATTGGCGACGCTCATGGGGGCTTGGACCTGGATTTTTCTGTAAAGCTGCTTTGTGACAACACTCGTTGTAAAAAGCCCTATATAAATAAACTTTGACCTGACTTGACTTGACCTCTAACAATAACTATTACCTGTGCCTGTCTTTTTACATATGATGTATGCGTGCGCTACCTGTGACAGCTGACTGCTTCACTTCAGTTATCAATGTGAGCAGCACAGTGCAGGAAGCACCATGAACTTGGTGAACAATCCGTCAAACCATCTAATCATGTGAACACAAAACTGAGGGATAAAGATCCCCATGCTGAAGAGGAGAGAGCCCCGACTTCACCTACACAGACCAGACTTGGTTTACATTCAGAAACAGCTCTGTAAGCTCTCTTTTGTTTGTTATATTATTAAAATGTTAATTCTGAGGCTACTGTTTCTGTCTTACTAGTCTCTACTGGCTCGTTTCTATGCCATTCATAATTTCAGCAAAGCTGTGTCATAGTCAAATGCAGGAATAGTGTCAGGCCTTTTAAATGATTACAGTGATTGGCTATTTATTTCTTAATAAAAGACTGTAAATGATGATTGGGCTTTACTAGAAAAGTAATAGGCTCACTTCTCTTTCTAGGAAGTAATCAGTAAACTAATCCCATTACAGTTTGAGAGAAGTGATTGTTCATTTGTAATGGATTTTATATTTTATTTTTTATTTTTTTTTGAGTAATTATCTCAACACTGTTATGCCTGAGTTGTTTCCCATCCACCATTAGTGCCAAAAACAGCTGTATTTCAGTGTCTGCTTTGATAATGAATGGACCAAGCTTACCTGTTGTAATGTTCAAACTGCTGATTTCTGTGGTGTTGTCTAGTTGTAATGGAAGACTGATTGAGTTCAAAGACGACTTGATTTGTTCTATCAGAATCACTTGTGACACGTTCACCTCCACCACCACGATGTATTCCAGTGGGAAAAAGTTGGCTGGGAATAATAATGAGATTTTGGTTAGTGAGGTAGGCATAAAGAACGGTAAAGCAGGTTAAAGAAACTTGTGCAAAAAGTCTAAGTTACTCAAGAAAAGTGTTTATTTACATAAACACAGAAACACATGCATAATAGTTTTATTAAATCTTGTTAATAACTTGGTTTGAAGAGTACAGTTAGCAAAACACAGATTTAGTTTGGCTGAATTAATTTAATGAAGGATTGATTTAGCTGAAGCATGTATTGGATGGTAACTGTAAATACTGCACTTCCTCAGGAAGAGCTTTAGAAATGGAGAAGCTGACACACACACACACACACACACACACACACACAAATGGCTTTACACACATCTTTTTCAGAAGACTTACCATCTCGTTTTTGTCGTACGTGACTGAGTTCTCCATCTGTGTAACTAAACTGGATGTTAAAGAATTGTAGACCTTGTTAAAGTACAGCAGCAGTGTTACAGAAGGCTTGTACATCATGCATTTGCAGAATAATTCAACCAAAAATTAGGGGATTACATATCACCTCAGTTATACTGGTTATGTACTAAAACAGCATGTATTTGAATCTGCTGTTAACTCACACTGAAGCCTGGCTTTACTAGGTTCTATGGGCTGTGCCTCCACAAACACGTTCATGTGGAATATACTGTCTATCAGATGCAGCCCACGCTAAATAAACAATCAGCTGTAGAGTTCAGTGATATAGAGTAGATATTTCACACCTTGTAATCCCTAAAACAAGGTACAAGTAATACAAACACATTGTTGACATTTCCAGTGTTATTTTATTGGCTTTTATGTTCCACTGCTTATTGTCTGTGCTGAAAACACCACCATATCATGTTGAATCAAAGTATGCATTCTGTGAATTGTTAGTTGAACCAACCGTCCAATTACTTTTGGTCATCTATAATGACATTCTGCACTTCAACCTTATAGATATTTCTTCATTTCAAATCTAGTGTGTGGGAATACAGTGTCAAAACAGCACTGCCACTCACTTATTGTGGACTGTTTAGTAGTATCTGCTGCAATAATCGTAATTATAGAACCCTTTATTTCTAAATTTCACTTCCAGCTGCATCACACTCTTGAAGCCGGGCACTTCTAGGACAGCGTGTAGCCCACCCAGTAACCAGTCAGAACCTAGAATTATAGAACTGTTGTCTAATGCAAATCAAATTATTTTAAGCTTACGTGTTATGACTAAAGATTATTCTTCTCATGTGACATTGGAATGTGACTCCAATCATTTCCAGCTGGTGATTTTCCACACCAGTACCATTTAAAAAAACACCGCCGTTGATTTTTGCAAAGTCACCTCAAAAACATACTTTGCAGAAGTGAAAGTAAACTTTTTCTTTACCTCTACTATGATGTCTGAAAAATCAGGCAGTCCCTGTGAGTTCACCACGTACATGTGCAAGAGCAAAATGCCAGCAAATCTCAGCAAGTGTGTTCCTGTAAAAATAAAAGTAAGAAAGTACACATTTATTTACAACCCCATTTCCAAAAGAGTTGGGACGCTGTGCAGAATGTAAATAAAAATAGAATGCAATGATGTGCAAATCACGTAAACCATATTTTTAAAGGAAAATATTACAAAAACAACATATCAAATGTTGAAACTGAGAAATTTGATTGTTTTTTGAAAAATATATGTCCATTTTGAATTTGATGCCAACAACACGTTCCAAAAAAGTTGGGACTGGGACGTGTTTACCACTGTGTTTCATCACCTCTTCTTTTAACAACACTGTAAGCGTTTGGGAACTGAGGAGACACTGCTGTAGTTTTGAAAGTGAAATGTTTTCCTGTTCATTCTTAACATAGGATTTCAGCTACTCAACAGTTCAGGGTCTCCTTTGTTATATTTTTCATTTTATAATCCGCCAAATGTTCTCAGTGGTGACAGGTCTGGACTTCAGGCCAGTTTAGCACTCGGACTCTTAAAACGGAGCAATGCTGCTGTAATACATGCAGAATGTGGTTTATCATTGTCTTGCTGAAACAACCAAGGCCAATATGTTGCCAAAACATATATATTGTTCAAGATTAATGGTCCCTTCACAGATGTGCACGTCACCCACGCCATGTGCACTAATGCACCCCTATACCATCATGAATACTGGCTTTTGAACTGTGCACTGATAACAAGCTGAGTGGTCTTTAGCCTGGAGGTCACAGTGTCCATGATTTCGAAGGCGGCAGCGTTTCTAGATCCTGTTTATATATTTTTTCTTTGTGTTTTAGAGCTTTAATTAGCATTTGTGGATGCAATGATGAACTGTGTTCACAGACAGTGCTTTTCAGAAGTGTTTCTGAGCCCATGCAGTGATTTCCACTACAGCTTCATGTCTGTTTTTAATGCAGTGCTGCCTGAGGGCCCAAAGATCACAGCCAGCAAATTTCTCCAGATTCTCTGAATCTTTTAAAGGTATTATGTACCGTAGATGATAAAAAGCAACTGTTCTTTGCTATTTTATGTTGAGAAACGTTATTCTTGAATTGTTGCAATTGTCTGATTGGCAGTCTTTCACAGAGTGGTGAACCCCTCCTCATCTTTACTTCTGAAAGACTCTGTGATGCTCTTTTGTAACCAATCGTGCTACTGTCCTGTTGCCAATCAACCACCGGTTGAATCAACCACAGGTGTTTTTTTAGCTATACAACTTTACCAGCCTTTTGTTTCCCCTGTCCCAACATTTTTGGAACATGTTGCTGGTTTTAAATTTAAAATCCGCATAAATTTTTCAAAAAACAATAAAATCAACTTCTTTCAACTCCTGGCATCCACCAAACCCAGATTCGTCCATCAGACTGCCAAATAGTGAAGCATTATTCATACATGTATATATTGCTCTAATGTCTTTACACTAACCCAGCTGACGCCTAGCATTGCACAGAGTGATCTTAAGCTTGTGCTGCTAGTGCTTAGGTGCTTAGCCACACATTTTATGAAGCTCTTCATGCACAGTTCTTGTGCATGCGCACACACACACACACACACACACACACACACACTTCATTATATATGAAATAATTGTTAGTCTAGTAACAATTAGTAAGTCTAATAATGGAAATACAAGTGATTTTGAGACACCTGACATCTCATTTATAAAATGTTGCATGGATGAGTATCCATGTGTGCAAAAGACAGAAAATGAAGCTGCTCAGAGCAGCATGGAATGGAATCAGGGAAATGCTGATGCAGGCTGTACTTACAGCTAGAATGTTTTTCTGTGCACATTTTTCTGTGCATACATATCCACACACAACCTACAATCAAGTATAGAGTCATCTCTCATGAGTGTGAAAGTACTGCAAAAACTTTTGCTCTGTAGCCACTAGCATATTGCCAACAACATTAAAATTAGCTGCTGAGCTAGCTAATGTTATTAGCGAACTCTCTGGAAATGATCCACACTGAAATATCATTGTAGTTTAGAGCATTTAGTGGTCATGTACTAAAGTTTGGTAAATTAATTCAACCAGTAGCTCCAGCAAAATTGGCTGATTGGCTATCATGCTTTATATCTAGCTTACTAGTTAACCCCTTAAAATCCAGCTTACTAAGGCTTATTATTCAGTAACTACAGGGACATCAGTGCAAACGTAGTGAACTCACCTTACACAGACATAGTTCTTAAGTTCTAGTTATAAGCTACTTAGAAATGTTGCAAGCTGAGCTGCCAGTTACTCTATAAAAATAGCTCAATAAAACAGTAAAGCTTCCCTTCGGAGAAATGCAAAAAGCTACGTTGAGTTTTCAGGAAATTCATGGATACTATACAAAAGGCCACATTCCCATATAGCAGCTTTTGACTGTGATCTGTAGGCTTCCGTTTAGCACTTTAAGGCTGCAAAGAGACTACACTGTAAAAAGTGTCTCATCAGATCTACTTAGAAAAATTACTTCATGTGGTAACAAGTAAATTTACTAGTTTTATTCAACCTAAATAAATACTTTGAATGAACGATTCTTTCAATCAATGTACTATTTTAAGTTGAATAAAACTAGTTCAATTGCTCGTTACCACATGAAGTATTCTTTTTAAGTAGATCTGATGAGCCACTTTTTACAGTGTAAGATACTGTTTTAATTACTTGGTAAAGATCATTTTGTCCCAAGAATTGGTCCAAAATGTATAGAAACTTCATGGGGTAAACTGTCTATAATTGCCATAGTTGACACGCTGGAGAACAGACTCGGACGCTAATCAGACATAGCACCAGTAACTAAGTAGGCTTAGCGAAGGGCTAATTCCAGCTAAATGATGATGATACATGACGTTATGAAGACCATAATACCTTTATATAGTTTAGAGAAATTAAACAGTGTAGCCAGGGCCAGAGCATTTTTGTGTTTCTAGGACAAGATAACAAGATGAAGATTCTCTATGTGCTATAAAAACCAGGGCTGCCAACTTTACTGGCGGCTAGCTGCTGCTATCTACTAACCACTTTCTACCACTTGCTCACCTAGTTTTAAAGTATACTGCTGTGTAAACCTCGACCAGAAGCTAGCAAATGTCAAGTGAGTCCACAACATCACTACAAACGTCTTTTTTTAAGACACGAGGTGACCCAGGGATTAGAAGCAGGGCTGAGGTTACAGGACTTTAATCATATTACCAGGTGACAGGTTGGCTATCTAATTTGTAAAGGCATAGAGTCTACCTGAATGCAGGATACCATGTGATCTACAAATAGTGCATCATTTTTTAAACTGCGTCACTTTTTCAGTCATCTATATATGACATATACAGGGTTAGGTAGTGTTACGTAATCAGGAAACAAAATTCACCTTTATTTGTAATTATTGCTGATAAGGGGTCGAGAATAATCAATACGATTTCTACCAGACTGATCCTTTGTCTTTGGCATGATATACAACAGATTTTTAATAAATATGGCAAAAAATAGTCTCAGGACAGCAATATAGGTTTTAAATACACCAATCAGGCAATGTCACCTCATTGATCCCTTTCTTTGCCACTATACACCCTTCAACCGCTGCTGCACTCAGCACTTTAACATTAGACTCATACTTTGTACATTGTAAGGTTTACAGGTATGACTGTGTGTGTGTGTGTGTGTGTGTGTGTGTGTGTGTGTGTGTGTGTATGAGTGAGTGATGGTAGGAATGCATGTTTTATTTTATTTTATTTTATATTTATTTTATTTTATTCACTACATGTAAATGTCTGTCTGGTACTGTGCACTGTGAGCTCCTGTCACCAAAACCAAATTCCTTGTATGCGTAAGCAAACCTGGCCAATAAAGCTTGATTCTGATTCTGATCAGGCATAACATTATGACCACCTCCTTGTTTCTTCGCTCATTGTCCATTTTATCAGCTCCACTTACTACATAGGTGCACTTTGTAGTTCTAAAGTTACAGACTGTAGTCCATCTGTTTCTCTGCATACTTTGTTACCCTGTTCTTCAGTGGTCAGGACCCCCATGGACCCTCATAGAGCAGGTACTATTTGGGTGGTGAATCATTTTCAGCACTGCAGTAAAACTGACATGGTGGTGGTGGGTTAGTGTGTGTTGCGCTGGTCTGAGTGGATCAGACACAGCAGTCTTGCTGGAGTTTTTAAACACCTCAGTGTCACTGCTGGACTGAGAATAGTCCACCAACCAAAAATATCAGGCCAACAGCGTCCTGTGGGCAGCGTCCTGTGACCACTGATGAAGGACTAGAGGATGACCAACACAAACTGTGCAGCAGCAGATGAGCTATCGTCTCTGACTTTACATCTACAAGGTGGACTGACAAGGTAGGAGTGTCCAATAGAGTGGACAGTGAGTGGACACAGTGTTTAAAAACTCCAGCAGCACTGCTGTGTCTGATCCACTCATACCAGTTCAACACACCACCACCACCACGTCAGTGTCACTGCAGTACTGAGAATGATCCACCACCCGATTAATACCTGCTCTGTGGTGGTTCCTTTGGGGGTCCTGACCACTGAAGAACAGGATGAAAGCGTAATTGTAGAACTACAATGTGCACTTATATGGTAAGTGGAGGTGTACTTAATGAAGCGGCTAGTCTGTGTATAGATGGGAAAGCTCTACTGCACAACACAATGACTGTATTATATGAAGACTCAAAAATTTGCTTTGTTGATGAAGGCATTGATGAGAAAAAGCCCCTTTGTTGGTAAAAGCATAGGTGGAAAACAGCTTAGCTTAGAAAAATGTGCATGCATGAGAGTCAGAATAACCCAAAAACAATTTAAGCAAAACATCACAAACAATTTATACAATTTTACCACTAATTTCAATCATGTTTTTGTAATGTTAGTCTGGCTGTTTTTTTTATTTTTATAGGACTCCCCATCCAAGAATGTACTAGCCTGATCTTGTTTAGCAGGAAATAACTCGCTGGACTCCTGCCAATAAGACGCCCGTCAATTAACTCAACTCAGATTAACAGCTGAAAGCAGATG